GAGCGTTTCTCTCTCTTTTGTAGTGTCGATCAAGAACGGACTGTTGTTCCTCTTCTAACATCTTTGCTGCGCCTCTGACCGGAGTAATTCTGCTGTTTATCATGGCTGCGATATTCGTGACGGGACATGATAAGTTCCGACGAAGGCACTGGCGCTGTCCTGCGTGCCTCTGGTGCGGGTGCTGCAACTGTTGTAAGTGCGCTTGGTGTCCGACCAGCTGTCCCTGCAAGCGACGAAAAAATTGGGACCCTACTACGGGTACAGAAGTTATGGCTAATCTTTTGCAACTTTAGCTTCTCTTCTTCGTTCAACGAAGCGTGTTGATCATGATGTTGAGATGATCTAGAAGAGCCAGGAGATTTGCGTCACAGACAAGGATGTTCAACCTCTACGCAGTTGCCATCTAGAAGCAACATGACAAGGAGATGCTTGTTGTTTCTATCGCGACAGCTCTTTCTCTAACGATGAGTTTGAAAAATTCCCTGGCCAGTGCTGCCATCTCGAGAGCGTGGACGGTTATAAGGTCTTTTGGATTTTCCACGACAAGAAGTTGCTGGTTTTTACGTTCGCACTAACCGTTTTTCACGCTCCAGCAAGGTTTTTAATCTGGATTATCTTCCCAGCTATGTTCGCCATTATGGAATGGGCCATCGGAAAAAAGATGGCGCACAGAGACGCTATTCTCTTGAAAGCAGAAGTCTCGCCGGGGGATGTGCTGACACTGTATTGACTCCTCGATAGCACACTGTACTAACATAATAGTTTATTTTCTGATTGTTATAAACAATGGTCAATTTAATTACTTACTTACTCGGGCAGATTTCAACTCCACATTCGCCAGCATGCTTTCCAGTCATCTACATAGCAAAAGCGAACAGGTACTTCAAAGTTCCTCCTGGATTTGTGTATCAAGCAGGCCAATATGCGGAGATCTTCTGGCGCGGCGAACGTCACCCATTCACGATTGTCTCAGCACCCGAAGAGGGCATTGTGGCCTTCTCCATCAAAGCCGGAGACAGCCTAGATTGGTGCTCGGCCCTTAGAAAAAGGCTGATTGACTACCCGTTAGCTCTGCAAGAAGGACAAGGCTCAGTTTCCGAGGATCCTGATGCTCCCCCGAAAGTTCCAGACTACAAGAAACAAGACTTGCAGGGAATCGGAAAGGGACATGCGCGAGTCTTCTACGTGCCGAATGTGACGAGTAATTAAAAATCTAAATTTATGGCGTGATTTTTCGCGTAAGAGGTTCATCTACCGGCGGAATCATTTTCTTTAACTACTTGTTAGAGCTTTATGATCTACTAATAGTAATACCCATGCTTTTTCAGGACCGATAAATTGTTTCTTCAAACTTTTCTTCAGGTACCGACATTATTTACAACCTGCCGGTGAAGAGCAAGGATGGTGATTTATTGAGGGACGAAAAGGAGCGAAGCAAGATGGGCGGCATTTTTAAGTTTAGGCTGGCAGAACGGGAAAATGAAAGGTACGAGAGGGAGAAGAAGAAGTACGAGGCAGCCCAAAATGCCGAGAAGAAACGCCAAGAACAGGAAGAAAAGAAGCGGCAGGACGCTGAAGCGGCTGAAAAGAAAAAGCAAGAAGCTGCTGAGAAAACACAGAAAGGGGAAGAAGAGAAGAAGAAGTCGGACGACGAGTTGTATAAACAGGGCGACTCAACAGGAGCTAAGCACGACGATGTAAAACCAGAGGTAGAAGGGGAACATACTGCGGCTGCCATAGCTTCTCCAACTTCTTTCCTCTCTTCCCCATCTTCGAGAGGCGTTGCAGCTGAACTAGTAGATGTGGACTTCCTCGCGACCTCGTCTGAGAGAAGAAGCAGTAGCCTGATCTCGACTAGTACCGATGAAGACCAGGACGATGAAGACGTCATCAACGCGACCGAATCTTCTTCTTCCTATGCTCTACAACAGCGCAAGAAACTACGTTACCGTAAGAAAGGGTCGCAAAAATATAGCGAGCTTTCTCTGACACCACAATCGGACTCGGAGGAGGAGGAGGAGGATCGTACAGAAGAGGGTACAGTATTGGAAAGCAGTCTCTCACCACGTAGAAGTAGAGCCTCTCGTGGTTGGCTCCCGATCGATATCTGGTCGAATCAAATTCACGAACTAACCAAAATGCAAGAACGGATAATAGCCAAAATCAAAGGCGAAACTACCAAGACTGCTAGATGTGAATTCGATGGAAATAGTAGTACAATCACTTCTGAGTATACGTCCGGAGGCGTTACTCAATTTCCGTGGTGGGATGAGGCAGACCTAGCGAGCATTCAACTTGCAGAAGATGATCATTGTATCCGCGCGAAAGGGCAAAATGACCATAGTTCTTACGTCTATATTCGCGAAGGCTCTCATCAGGCCGCTGATGCAGCGGGAGCTGGAGGTCATGTTGTGTCTCCTGATGCCGATAATGACTCATCAACCATTGGTAAAAAGGTGGCTTCCGCAGACGGCGAGACCAGTAAGCTTGCGCTTCAGCCTCCTGTGAACCGATTTGAAGACGACGAGTTCCTACGCAGGAAGCAGCAGGAATATTACGGCTTACCAAGAAAATGCATCCTTCTGTTCCTTGACTACTATGGTTGACTTATTGGCTTACTTGCCGATAGGAGCAAAGTCAAAGAGGTCAAGGATGATTTGAAGAGTGTAGTTGCGCAACCTCTAAGAAGTTATAGCCAAAACACTGCCACCAGAAGCGATTGTGTTGAAACTAGTCGGTCCCTACGGAGCTCCAGCAATGAGTATGTGGCACTTCGATTCTATCATTTTGGTAGGTGCTGGCATAGGAGCCACTCCGTTTGCCGCGATGCTCCGATCGGCCAATATCAAGCTAAAGCAAAGGAAAATCCTCGAAAAGAACGTCGACGGAGGAGGGCGGGGATCGAAGGGATCAACGTATTTCTTACTAAATTATTTAATCTTCACGTATCGACGAGGTCGACGTGATGTGGTATATTTTAATGTTTACCATTACCTGCATTCAATTATAGTTTATGTAAAAAAGAAATACTTGCTTTTCGATGGTATCATACGGATCACAAATTAAACGACGACAAGACCACCACCAACGTAACATGAACTAAAACTACTGGACTTTAGGACCAGCGCCGGTGGTTCCAACCTAAAGGGGTTGTTCGACGTGGGTACCGATTCTGTCAGGAAGGTGGTGGAAGAAGCAACCCGCGTACCGAACAAAATCGAATTCCATTGTTAAGGCTGTTAATTGAATTCTGGATTGATTCATTCTTGCACTGAATTAGCATGCTTTGAGCCTACTTGCTGTCAGTCTTAGGTCAGTAAGAGTGCCATTGCAACTGAGGGCGTGATGATGAGTTTCTCCCCTACTAGGATTTTGAAACAACTTTTGCCTCCACAATAGTGTCTGTAGTAAATTACACTACTCTAAGCCTAGATCGCGCGCAATAGGCCTGATTTCGACTGGCTTCTTCCTTGGCTGATGGAATCGATGAATGGACCAGCAAGGGAGTGTACGAGGATTCATCTTTGGATCACTGGGGGTGGAGATTTGAAGAACCTCAACAAACAATCCGAAGATTGTCCGTGTGAGTTGAACGAGTACGCTGGAAGACCGAATTGGGCCAAGATTTTCGAGGAGGCGGCCAAGAATTACAAAGGCCAGCGGGTTGGGGTCTTTCTTTGCGGCTCTCCCATGATAGGCAAAGCCCTGAAGTCTAATTGCGCAAAGAATACGAATTTGGACGAAAAAACCGAATTCCACTACTTTGAAGAAAACTTCTAGTGCAATGGAGAACTCCAACCTATCTGGCTGATATGGATATCTTCAATCTGTCGCCTAGAATCAAGCTTGCTGGGCTATCAATCTTGATAAGCAGCGATATCGAACTTAATGATTGAAAAAATAGCTGAAACTCTAATTCATTCGTTCATGAGTAAATACTTCTTTCATCATCTGTAGCTAGCGGTAGTTGCCAACAGATGCCTCCTTGTACATTACCTGTATCAATGTAGAATTTTGTGGAAGAATCTTTATACTATTAATCTTATTGTATTTCATCGTCAATCCGTGTATACCTAAATTGAAAAGTGCAAATAGTGCATGTACGTGGCAGCTGCTAAAATGAATACTGATACTTTTTGTATTCCTAATTTTTTCTTCGCTTGTCATGGCAATCTGATTCTGTGAGAAAGACTCTCGATAAGTAGGTGTGTGTGTGGTTGTAAGGACTTGAGTGCGCATTGTAGGCAGTGTCTGCTTCTTGAATACCTAATACCTAGTATGTAAGAACACCTGAATAGGAAAACACTTTTTACACGGTGATAGACGACGGAAAAACCGAATAGTGTGATGAAATTTTGCCTATTTTTGTTGGAAGGGCGAGGAGCTGTGTATCCGTGGTGCCAGGACGAGGGTTCGAACTCTGTATTGGTCGGCGTTGCTCCGTTGGGTTTGCGGCAACGCATTGGGTTTGCTGTCGCGCCCGCCTGGTGGCCGCTCCCGGGCTGCTTTGACTTTTTTGGATGTGGCTTGGCTCATTCGTAGTGAGGTGGAGCCTCTCTAAAATTCCTAGTGTAGTCGTACAAGAGAGAAACACCCATCGGTTAGTATCCTAGGAGTAAATAAGACGGATCGATCCAGATGAGGCCTCTGCCTCGTTGTCCTTGTCGTCATGCCGTGTTCAGCAACCATTACAGGAAGCCTCTACGTTCTACTTTTTTGTGAGGATATCAAACCTCGGAAGTTCTTGTCGAGTTCGAGGATCTTTGTGTCTAAGGAAGACATCGGTATTATTGCCTTGATGTTGCTCTTGCCGTGATGCTCAACAACCTCAATATCAACCCACAACCTGCCATTTATGTAGTATGTTGTATAGACCGCGTTGTAGGTTCGAGAGCATCCCCGATTGTCTAAGAAGCTTTATACACTACTCAGGATGATTGTTCTAGCTGTGAGTCCAGACCAGAGCTCCATACATAGCCATTCACATCTACTGATACGTTTTTACTTTCATTCATATTGTTTTTTGAAATATCAGTATCAGATTCAATTTCATAACATAAAAAACCTGCTTAGAGGGTCCACCGACGCAAAGACTATGTAGATAATAGCCGTTCTGTCCCTTATATATATGCCAACATCTGAGAAGCAGTGCCGTAGTAGTACATGCCGCCAATATGATAGCACTTTGATAATTCCGTTGCTATTTTTTTTCACGATACTTACGGTCTACTTGTCTAACTATGGATGCGTCATTTTCACACTACATTTTCCAAGTTTTTCTACCTCATGCTCGTGGTTCGTTCCAAAACTGAGCACCATTACCAGTGCATGTCCCTGTCTGCTCTGCGGAAAGCCGTTTATGGCGATGGCCGCTCATAGCGATGGCGATGGCAGTGTTCCAACGGGGTTTCAGGTCCACGATTTGCGAAGACACAAGGAGTGTACTCGAGGAGGTCATCTAAGTCCTTCGTAGCGGAAGTCAGCTAGGACGTACGATGTCAGGAGCACCGAAGCCGTGGCCGACGCGCTCGCCCGACCGGGAAATGGAGGCCAGAATAGCTCGACTGAGCAAGCTGGACCACCTTTTTCGCGGTAAGATTGCGACAGCGCGCAAGTCGATGGGAGCAAGCCCTTTGCCGGGAAAGGCGTTTTCAGCCGAAGAGGACAACACTAGACAGGAAGAAATTGTAGTTGATCGAGATTTTGATCTTCGAGACCAAAACGTCGTCTGTTTAGAAAATACATCGTCTAGTTCTTTATCAACATGTGCACTTCAATCTAGTTCATCTCGGTGTCCGACGAAAGAGCAAGAGGAGAGCATATGCGGTGTTTTGGATACCCAGGATCAAGCAACTACAAGTAGAAATACACTGGCAGAGGAACGCGAGGACGAACACCACATCAAGCACAATTATAATGAAGTGGGAGATGCATTGCGAGCTGAAATAAGAACATCAGCACACGACGAATACGTGGCTTGTCCTGTTCCATATGAGTATGCAGGTGATCAGGAGGAACGAACAGACGAGGAGGGGAGATACGGTGCAAGGGAGCAGGACATACTGCAGACTGCAGAAAAGGATGCGATTCTGAAGAATTCGCCTTTGCGTGCATCCTCTGCTGTCGATTTCGATGATGACATCGCGTTTTCCGAGCTGTACAAGAAGAACAAGTCTCACGAAGCTGCGACTAAAAGCAAGGGTGGTCAAGATCATCGAGGAGCAAAGCATACTGAGGAGGCCAATAAAAGTAAGCTAAATAAAGAGCGTGATCGTAGAAAAGCGAAGCGACACATTCAGAGTGCTACAGCAGTGGCATCGTCTTCGCCTGGGCGTGAGCTGTTCGAAACACCTCCTTCGAGCGCAACAGATGCACCTGAAAATGAGGGTTCTGATGGTCTTTTTCCTGCTGCTGGTGGACCTGTATCAAAAGCAGTCGCCGCAGGTACTCGATCTTCCCCAACGGCGCTGCATATAAACGCTCCTACAGCGACGCCCCGAGTAGCTGCAGCTGGAGCGATCGGCTCTACCATGTCGCAGTTCCGAAATAGCCTGTCACTCAGTCTGTCAGGATCAGCAAGGCGCGGAAAAGGGGATGACACCAGTGGCAGCACCTCGGCGTCCTTTCGAGAGGGGCCACTGGCAGAAAACGCAATGATGAGTAGTCGAGGGTCATCATCTTCTACGTTCCTGCAGCAGCAACAACACGCAGCCTCTTTCGGAGAGCCACCTGCGACAGGTTTTTTTGCGAATTTTCAGCTTCCGAAATTCTCGCTGTGGCCCGCCACGGGAGCTCCTGCACCAGCTGGGACGACAGCTAATGTTTTTTCGCCGCAGGAGTCTTCGACCGGTTCTGATTCATTTAGCAGAAGTGAGGCGCAAAATGCTGTGCAACCCAAGCACTGGCAAGCGAAAATACAGGGTGTCTCTCCGTCTCCGATGTTGCCCTTCCGAACTGCTGGATCGCCGCGAGTTCCACCTGGGATTATCGGACTACAGACACAGTCCGCATCTGTTGCGAGTGTGGCAGCACCCGCTCGAGTACTTCCCGATCCTGCTTCTTCGACCTCGACGGGCTCTCCCTGTGGAGACCAACAAGCAGGTGGAGAACGACAAGAGTTTGACGAAAATCTCGACGTCGATGGAAATTCTTTCAGTGAAGATCTCCACGCAAACTCCTTCAGCGAGGTGTCCGTTTCGGTTGCTGTAGAGGAACACCACAAGTTACCAGGAACAGGCGTCGGTGGAACTGTGGGTGCCAATCAACAAGGATCACTGGTTACTGCGCCGCCGAAGATGTCTATACTACTCCCGCAGGGGTCACCAGTACCATCTTCACGAGTAGTGCCGAATCTTCCCGTGTCAACAAGTGTGACTGCGTCTTCAGCTAGTGCTATGGGCGGGGTAGGCATGAGTGCTAGTTCGATAAGTCAGACGAGCCCACGAGGCGTGACGACATCGAGTTCTTCCACAGCCGCCATGCGGGGTTCTCCTAGCGGATTTGCTACTGCTCGGGGACCGGCGTCTTCAAGCAGCAAAGCGAGCAAGTCCAGTGCCACTGCGAGGGTAATTCCGCAGTCTGCAAGAGGACCACCAACTGGAGGAAAGCCGCAAGTCGATGTCCGCCGAGCGACCGTCTCGAAGTTTCCTGGAGTATCGATGTCACCACAGCAAGGGAAAATCGTACACACCCTTTCTTGTTGCCTTTACGGTAGTTGTAGATTGCATAACCAAGTATCCATTCTGTCTGTGGAGTAGACTATAAGATGCTTCCTGTACTAGATGAACTATATCTATAGATAGTTCGTCGAACTTTTTGTCTATCAGCTTCCGAACTTCGTACCTCCGTCGGCGTCCTCTAAGGGTAAGAGGAGCGCAAACGAGACTTGGGTCCCAGTATTTAGTGGAGCAGGGAAGAAATCGCCAACGAAGGTTGGACAACAGAATCCGATCTCTCGAGTTGGTGCATCACCATCTGTATCGTCAAGTGGTACGGGAATTGGCAATGGGAGAACGAGTAAGAATACCGCCAAGTCGAACGGTGTGCCTCTTGCGTCGACGACAGCCGGCAACACTAGCGGCAGCACCCGCAGAGCAAATGCTGCAACGCGTGGCACGGCAGCGGCTCGTAGTGCGTCGACGGCTTCATCAGTCGGGAAGGGGTCACCGCGACGTCAGTCGTTTGTCTCATCTTCGGGTGGTTCAGTACGCGGCGGCGGAACCGGCGGGACCAGCAGCGCGACAGGCGCACTGCCTCGCAGCTTGTCGTTCAATGCCGGACGACCGCCAAGTTTCTCAGGCAATATGTCCTCGCAGAAGGCTACCATCTCGACGTCATCCGTAGCTGTGACTCGCGTTGCGGCCATGGCTCCGTTTGCGAAGGCGAGACCTGCAGGATCAAATCAGCAAGTACTGAACCGACGCGCGACACACCACACTGGAGGTCCAGCAAAGACTCCGCGGGACGCATCTCTAGTCGAGCAGAAACGAGGGCTTCAGATGAGGTCACATGATGTGGTTAGAAAGACCGGTGAGATGCCTTTTGCAGTGACGGATATAACAACCGCTGTGTCGGAACAGGAGACAAACGATGATAAGAGAATGGACTCTACTGCCTCGTTACAAGTCGAAGAAGATGATAACGATAATGCCGAGAGGCCAGGTGAGACAAGTGCAGAAAACCTGAAACCTGCGCCTAGAAGCCCTTCGATTCCTCAGGAGCGCTCCTTAGTACAAAATGCTGAAGGTCAGACGCAAGACCTTCCCGAAGCTAACGACATTATCAAAATCGGCCCGACCGGAAACGTTTCATCGCAGAAACAAGATGATTGCAGCAAAAATGCGGTTGGAGGGGCGGACGCAAAAGCTGTGGGCGAAGCCGGAGTTGATAAAACTGATAGAAGCTCCAAGAAGATGCCACAATATGGACCCAAAAGCCTGCTGAACCAAGCAGGTTTCATTCGGCTAGATATGATTCAACATCCAGGGTTGTCCAGTACTCGACAGAGTAGTCGCGAAACAACGTGTCCGCAGGAATGTGAGACGACGAGTGCGACAGGCGGTTCTTCCTCCTCGTCAGCGTCCGTATCTTCGTTTGCTGGCGTCGCTCCAGCGAGACCCAATAATACGACGACGTCTCGCCCACCGTTTCTGACGGCTACTGCGAGTCTCATGATGGGTGGGAATCTGGGATTTGCGCAAGCCTCGCCACGTAGTTCCTCATCAGCCGATGGGGAGGCTTCGTGCACGTCGTCGAGCGAATCAAAACAAGGAACTTCTTGTTCTTCAATTGCAAGGAACGACGCCACCGCAACCTCCGACGTCTATCCTTGCCGAGAAGCAGCGAGAAATAATATTCCAAGTGGTCTTGTTCCTATGAAAAATGGTCGCGGTCTTTCAACGACGGAAGCGAGAGCACCCGCCGTTGTGACAAGCAAGCCCGGCTCCCCGGAAGAGGCATCAGGCCAGCTGCGCTTGCATTGCAATATTCCACCACTCCTAAGTCCACCGGTAGGGCTCGGACATATACTAAAGCAAATGTCGAAGGGTTCCTCGCTGAGCGGCTCGGCTTCGGTCACTGCTTCAAAGAGCACGCAGTCGATTTCTGCGTCATCGCCGTCGATTTGCGCTGACAAAAGCAGAGAGAGCGACAGCAAAGAAGAAGCTGGAATGAGCAATCATGTAAGCACGACCACGCGGCCGCCGTTGTCCAAACTGGGCGGCCAGTTTTTCCTTTCTTCGCCCCGCACCGATAATGCGGCGGGTAGGACACCTTTCGCAGCCGCGAATCACGCACTGAACATGACATCGCCTGCAGGCTCGCTGCTTTTTGCCAAGGTATCGGACTTGGCAACTGGAGCGACACTGGCAGGGAAGCAATACATTCGGGCTGCACGAGGAGGCGCTGCGTCGTTTTCCGTCAGCGCAGATAATTACTCGGCTGAGCATTCAGCTGTCAGTGCGGGAGGACACGAGAGTCCGCCAACTGTGAGTCCTTTCAAAACAGAGCTCGAAAAACCAGCACTAATAGCGGCTTCATCTGTACGGGAGGAGCATTTGGCAGGGTCAGAACATCCGCGTGACCCACCAGCGGCATCGGAGTTGTCAGCAGGCGGAGGGGGTAAGCCTCAACCAACTTTTGAAGGACACACTGAAAAAGTGTCTTTATCGTTGTCAGGCAAAAACAAAAATCCACTCAAAGACAAGGACGATGCAAAACAGGCTGCATCAATAGCGAACACAGCAAGTAGCTCAGCAACGACCTTTTCTACTCGAGACAATCAAAAGACTGCTGTTCCAGTGTCTCAGCCAGCGAGAGACTCGAGCCGACGGAGCGCGGACCTCGTTCTTGTCGAAGATCATTTTCAGCCTGCTGCAGAGTCGTTGAGCGCAGCTTTCTCGCGTCGGCGAACAAGCGTCGAGCGCAATCGCTCGACTGTTGGAGCTGACAATGCTATGCTACGGGAGTCGTCGGTCTCGGGTCGGACACCGACACGCGCCTCTGCTGGTGGTAGTGTTTCAACTGGCGCGGGGAAGGAGACGGGAACAGGACCAGCGACTAGTTCATCGACTCGAGGACATAGTATAACGTCACGTAGTGGAGGCTCGGCGACGTCGTCTGCTATGGTCAATACGCGAGGTGGAAATAGTATGAATACTGGTGGCATGTTTTCCGCACGTGGTCCTAACCCCTATAAAGGTGCCTTTCCTCCGACGACAGGAAATGGCAGAGGCGGAACCGCCAGCGTCGCATTTTCGCCGCCAAAACGATTGAATTCTGTGAATCGTAGAGTGTCCGCGCCATTGGGAGCGCGTGCACGATCGAGTGAGCGAACCCCAGCGATAAGGGTATCTATCGGAGCAGGCCCAGCACGGGGTTCAACAGGTGCACCCCTTGCGAGTGCCAGAGGTGTCGTGGTTGCGACACGGGCCTCACCACGCCGACCGCATGGCGATGCATTGGCGAATTGCAATACGAATACTTCGACTTTGGAATCGGCAGAGGAGCAAGGTGACGATAACAAGGATGATGATGTCGTCGCTTTGTCGCTGGCATCTGACGAGGAAGCAGAAAGAAGTGATTGTGCAGACAGGGATGATGATGCAAGTAGGGTGACGCCCCTCCTAAGTCATGGATCGCGATCGCCACGTAAAGCGGACGAAGGGACTAGAATAGCGCAGGAGGAAGAGCGACAAGCGCGTTTGACGGGCCTGCCTCGTTCCTCGTTCTCCGTTCCCGGCGGTGCGTCGACAAACAGCGCAATTAGTCGGGGGAGCACGACTTCGTCGAGCGGAAATCCTCTGAATGCACTGAATCTGACTGGAGGAAGCACCACTGTCGAGAAAATCAAAGCACTGGAACAGGATCGCATCGAGCGGCGCAAACGGCAGGATGAGCTGAGGGAAGAAAAGCGATTGTTGGCCCAAAAGGGTGAGGATCCGAGTATGTTGGAGTTCAAGAGAGAGATCGAGCTTTTTCGACAGCAAATGGATGCCTCTAGTTCGAGCACGAGAGGTGGTGCCAAAAGTTCACCATCAAAGAACCTCTCTCGTAGTACGGGTCAGCGAAGAGCAACGATAGACTCAGCGCATATTTGGCCAGCTAAGCGGAAAGTTTTAGTGGCCGTCCGTAAGCGTCCTCTGGCGGAAAGCGAGTCGAAGCAGTTGGACATTGTCTCATGCTACGACAACGTGGTCTACGTGCACGAAGCGAGGCAAGGCCTCGGAGGGTCGAGCCACGGACGCTGTCTGCAGCGACACGAGTTTCCTTTTGATATGGTTTTCAGCGAAACTAGCACAAACGAGCAGCTCTTCCGATCGATATGTGCGCCACTATGCCAACGCGCCTTGCAGGTGGGGGCATCCGGAACTCTCTTTGCCTATGGCCAGACTGGAGCGGGGAAAACGTATCATTTGAAGTTGTGCCCATTGGTTATGTATAATTCTAATTCATTGATTCTAACATTCGTCTTCGTGTAATTTGTTTCCTTGATCTCACGGTTACTGGCCCTGAATAAATCCCCGCATTGAGACAACCATAGTGGCACCTGACTCTACGTGGTTAGCGAAGAATCAATTAGAATTATCAAAATTTGAAGATGAACTTGAACAGGTTTTCAGTCGCTGGGTCAGCGGGTTTTATCACCAAGAAGGCACGCCCAGATCGCATTCCTGGATTGGTGCAGCTCACTGCAGAGTTGTTATTTGATAGCATTGATCCAGAGGAGATGGGCATTAGTATGAGCTTCGTAGAGCTCTACAACGGTCGGCTATTCGACCTTCTCTGCAGTGGCGATAATTCTCAAATTATGATGTGTTTGGGAGTGTATGCGTAACTGTATTTGGATTGATGGAATTTCGTTTGAAATTTCAGTTGATACAGTCTCTATCTAAGGTCTTACTAAATCTAAAATGCGTACAGGCAGCACTTTTTTCTTCTTGATGTTTTGCAAAGGTCTAATGTTAGTGGCGAACGGCGGGAGATCAAATTACTGGAAGATGCGCAAAATAACGTCCAAGTCATAGGAATGACCCAATGTGCAGTGCATTCCGTGCACGAGGTTGAGCAGCGACTATTATGGCTCACTCTGATCCATCTTCGGAAGCATCTCAGAGAGGTTTTCAAGGGGAAAACGCTCTCAGGATGAGCTTCGAGATGGATCGGGGTGAGCTCTAAGACTCGCAGGAGGCGCTAAAGTAAGGGCAACCGGGGAAAATGTCCAAAACGACCACTCAAGTCGCAGTCACGCGATTCTCACTCTGCAGTTGCTTCTTATGGTTGTGGGTGATGAGAGATCATATGCAATTTTTTTCTGTGATGAATAGGGTGGAAAGAGAGTGGTGTGTTGCTGTATATCTCTGAAAACATTGAAATTTCAATCATCAGAGTAACAAGAGGTTTTGCGTAAAACAAAACGTAGCATCAATAATTCCTCCGCTACTTAAAACAAAACCGCGTCAACCCATGGAATGCGTCCCATTCTCTAATCCGAAGAAAGGCTTTTCCCATGCGAGCGAGGGTGGCGACGTCCGATGGCGGAAGTATGGCAAAGTTACGCTTGTGGACCTAGCCGGGAACGAGCGTGGTCATGATACGGGATATCATGCCTGCTCACGCGCAAAGGAGGAAGCACGAAACATCAATAGCAGTTTGTTGGTATATAATAATTTTTGAGATGTTCTTTGAGTTTGGTGATCATTCATGGTCTGATTTCGATTTCCTGCTCATCTGACAAACTACTTCTTTGTCATCTCTGGATTGACCTTCTATCCCCCAAGAACGACGAACATGCCGAGAATTCTCTGCTTCCAAGTACAACTTCAACTTAACAGGCTCTAAAAGAGTGTCTGCGGTCGTTATCGACGAACGGGCATGTGCCTTTTAGGCAGAGCAAATTGACGATGCTGCTGAGGGATAGCTTCATTGGGGAAAACTCCATTACTTCTATGCTCGCGTGCATCTGTCCAAAGCTTGGAGCACAGCAGTATATTCTAGACACCATTCGATACGCGCAGCGTGCACGGATGTAGGTTTGGGGACTCTTCTTCTCGAGACACATGGCATTTTTAGCAATTTTTAGACACTGATATATCAGAATCATTCAGCCACTTCAAAGAGGAGGCTCTTCTTGATTTGGGGAGGTTCTTTTGATGAAGCATTGCTAGAAGTTTTCGAATACATCGATGGGACAGAAGTAAAATTTCAACTGCCGAAACCAAATCGCTATGATTTCACAGTAATTTCTGTGGTGAAGTGCCTTCCATGGCCTGATTTCAATTTCCGCTAATCTAAACCTTCCACAATTCTTGGCGCACTTGCTGGGTGTAGAAGCAGTGACGCACGTGACTTTTAGTCAATGACCAAAAACAAGACACTGTTGACCAAGATACACTGCTCGCCGAGGTTAGGATTTGATTCACGTCTCGAGAGTTGTGCTAGAGTTTAAGTACCGTAACCCTGTAATTTTTTGGTTTACAAGTAGTCAAGACAGAAGGCTGAGCAAAAGCAGGCACAGTCTGCCATGGCAAATCGAGTGCCACCAAAGAGTAGGACAAATCTTTGAACAAACATCTCTTTGGACAAACATCTTGCTGTGTCCTACTCAGTTGTTCGATTACTACACACACAATTCAAAGGGCTAAAACTGACATCCAAGTGAAAGGTCATAAGAAAATTGAAGTCTTCGTAAAAAGAAAAGGTAAGTAACCGCGGAAAGAGGTCAATTACAATATCGAAATTTAACGACGACATCCCCAGGAGGTAATAGAAATATGACACGATTGCGATTGAGAAAGCGGCTTGTGATGGCGGGTTGCCTTGCTTCCAGCGGAGTCGCCACCAGCAGCCGGTATCCACGTTTTACCATATTTCCTACGACGACGAGGATGGGGCTTACCTCATGATGTGAGTTCTCGCGTTAGTAGATCGCCTCGTACGACTATGGGAGTTCACCTAAAAATCCATGTTGACCAATCAACCTACTTAGCTACTGATAAGAAAGTCAATCCAACGCCACCCACAGGCATCGGGGCGCTCATCGCACATCACACCGAGTCGACGATGTACAGAACGAGGAATCACTATTCGGCGGCGACGAGGAAAAACATGAAGAGAAACAGCAGCATGAAGAAGGAGGGAGGAGTCATGATGTACATGTACAGAAGAAACAGCACGGAAATCACGGCAGAACATCAGGAGCAACGAGGCATCGGAAGTCCGGGTCCAGTGGAAATCATGGACACGCTTCAAGTGACGAACATGCTGGGAAAGACAGAAAAGCAGCGTCAGACGAATTTTCAAGCATCGAAGTAGGCGCTTCCTTCAAGAAGAAAGGGAAGTCGGTCAGGTCCCGTGAGACGGCGAGGAGCAGCAGTGCATTAGACGAAGCGAAGAACTCGGCAGGAGCCGGTGATAACCAGCGCCACCAGCATATTAGTAAAGAGAAAGTACATCGACATAATCACCGGCGGCCGCAGCATGGTGATCATCAACCAGATCAAATAACGCAAATGGCAGAGCATGGGATAGCAGCGAGTACAGCCGAGCAACGGCAACATGGAAATGAGAGAGGCACACACAAATCGGATGCGAAACCCCACGAGAGGAGGAAGGCGCAGCTTAGATCAGAGCGTAGTAGGTCATCCAAGACGTCTGGAGGTGAAGCAGCAGCAATCGTTCGCGACGACGGCCATGTTGCGGGTAGCAGTTCGAAGATTTTCTTGTTATGTTGGCCAGTCAGGTTTTTGGTTCCTCCAGTTGGTTGGGAGCGTTTGTGTCGGTAGTTGAACAGACGGTGTTCTGTTTGAATAAAAAGGTCTTTAGCGACACTGTGGGTTTTCGATATGAAAACGTTGCATCAGCCGAGGAAAGCGTTCGTAATGCGAAGTTCTAATCCCCAATTTCGACGACGCTGATGCTGCCGCTGCCAGCGCTAAAAGTAGTGCGAGTGACGCGGCTAGTAGCGCTGGTAACGCTGCTAATCAGTTATCGAGCCTGGGGAAAAACGCTACACATCCGATCAAGAACATTGCCGCCGACATTGACGAATGGATTATGAGAAGCACAATAGCAGAACAGAAAATATATCTGTGGAAAAACGAAAAACGCAGGGTAACAGATGATCTGTGTCGTTGTGCCTCTCGTGTTCAGAAAAATGTTAAGTACTTTTGTTCCGCCTCCCCCATATTCTTTTCTGCCCTCCTTCATGCTGCAACTGTGGTTCGTGGACAACTTGGAGCTTTTCCTGACCATTGTTACCGGAATCATCGTGTGTCAATTCGCCTGCCTGGTCTACACAGCCTATTCCTACCTGGCGTGCATCATCGGACCTACATTATGCATTGGACGTAAAATTTGTTTGTCATCGGGCGAGTTAGATGCTGGCTTTGTATTTCCTCTCTTCAAGGGGAATGGTCGATCATAGAGTTTGTTGTCCAAATTTGGATATCTGAATTGTTGACGCAGTTAGATTGCCACGCTTCACGACATCCACCGGTAGACTGTCGTTTGTGATACTCCTCCCCTGCGCAACCCTGCTTCATACCTTGTTAGCTGTGCCTGTTGCCTGTGGGGTTGGATCTGGGACTTGTTCAAGCGAATATGCAAAAGCTGTCCCTGTTGTGGCGGTGGCAGCAAAGAATAGGAGAGTTGGATAGAGGAGGAGGGAGGTGCCTGGGATGCACTATCCTGATTCCGATTTATTATCAGGTGAACACTATACTCCCCTCGGAGGATAACAGTGATAAAGCGGGAAGATTCCCTTTATGAGCATGTGCCCTAGCAGAGCTCTCAACCGAGTATTCAAAGCGTAGTAGTCAAATCGTGTTGATCTTGATGTGTGTTCCGAAAATTGCGAAACGAGCCTGCGTGTTGAGGCACGAAGCGGAGTGCTCCGTCGACGCAAAAAAGTAGTTTATTGGGTTGCTATCCCCAAACATGAGATGGAAAGCTGCAAGATGGATGGTTCAAGATATCAAACAAAGCCTCTTACCACGGCACCGAAAATCAGCGACATAGATACCCCAATGCCCCACTTTGAACCCCTTTGCGGCTTGACCGTAAACAGAAATCGCCCGATGGAGGTAAAAAAGCTTCGTCGAGTACAGCAAAAAAGAATAGCACGATTGACGGACTCATCATTCTTGTTGCACAGGAAGGCCCCTCAAGAAAGTTCGCTAGAGGTGCTGGCTTGACTTCTACAAAAGCCCAAGTACATGTGATTCAGCGGTATCGGCAAAAGCACTCTAGAGGCCGCCGAGTTTTCCGGTGTCGCATTTTTGGAGCAATCTCGGGCCGTCGCTGCGACTCGCTGGTCAAGCAACGCGAGATTTGGCGTGTGCGTGCAATCAGGTGATTGTAGCGCAAAATAGCACGAGCATTACTCACGAGCGAGAATTATAACACGAGCAAGGAAACCTAGGCGCATACTAATTTGCGAGTGAGGACAAGATTGCATTCGATGGTCCATTGGAAACACGGAAGTAGAACTCATTCGTCATTGTTGCAGCGCGTTCGTCCAGCACCCCGGAAGCAATGGGCCAGACGGTGAGCAGTCGCGAGCGTCCTCTTGTTGACGGAGACGCAGACGAAGACACTGGACGGATACGGGAAGTCAGGTCGATGACACTGGGTGATCTTTCGCAGGACAATGCGAGAGGAGGAACGCCTGAGGATCCCGGCATTCTAAAGCGCAACTTTCCCTACCTGCGCTGGGCTTCTGTGCAAGGGTGCTGCATTGTATTTTATGGAATGTGAAAATCAAAATCTATCCATCGCTCAGTTCTTAGAGGGGTCCGGTCATGTAGGGTTGCTCCTAATATTTTTGCATAATCAACAACCAGATAGAAGTCAGGCCGTCTATCTAGGATATTGTCATAGTTTTTTTCCATAAGGTCGTAAAACACCCAAAATTTCTCAGATACTCGAGCTTCTCGTATTTGTTTTTGCCTGTGTGGCCGTAACGCCACGAGGATGGGTAACGCCACATCCCCTTGCGAATTGGAAGCTCGGTTCGAGCGATCGCACGATGGAGCAGTGCGCGTACCTCTAATTTTTTCACTTGAATGCTGCTTCTGCGACCTAAATTACGTGAATATTACTTCTAAGGTAAACCCCTTTATCCAAATGAAACCATCTGTTGTACCTCTTACCTTGCTTGTGAGTAAAAAATGATCCAAGATCGCTGTCCAGGATCCTGAATTGAAACATGAATCCGAAGATCCACACGTTCACTCTGGGAGAACTCCGTTTGAGCATTCTCTTCCTGTGAAATGTTCAGCCCTTCATTCGCCCTAGAGAAACGCCATTCCTTCCTATCTCGTGCGCTTTTCTATAGTCACGGCGATGATGTATCGATGGGACAAAATGAGACCTGCCCCTATTTATAGCTACTTGAGTTAGAATTTCTAAAGATCTGCTCTACACCCAAGATGACACTCGAGTTTCTAACCCATGTCTTCCGACTTTAATACAAGGGGAAACAAACTTATCTGCGTGTGTTCTGACTGTGGAAGCGATCTGTTCGCTCAAACATCAATATCAAGACCCTATGCATTTGCATGATGGTCGTGTAGGATCATCGTATCTGCTTGAGCTTGATAGTTTTTGCATCTAAAGAATTATAGCTTTGAATTGCTATGATGACACTCGAGTTTCTAACCCATGTCTTCAGACTTCCATGTGTTGAAACAAACTTATCTGCGTGTGTGCTGACCTCATTCCCCAGAAGTTCTCGTGGTCCGATTGTCATCACTCAAAAAAACCTTGAAAGATCCTCGACTTCCAAAAAAGAGTCTGGGAATCAGGTACTCACTCCGCGGTAGCTATTTGATCGAACTTCGCAGAACCATTGTTCCAATCTTCTTGCATATGAACATTCCGCACATTCTGTTCAATGTGTACTTCCAGTTTAGCGAAGGAACGCGGACCGAAGTTGAGTTCGGCAGTGCGAAATTTCTTGCGCTCTTCCTGCTCTCTGGGGTATTTTTTGATAAATATCCTTGAAACTTGTATGTAGATCCCACTAAATCTGAAATCTTGTACGTAATATTAGCCTATCGGCTGTCCAGATCCCACGCCCACCAAAATCTCATAATTTTGTAGTGATTCAGCCCTCCACAGTTTCCTTGAAGGATGAAACTTAGCGAACGGGCGGACGGATCTATGCGTTTACGTGTAGTCTGACGATTGTTCGAAAGTGTACTAATCTTCTCGCTGACTAGGAAGTTGTGGCTGGAGGATAGTCTAGATTTTGTTTCTCGTCAATCATATTTAAAAGTACGCAGACACATCCCTTCGCGATTTTGAAAGTACGAGTACGACGAAAAATCTAAATCAACGTTTTCCAGATGGCAGGAAACCTCTTATCAGACGCCTTCGGAGTGAACGGAGTAGGCGCGTCGACTTCGTGTTATGGCTTGATTGGCGTCCAGATTGGCCGCCTCTTCATCGTCGAGTGGCCGCACATACAAGATGCCGGTATGAAAACGCGACTACATGAGCACTGGATGCGGGTCGGCGGTATGCTAGTGCTCTGGGAAGTTCTAAATTGGCAGACGATCGATCACTTCGGACACGGAGGCGGCTTGCTTGCAGGAATATGCCTAGGGTGTGTGCTGGACAAGGGGCAAAGCGTGCGATTTTCACCGCTGACAGACAGCCAAATGTATGCGACCTCTGCGAACGGCGGTGGAGGATTGATCGGTCCAACACCGCGCCAACGAGGGTACGCGACTAGCGTACTCACAATATTGATGCTGGGCTCAGCTGCAATGATATGGTATGGAGGCCGTGGCACTGATTTAGAACTCATTTGTCCCATGCTTTGGAGGCGTTACTTCAAGGAAACCTCGTGACACATCAGTGTCATAATTTTCAAGTTTAGAAAGCAACGGTTCCTGATCTTTAGAATGCTACATAAGAGAGATTATTTTAGCACAACACAACTAAAGATGGAGAGTGGCGTTCACCCAGATCCGTCTCTGCCGGTCCGCCTGGTCCTACTCAAATTTTTGACAAAGCAACGGTGTTCAAGAAAGGATCAAAGGTGTGACCCCGCGAATGTGATCTGGAGTTTAAGGACCTGGTGAAAATGAAATCAGCATCTGAAGGAGCGCATGTAAAGCTTCCAACTCTAAATCCGAAGCTTCTAGAGATGAAAATCAGGATCCCCATCCCGTAGGATCTGGGGATGGTTTAAGCACGTTTGAAACGATCTCGAATAATTGATGTGCCAAAGATCCTCGAATGTATTGGAGCACTAGCGAAGATGAATCTCCACGAAAGGATCTAGAAGGTGTCACTCAGATCTCACCACCGCTCTAGCTGATCGCCCCAGAGCTGACAGGGCCGATCTAATGTTTGAGATCCTGCTAATCTAAATTAGATTCAACCAAACGAGTACAAGCACAAGTCTCAAGTCAATTTGATATTAGGAATGTTGACGTTGGATTATTAAAATCATCACTCCGAAATCCAATTTCTAAATTTAACCATCCAGGGAAACGAGAAAAGCGAGTAGAGCTCGTCTTTAGTGTCGGTAGGAACCCCAAAAAGACAAGATGCCGAAGTCGTATCGTAACAGTAACTCGAACTTCCGTAAGCCGAAGCGTCCCTTCGAGAAGGAACGCCTCGAGTCGGAGATGAAGATCGTCGGTCAGTACGGTCTCAAGAACAAGCGTGAGGTAGAATCCTACAGCTCTCTTCTAGCATTATTGTAGACGTCTTACCATATAATTTTAGGCGACTGGTAGAAAAATTCAAGGGCGCCGGTTCGTAGTGCAGTCAGCAGATTTACCTTTGGAAACTGAATTTGGATCCGTCTGTCAAAGTTGCTACTTCTAAAGTTCCCTATCGTTTCTGCATCCTTGCTCGATCTCAAAATACTGTCGTACTCTAAAATTTCAATGCCCAGAATTTCCTAATCCGAACTGTAACTTCCCTCGACAGGTGTGGCGTGTCCAGTACACTTTGACGAAGATCCGTGCTGCTGCTCGTCAGCTTTTGACTCTTGAGGAGAAGGATGAGCGCCGAATCTTCGAAGGTGAGGCTTTGTTGCGCCGCATGATCCGTTTGGGTCTCTTGAACGAATCCGAGAAGAAGTTGGATTACGTTTTGGGTTTGACCCTGGCCAAGTTCATGGAGCGCCGCCTCCAGACTAAGGTCTTCAAGCTCCAGATCGCCCGTTCCATGCACCACGCCCGTGTCCTGATCCGTCAGCGCCACATCCGTGTTGGAAAGCAAATCTGCAACGTTCCCGGCTTCATGGTCCGATTGGACTCCGAGAAGCACATCGACTTCGCCATGACCTCTCCCTTCGGCCAGGGACGACCGGGACGCGTCAAGCGCGCCAACGCCGCCAAGGGAGGAAAGGGCGGTGACGAGGACGAGGACTAAGAAGAACGCACACATCGACTTCAAGCATCTGCTTCTTTGAGGACCGAGAGCTGTTGGAGAAGACAACATCTTACTTAGTACCAAACTTCGAGTGTGGCTGTGTTTTTAGAAAAGACGACTGCGAGTTCTCTTCTCCTGGGCGAGTACCACGATGGGGCAGTTTCGATCGTTCTAGGATCATTCGCAGAGGAGGTCACCGCGGTACACGGTCGAGTGGAGAATTCATGGAGGTATTACTACGTCACTTAGAGTGTATTCTTACGTCACTCAGAGTCTGGACCATTACTACAGCAACTTTGTTCCGTGATAAGCAAAAGTTCCATGCTTAGTTGAAATGAACAGGAATCAGTGTGAAAAGCCCATGTTGCGTGGACCGATTCTCTTTGCAACTCCAAGGTATTCATTTCATTTCTAAAACTCCTCAGGTCGATGCGCTTCGGAAGCTAAGGAGAAGCCCGATGTTCTAAATGCTTGCAGAATGTGCTGATGGCTTTTCAGTTTTGAGGGTTTTAGACGACTTTCGGAATGTGTATCGATGTCTTTGTTTGGGAGATGAAAGCACGACACAACAAAGAAGAACGACGACATAGCGTTTCTGGGACCGCGCGGCTTTCCGAGGAAGCCAGTGTTCCGCCACAACGATCGGATCTACTGTGACATACAGTTGTGTGAATTCTCTAGTTTGGATAGATGGAGAAACTGATGTCTGTGTGCGACTGTTGAATGTCTTTCGGTATATTTGAGATTGAGTGGGGCATGATGAGTCCTCAGGTCGCCGTGGTCAAGTCTGGCAGAGCGTGTAATTGTCATTGTGAGAAAATCTTCAAAATGTAAAGCGCGAAGACTTCGGTCCCCTCCATGTGACGTATCGGCTTTGAGAATTCCGAGAGATGCGTGCCCCCCTTCCCCAGTCCCGGCCTCGGGAAATTCGCGTTTCCCGGAACAAAGCAGTGAACGCAGAGCACAGTGATCCTTACGTAATACCATAGGTTTAGCGACTGGAACTGTAGAAGATTGCGAGAGATTTCTGGCATCCTATTTTGATATGAGGCAGTGTGACTGATTTGCTACTCTGCGTCTGATTCCATGTGTAGAATGGCGGTGAGAGAAAATGGATATGGACACCGACAAGTCTGTTCCGTCCCCGGTCCAAAGCACGGCTGGGTTTGTTGCGACGTGCTTCTATTTACAAGCTGGTGACGGAAGAGGTCTAGGAAAATTCTTCACGAGTTTGCGGAGGACGCCACGTGGGAACCAACGTGGAAAATGTGGGAATCCGACGCGTCATGGACAAGACAGGAATCCGAGAACGTGCGAAAAGGAGCATCCTGAACGAAATGCGATACGCCATTGGGAAAGTCGGATAATCCACGGGACAGGCCTGATCATGAAGGCGAATCGGTCCTGTGACGAAATTTAAGGCTACAAGAAATCCATCTTCGCGCATCGCGAGACCGTGTTCAAGGGGAAAAAGGTTCTACGGTGCGCGACAAGATGAATTTCTCTCATGTGTAATATACTCTTCACGTTCATGGTGTGAGCGACGTATGTTTTTGGCTCCGGAAAGATGTGGCCGACGGAAAGAAATTCAGCTTGTCCAAGAAGATCTTACGTCTGAAAAGGCGTGCATTGTGAGATCAACAGAAATTTAGATCCTAAGTCGAACGGTGACAAAGTGATCACCCGCAGAAGGAAATCTGGATTCAGGGAATGCGCTGATCTAAAATTCCATGCAAGATCTTCCAATTTTCAGTGACCAAAAAGCGACTGCTTTTGAGCAGCGAGATCAGCATCAAGACCAAGATCAACTAGCTCTTTGCTCCTCTATATCAACATTATCCCCCAAGTTTTGCTTTTATGATGATTTCTCTTTGTCAGACCCAGTGACCTCACCGTAGGGGAGGATGAGAATAGATTCAGAAGTCTTACAAGGAGGTTCGATAGAAAAAGGTAGTATTCGTGATAACTCGCAAGGCCGTTAAGGGTTTGAAAGAATATATAAAAGAAGAGCAGCTAGAAGAAGTTTGCAAGAAAAATATTGATTTTTTCTGCTTGCATTTAGCTTTCTCATAGAGCTATAGTAGGCAAAATGGGTAAAGGTGGCAAAGGAAAAGGTGGCTTCGGCAAGGGAAAGGGCAAGAGCTGGGAGCCCGAAGGTCCCCCAGAATGGGTTGAGGAGGTTGGCTCAACAATGCACACGTGCGAGGATCAGCTTATCGTTAAGTGCACCCACAAGCGAGTACCCCAGTTTAACGCAAGAATTTTCCTCGAGAACAAGGAACAGATAGGTATAGATACTTTGATTTTTGATTTATGTGCTTGATTTTCGTTTATGATTTCTTGACCAGGTTACATATCAGTGTGTGGTTAATTCCTAAAGCAGGATATGTTATCCAAGCATGCGGTTGCATATGCGTAATTCGCATAATGTTGAACTAGGCAATAATATCCTTTTACCTCTCGCCCATCTCTCTGCCGACGACACTACCAGGCTCTCTCGACGAAATTTTCGGACCGATTAACGACTACATGTTCTCGATAAAGATGTCCGAGGGTATGAAAGCGTCATCATTTAAGCAAGGCTCAAAGTTGTTCATCGACCCAATGAAAACCTTGGACTTCTCCCGATTTCTCCCGCAGAACGCTGGAGGAGGCGGCAAAGGTATTCATCTCTTTCAGAATCGTTGGGATTATGTCGTTGCTTTATTGATATATTCTAGAATCTGTTTCGGACTCTCTTGGAAAACGGTTAATGATTGTTTGAAGACTGTACTTTTTACGATGCAAGATCATGGGTTCCTCTTTGAAACAAACTACTTCAGGTAAAGGCAAGGGAAAAGGAAAAGGCAAAGGTGGCGACAAGGGCGGTAAGGGTAAAGGAAAGGGAAAGGGAAAAGGCAAGGGCGGCGACAAGGGAGTATCAAAGGGTGGCGGTAAGCCATTCACCGGTCGTGGCGGTAAGGGCGGAAAGTAAGAAAGCCTACGAAGCATACAACGCGCCTTGTCTACACTGGACGAAAACCTTGAAATTTTTTATTGGAACTTGTAACGCTTTGCTGACGCTTCTTTGAAATTACGAACTTTTATGATTTTACGCTTTTCTACATCGCACAAACAACAATGAGAACTGGGACCTCTAGAAGGGATGCACGCACGATAGAGGAGAGAACCCAGCAAGAACTATGTATTTCTGAATGGTACTAATGCTTTCGCACAAATGAATTCTTATTTGGGAATGATTTGCTGATTGGACAACGCTAGGCCGACTTTTTGGTTGGTAACAAATAACGATTGACAAGGCGCATTAAATGAAGCAATCAACTAGGCAAGAAGATGAACAAGGCACTTCATCCACAACTCCACGTCCGAATTGGCTCTACTACAAGTTGCAAGGTTGAGTCCAGATGTTCTTGTAGAGTTGGGGGGATCATGACGACGATGAAAATAGCAACTAAGGCCGGGAGATCCCAAGATGAAGTTATAGATAAGATCTTGGAATTACGGATCGAGCTAGGGCTAGTCAGAGATCAATCGCGTAAATGATGGTGCACTTCAAGTTCTTTTTCAACATCATCATGACAGATTTGTTTCATTGACGTCGTTTTCCTGCATAGAGAAATTCCTCTTGAGACTTAGGTGAGTGTAGCGACAATGGCTGAGATCGAGGAGACTATTTGCAAAACAGAGTCGATGTTGGCGAGATTAGAAAAGCAAGGCCCGCTTTCCTCAGTTTGTACCAGGTGGACGTGGACGAGGGTTTCATTTTTATGTCAGCCTTTTCTAGACCTATGTGCGAGTTTCCGCGAAAGACTATGTACCTACTTCGATAGTGCTTGTGATTTTGTTTACTATTAAGGATCTAACAAGAACAAGTAAAAATGTCAGTTTGTGGTCCAGCCTCGACCACTGCCGACACGTCGTCAGCGCCCGCGGAGCCGATAGCTCAATACACGGCTGTAGACGCTAATCCTGTTGTGAAAACGACGTCCGAGGAAGAAGTGGGAGATGTGACCATGAAAACCGATGTTGCAGCTGAAGCTGCTTCCTCAGTGGAGGCTGATCAAACTGGGGCTTCAACGGCTCAAAAGATCGAAGTATCGCCAGGTGTGTGGGTGAATCCGCAGGCGGTACCGACCGCCGGTGACCCAGAGAGCAAGAACGCTACGAAAAAGCGACTCCGAGAAGAACGCGCTAACGAGCGAAAGCAGGAGACGAAGCGACGCAAGAAGGAGCAAGAAAAGAAGAAAAAGGAAGAGAAACGCGCTGCGGCACTGCAAGCCCCAGAAGAGGGCACAGCTAATACATCAAAAGCAGCGGGCGAGGAACAAGAAGGAGCGCGAAATAATCCGACCCGACAGGAGGGTCGTGAGATTCGAAAACAGGCGTTGCTTCTGAAAGCCGAGAACAACGCGAAAATCCTGATAGACTGCGATTGGGATAAGCTGATGACCGAGAAGGAAGTCAAATCTCTCGCATCCCAATTGATGTACAGTTACAACAAGAACAAAACTAGTGAGGCGCCATCCCACTTCCTGCTCTCAAAATGCGACGGTCGGGTCAAGGAATCATTGGACCGCATTGGAGGCAGCGATAAGTGGCCAGCATTTTGGCGTACTGAAGAATGCCTGCTGCAAAAATTTCTTCAGCCGGCAGCGGAGAAAAGCGAAACAAGTAGTTGTGCGGCATCTTCCTCCGCTTTGGAGAAGAACGAGAAGGACGTTGTTGTGGAGGTTTGTAAAACTTCAGAGGAATCATCCGTTTCGTCAAGCAATGCGATGCCGTCTGACAACACGCCTGCTTCAACTCCGACAGAAAAAGAAGCACCTCCAGCGGGAAGATCAACTGAGGGGGATGACGATAACATCACCTCTTCAAAGTTGTTTTCTCTCGACTCATTCGTCCTTGAGAAGGAGAAAACTGTCATTTTGACAGCCGATACTGATGACGTTCTGACGGAAATTGATCCGAGTGTCACCTACGTCATTGGTGGCGTCGTCGACCGCAACCGCCTGAAGAATGCGACGCGACAGAAGGCTGACTTCTATGGCGTCCGCGCCCAACGTTTACCGATCAGCGAGTTCGTGGATTCCGATCTGGGTAGTTTCTCAAAGGTGCTAACAGTGAATCACGTGGTGGAGATTCTGTTGCACTACCAAGCGACTAAGGACTGGACGGCCGCATTGGAACAGGTGCTGCCGAAGCGGCGGAAAGAGATGGGCACGAAGGAAAAGGAACGTGCTCGTGAGCTCCTCGAAGCCAAGCTGCAAGCCGTCCGAGATGGACGGGACGGGAAAAAGGACGATGATGGTGGCGAGAAGAAGGACGCTGCCGAGAAGAAGGAAGCCACTGCTGAAATGAAAGCCGAAGGCGAGGAAGAAAGCGTAGATGTTACTGACAAACGTGGTGACAAAAACACGACGTCCGAGAAAACAGCGTAGGAGCTTCAAGGGATCTACAATCCGCACTGAAAATTTCTTCCAAGAAGAACCAGCTGTAAAATTCGCTGACTTGATGTTTTTATATAATTATGTCGTGACCGTCCCCTTATTTTCTTTCTGTGCCTCCACAAACTCGAAGACAACGAACTTCCTCATGATCGAGTTCATTTTGTGCCCCCCATCACAAGGACATGAGCCACCTCTTTTCAGAAGGTTGTTTCGTACGAAGCCAGATCGTAAGATCCGACCTACACGACGCTGTGTTCCTGGTCCAGACCTTCCTCATGCACAGTGAGTAGAGTGGATTTGGTAGCATTCCGAGAGTCTTTCTAACAGCATTGAAGAGCAAGGTGAAGAGCAGGGAAATATCGGTTATTTGATTGATGTCACATTTTTAAGTAGAAGTATCAAGTAGCTTGTCCTTGCGGGTCCGGGTATTTTAACGTCAGGTACTATCATTCATTCCGGACCGACAAGCTGCTAGAAAGAGAACAAGCATTGGAGAAGACGCGTGGACTTCTGTATGATTGCAGGCCGTTTTCCGCCTCATACCCCACACATTCTAGGCTTTTCTCTCCCTGTGTTGCAGACTTTAGACCTAGATTTTTTTTCCTTTACATACTAGTTTATCTAATGGGGATTTCCCTCTCCTTCTTCGCAGAAATGATTTCTCCAAAAGGTCTAGATAATTGAGATCTCTTTCATCATGTAGTGCGACACTACGGAGACTACAGGTGGAATGAGTTTTCCGATTCTAATATGTGGCCACCACGCAGGAGGTAATTGAATGCATGTCAGTATTTCAGCACTCGTGCATAGACCAATCAGTCGTAGGCATGTATGTTCTTATAAAATATATAATAGGACTTGACTTGACTACCTCCTGGAACGAGACGAGCAATAAGGCATGTCGTCATTACCCAAGAATGATGTGGCTCCGGAAGGAGCAGGCGCTGAGGAAACACGGTGCGTGTCTCCCTCAGCTGTATCGCCGACTCTTTTTACAACGACATTGCTCTTTTCGCCAACGGGCAGTCCTGCGCGTCTCGTGGCAAAATGCAGCGAAGCTGTTGGCGCCATTGGAATGCGAGCGGAGGGGATCGCTCGCCGAGCGGAAAACGTCATCCACTGTATCTGCAGTAGGGTGAGCCCTCTGCAGTTTGCGGTGCTGGGTTTTGCAAGTGTCCAAGTTGCACTTTTGTGCTATGTGCTATCCCTGGAGGGCGGATCACGAGAAGAGATTGAGGGAGGACCTCTCTTAATTAAGGCTAGTTTTTCACTATCCTTTGTGGCGTGTCCTGAGTGGCGGCACCCTTTATTTAAAGGGAAAATGAATGGTAAAGAAAGCCCTTCACTCAACCACGCATAGTGAAAAACTACCTTTAACTCAATGGAGCTCTATGCGCGCTTCATCTGTGCGTTGCTCTTCGGGATGACGGGATTCGGTATACTCACACATTGTAGCCTCAAATTGCTCATTCAACACGTGTCTAAGCATGTGAAGCCTGTACCCAAAAGTTTGTTTGATGCAGCAGCGCTCTCTGCGAGGCAGCGTTGTGCGCATAATGGAAGCAGGAGCTGGACTTCTCGAGCTCGACAAGGGGCGGGAGGTGAAGGAGACGGCGACTCACGTACTAACTCGTGTGCTGCGCTGCTCCGGGGCTTTGTTGTAAGGATAAGGGAACTTCATGGATCAAGAACTAGAAGCAGTGTTTCGTCCGACGCCGAAAGCAGTTCGTACGCAACGAAAGTCTACAAGGAGGCCGATGCAGATGTAGAGGAAGAGCCCTATGATGAAGTTGCGAAAGCGAAGACCTTGGATGCGCCAGGCGATGCTCTCAGCAGGGACAGCAGCGGAGAGTCAAATGCTGCCAATCGTCTGCGCCTTCTCGAACTATTGAACACGGCAAAGGACGATGAAGGTGGTAGCCAGAGTCATGGAAGTGGGGCTGACAAACGGGACGCTGTGAGTAAGTCATTAGCACTGAGGAATGGCGCTTCAGCGACTACAGACGACGTAAACTCGAGTCCTGCAACATGCAATAATGCGCATCATTTGTCGAGGAGGAGATTAGCAGATTGGCTCAGGAGATTGTCATCAAAGGAGGAGCACGCAGCGATAGGCTTTTTTGTCGTTTCCGTCATTGAATTTTCGATCGTTTTTAGCGTGCAGGATCAGGGTTCATCCTACCACGAGCATGGGAAAATCAATTTCGTTTTGTTCTTACTGGTGACATGCACGGCTCTTGGTTTGATCCTGCCTATCACGCTGCAACCGACTTGGAAGCGCAAACTTGCGGTTTTTCTCGTGTACATCCTGGTCGTAGTAATTCACTGCGCAGTGACGCTGCCGCACTACATAGAGCTGTGGCCTCGCGGCGTCGGAGTCAACCTCGAATTCGAACGCCCGTCATCGTGCTCAGTGCGCGAAACATGGCCATGGATTACAGCAGTGCCGCTGCGAATGAACTTCCTATTCTCCGGAACGCAGTGTGAATCCGAAGGTGGGTATACTTCGGTTAAGAAAACGGGTAGTAATTCACGGAGTCGTTTAATAATACCAGATGGTTTTGAGTACTACCGTAGTTGCTACTACTTGAACTTGCCTGGTTGTCTTGGTACATGACTGTACTATTACAGACCACGTATCTTCACATACACATACTATGCATAGAATCTTTTGGCTAGTTGGCCTTGACTCTCATGAGTGTTTGTACTCAAGCTTCTGATCTTTCTGCTCTAACACATGCGACTTGTCATGGCGCGGTAGCCTCGTGGTGGAAACTTGGTCGAGGGATGCCGACACGACTGTGCCTGCTTCCGCGGACGGCTTTTTGCGATTGAGACTTCGAGCAAGGACGCCGCATTGGGCGACCCATTCTGCTTCAGCTTTACAAGCCGATCAGGACGCCGAACGACTGAGTCTTGAGCTATTGGGGAATTCGACGGCAACAGCGTCTACGTCGTTGAGCCTCGACAGAAATTACACTGCACTTGTTCATGGGCTGACTCAAAGCTTCAACGAGCTGAATACAGGGAGTCAAACAACCAATAGCACAACAACAGGCGATCAGAATAAAGCGCGTGCAGAAGTCGACACGAAGATCGCGACGTTGCGCAGTCTTTTGACCACCGATGTTATCGAGTTTACACGCCGCGCGACAGCATTGCAGGATCTTTTTCTGCAGCAGTTCTTTTCGAAGTGTGAGGTGCGGATGGTACGCACCCGAGGCAGCTTTGAGGTGGAGGAAGACGTTATTCAAAAAGGGTGGGAGGAAGAGAAGTTTGTGACGATTGATCCTGGTGCGGCGAACCGAAAGGAGTTGGAGCAGAACTCGGAACACAACCCGAGAGGAGTCGAGACGAAACTCTTGCCGCTTCTGCTTCGTCGTGCCATGATTCGCGTTCTCGGTGAGAGGCATCTACTGGAGGCAGCTGCCAGTGCGGGTCTACTCGAGTCGGACGCCTTTGTGGAGGTGGTAAAAGGAGAAGATACGGACGATCATCAAGCCGATTTTCCTACTTTTGGCGACGAAGAGAAACAACTTACCCGGCTTGGATCTGATTTGTCAAAGCTGAGTCGGGATGACGGATCTTCAAGCCCATCAACGCATTCCAATAGTACCCTCACAGTTCTTGATGCAGCTAGAAAAACAAGCTTAGCAGAGTTGGCGCGCCTTCTTCGTTCGGTCGGGTTCGCTCGGTTGATGATTCGAAATATGCGGAAGCTGTTGCACGGTGGTGAGACCGGGAAGCAGAGAATCAGGGAGATCTCGATCGTTTTACCAGCATTTCGATCAGCAGTGTTTGGAAAAGCGACATGTATCGCGCCTCCGGGATTTTCAGGGACGACAGAGTCGGCATTCATTACGCAGAGTTTGCTACTCGAGCCGGAAACGCATGAGCAGGTTGCCGATGTCAAATGCAATGTCACTAATATAACACACACCGGACGACGAGGAGGAGTTGGCTGCGACGGGGTGGTAGGAGTAAAGAACTCGACAATTACAACTACAACCAGCTCAGTAGAGCAAGAGCCCCTCACAGAGCTAGAAACGATGCTTTCTTGGAGATTTGCTGCACTAGATTTTCAAAACAGGTGGTCGAGGCGTGAGGCATCCTCTAAACCCTACGATCACATTCCGATCGTGATGATTGTAATCGACGCGATCGGGCGTGCAGAGGCAATGCGAAAGTTACCTGAGACGTTTGCGCAGTTGAAAGCGATGGAAAATAGGACTTTGCAGCAACGTGGTGAACGTTCCAACTATACGCTGTTTGATTTTGTGCGGCATCATTCAACAGGTTTTGCCACGTACCAGAACGTTATCGGAATGCTGTACGGTTCTCCGCATGATAGCCACAACACGTGTCCTATTTTCTGGCGGCACTCACCTGGTCCCAAGTTCGTTTCACCCCAGATGAACGAAACTGACTGGACGCGCAAGAGACAGGACGTGTTTGCGCAGAGACGTATTATTCCCGATGACAACAGACATAATGATGCCGATGATTCTTCAACATCTACCTCAACAGATAGTGATGGTCGTGCGCCTGGACCTGTTTCAACATCTCTCTCGGTGTCCTCGTGGACACCGTTGCGGCGATACGGTTCTGCTGCGGAGAAGTTTCCTGCTTGGATGATGGATGACTGGGGTCCAAATGTTCATGAAATGTTAGCTCCATGGGTGGAACCCGAATTGTGGGATCCCGACAACCCCTTTGACATTCTGAATGGCGGACCGTATAGTGCGACAATCCGCTGTCTCGGTGGCCGGTTCTCGCACGACTATCAACTGGACAGTGCGGCGCCGAGAATGGTGAGAAGCAGTAGCAGAAATCATGTACGTGATCGGAGGAGCGGAGAGGAGAGTGGAGCGTCATCATCTCTGTGCTGTGATACTAGTCCTAGTGCAAATACAGTCGTGCGTCCAGCCGTTTCGTTGCATTGGTTCCTCGAGGCGCACGAAGCAACACGCGCAGTTGTGGAAACTGTGGATAGGGGCTTGGCTCGCTTCCTACGGAGGATTGAGCCTTCGCTGGATGATACAATCCTTATCATCGCGTCTGACCACGGCAATCACTTGGGTGCCTACCCCTTTCTATTTGACATTAAGGCCTTTCTTGAGATGAGCATGGTCGTGTAAGTACATTTTCTAGTTGTGCGCGAAGTTGAAATTGATGTTGAGACTGAAGGCGGATCTTCAGTGGAGATGGTGTCAACCACGAACTGAATAAAGGAGTAGCACCAGTCTATTTTGCGACTAAGTAAATAAGTGAGTTATGACATCTTCTGTTGAGTATGTCTAATCACAACGGATATGTGGAGATGAGCAATTCTATGTTTCTCCTTTCCGCACCGAACTGGCTCCTTGACACAGCGCCAGTCGAGACCGCATCTTCATCTTCATACGGTGTAGACGCGGATGAGCGCAAATCACAACTGCAGACTATCCGAGATGCGCTAGAGCGGAGTCAGCAGGAACTAACAACCCATTACGATATATACGAGACGCTGGTCGATCTTGTAAAGCTGGACGCAAAGGCAGGTAGGAAAAAGATGGAAGAGTGCAACAAGATGTTGAGAAATACATCGAATACTCATGATCATAATGGTGACCCTGACTCATCTAGTACGCAGATTCACTCGAACGATGTACCGCCATTTGTTCTTCCGACGGAGCAGCGATGCTCGAAGCATGGCCGGTCTCTGCTGCGTGCGATTGTCGGGGCGCAAGGCGATCGCTCAACCAGTTTAGAGCAGAATCGGAAAAGCATGTTTCTCCCGGAAGTCCTTCGCAAAACCTGCATGTGCGAACAGTGCGAACTTTTCGAAGTCTGAAAGTGTTCACATTCATATTTTCACACGTTTTTTCGATTTCGTACATCTGAAATTTTGAAATAGAAGACGCAGCAGGCACGTAGCCGTTATTGAAATTTTCACTATAAATGATGAAATTATACTTTGTATTGCACATTTATCAGTCACTAAGCTATCGGTCGTACGTGTCCTCGCTAGTGTATTCAAGCCTTTGATGCTGGAATGAACAAATGAAAACACATGTTGACTGCCATCGACGTTGGTGGAATCCGCGCAATAGATGTTTTTGGTGAGTTTTATAGCCCCTGTACAGAAAATTCTTGTCACTCTTCTAGGCAGTTCTAACTTCCGAATGTTCATGCGCATGTTAAGCAATGAATAGTTTTTGCTTACTAAAGTTGAAAGACCACGTCAGCGATGCTAGACGCCCGGTCGTTGTTGATTTCGTCCATACGATTGCTCTACCTCTAGATCGCTTCTAGGCTTTTTGCGCATCGGTGTACTCATTTTCTGCAAGAAAAAACAAAGAAATTTATAAACAGGTGCTAGTATCTATTGTATGAATAATCGATCCTCGTCTCAACTTCTCTTCTGAGTTCCTGAATGAGCTTTTCCCCGCTCGGTCAACTTCTTGACTAAGCGCAAAACTCCATTCCTGAATTTATTCCATAATATTGTCCACAAACAACGTGGTATAAATCTCAATTCCTCTAAAGCAAAAGTGCCAGCAGAAACTTCGGATCGACTGGTCTGTTGGTGAAGCAAGTTGGTACATTCAAAGTGGGTGTTCGCTGAAGAGGCATGGCGATGTTAAAAATGCATGAGGCAGAACATAATTTTTGACACCGATGTGATCCTGCTCATCAAAGTGAGTGTTCGCTGAAGAGGCGTGGCGATGTTAAAAATGCATGAGGCAGAACATAATTTTTGACACCGACGTGATCCTGCTCATCGTGCCTGGAAAATCTCTGTCAAGTTCCCAGTAGAGCAGCGTCTGCAAGAATGAAATGAGGCTCCTTGCTGAGTGTGGTTTTGAGAGGTCTAGAACTCTTTCATTGCATACACGCATTCAATTTAGTTTTACCAGGAGAACTGAAAGCGAGGGCTCAGCACTGACATGCGACTATAATTTTGGATTAGGTTTCTGTCCAACCCTAGTGTCCCCTGTCGACAGTATCTGCTTTTTTTAGTCGTGTTCATATCGCCTTGGCTCTCCGTTAACGCCGTTCCAGCTCGTTTCCTGACGTAGAGTCGTCTTCTTGTGGTACGAAAAACACTCTCCTCCGTGGTTTTCAATCGGGACAAGATGGCCTCATCAGACTCTCCAACCCAGCACACTGCTGGAGGACGCAAGCGACCCGGGTCGCCGCGTCGGGATGGCGATGCTTCAGCCAAACGCCCGAAAGCGCAGCCAAAAAAGGGGTTATTGTCCTCCGCATCAGGCAGGACGAATTCTCCTCGGAATAGAGGAGACGAAGAGGCGGTGCGATTACGTATCGGTGACACACTCCTCTTGCCCGTGAGTAGTCCAGTCTTTCACCCAGTACGACGAGCGCAGGAGGAAATAAGGAAGCTCGAAGACCAGTGCGTGTCGGACCAGATCGTCATTCAAAAGATTATGTTGACATTGAATTCATACATCTGTATGTTTTAACTACTTAATTGTTCTTGAAACCTTCTCTTACTCAAATTTAAGGTTGAAGATTTTTGTCAGGTTCAGAAAAAGGAAAGTGATGTATCTATCCCATTCCGAGTATCTGAAATCTCTAAGGCCCGTTACGATCAGATGAAGCAGCCTTGTTTTGATCGACGGACGCGGATTCTGCGAAAGATTCCTTATTTTTGGTCAAATGTGGTAGCGCGTGTGATTGACCCGGACTTTAGCGGTGTCGCAGCTTTTATTGCTCTAAGGAACAGCAATAGTGCTTCTTCCAGTTCCCCCTTTGGTGCAGCGGCCAATGGCACTCCTGGCCCCTCTGCTGCCACTGCCATTAGTACCGGTAAAGGACATCTGCACCAGGATGAACAGCCTATGTTGAGAGGAGGAGGAGGCTCGTCTTCGTCGTCTAGCGGGTTGGCAAGGTTGTCACAGGGAAGCGATCCATCATCCAGCGCGGAACCTGGATCTTCGGCAATAAATGCCTCAACGGCGAGCAATGGGCATGAAGCGGTCACAGGATCAGCCGGTTTTGCTGCTGGTGGAGAAAGAGGGAGGAATAGGAACGCAGGTGCCGGCAGTGAGGGTGGTTTTTTCTCGTTTTTCAGTAACATGTTCTTCAGAAGACCAGGTAGCCTCTCTGCACCAGCAGGAGGTGCACCTACGACAGAGGCGAACGGAGGATTACATGGCGGACCGCAATCACGGACTCCATCTGTCACCGGAGATGGCCGTGACTCCGACCCAACGTTAGTAACTGTTGCTCGCAGTACTTCCAACAAGGTCCTCGTATCGCAGACGAAGAAGCACGGGAGTTCCAGCAAAGGAGGTTCGTCTTTATCTATAGTTCCTTCCTCATCGGGTAATTTCTGCAAAGGAACGCTGTTTTTGAGCGGATTGGTCGACGTGCAGCTTGCGGATAATCTCGACGCCTTTGGGTCACACCGCTTCGCCTTCGCGTTTTCGGAACTTTTTGGCTGTATCGATGTGCGAATTGTAAAAAGCGTCAACAGTGGGACGCACGCAGTCACCGTCGACTGCAATCAAGGGCATGTGAAACGCTTGTACCAGGAAGTTTTCGAGCCCGGGGTGGGTGGAATGTCATCGAAGGGAGGTAAGAATAGCAGCGCTAAAGGCGCAGGTGGAGCTGCTGGTGCACCGGTACTACGATCAGGTGCTGCAGATCATGACGCTTCATCGAACGCAAACACAAATGGCTTAGGTGCAGGTACTCGGACAAATGCAGCGTTGGCGTCCGTAGTTGGAGTAGCACAGACAGCTGCTACTTCCGATGGGAGCAGCTCGGCATTGTCGTCCCAATCGCGTGATGGAGGGAACCAAGTCTTTGCAAGTCCAGATGCATTGCTAGTAGCAGACGGTGCCAACGCAAACTCACTAGCTGCAAATGGGAAGACATCCGCTCAATTTGGCAGTACTACCTCCAGTTGTGGCAACAGCAATGGTAGTCCAGAGTCAGGTGGAAGCAAGGGCGCCGGCAACGGGGTGCAGGAGGTAGATCGCGTTTTCTTCGCCTGGCTGTTCTCGGAGAGGTACGAAGCATACGACTTTGGGACCGCGTTTCGTCGCATAGTGTGGCAGAACCCATATGCGTTCGTGGAGGACCTGCTAGCAGCGTGAACCCAAGAGTTAAGACTTTCAGGACTTCCTTATCCTTTCCACCAGCTTCACCTTGGCTGCATTCAAAAGATTGAGATTCATCGGGATGACCTTATCTCATAGGTTTTGAACTAGTGGTGGTGGTCACCCGCACCCTCAACAACATTACGTGTTGGCTACTGTGATCTCATGTGATCCACTCATTAAGCTGGAGTGGAGGTGTGTGTGAGGCACATTTGTTGAAGGCTGTTCGTTTGGCGAGCGCGAGCCTTCTTGCCTATTTGGGGAATTGTTCTATGATCTAAATCTGTTAGAAGGGAGCGGTACTGTGAATTTGAGTGGAAGTAAAACAAAATGTGAAGAAAATAGTGAACAAAATGGAAAAAGTGTCAAAGACAGCCACGAAAATTCGAAAGCAAATCTGTGAAAGCAAATGTGTTTTTTTTTGAGGAACATGGCAAGCGCAAGTTAACAATGGGGATGTTGTCCTATGCACCACGGTAAAATAAGATCATGATGATTTCCACGGAGTGACTGAAAACTATATTTACAACTAGAGAATACAAAGTTTTTGGTTTCAAGAACGTTCAACATTCGCATTGTATGTATCTTGTGCCACTGTGTGTAGTTTGTCCCACGCCCTAGAACACGTTGCAGAATCATGGTCGTTCCTGCCGGCGATAAAGCTGCGAAAACGCTGCTGCAACAGCGCGGCGCCGCGCCAGAGGAGGCGCTGAAGGTGCGCCAATGGACCAGCCTGGATAAGAAGGCTACAAAAGCTTTTTCGGGTCAAAGCGGGACTGTCACGCTCACGTCTACGCCGAAGAAGGAAAGGGGTACTGCTACACTCACCTCGACACCGAAGATGGATCACGCATCTTCAAGAGCTAACCTGGTGTCGGGTGGTGCCCTTGTGAACATGGGATCTACGGCCACGATTACTGGCAGCATCAAAGTATCACCGGGACTGGGGTCGCCGCAGGCTTCGAGCACTGTTGTATCGAGTTCCGCGGATGTTGAGCACTTAGATTTAGGGCTGGTTGAAATACGTTGCGTAGAACTCACCTGTTCAAAGGACTTAGTAGGACTACTAGAGATCAACCACCTATTTTAATTTTTTTGATTTATCTTTTCTCGCCTTGCTAGTACGACGACCTGGTAAAACCGCTTATCATCTTCAATAGGCTTCTCTAATCCACGGGCGTGGGAAGCGGCGTAGGAGCATCCGTAAAGCACGAACGGACACTGCCGTGAAGGCCGGAAGGATGTCGCAGAAAATGCATTTCGATGTCAACGCAGCTTCTGAGACGGGAACTGATGAAACACTTACCGCCGGAACAGGTACCCAGAACGGAGCTTCAACTCTCGAAGCCTACAAATCAACCACACACGCACCGATTCCGCATCAGAAAGACAGTACCGCGACTGCGATGATGAATCTATTTGGGCTTTGCGCGTGTGTCGGGACGTCGATCTACGTTCTCCCGGTGACGTTTTGCCTTGACGTTCTGTTTGTGCATTGGATCGTTTGGGCAGTGGCGCATTGTTTCTTGTGCAAGTTGGTGATGTTTGCGTTTGTTCCGCAAGGCAGCGACTTGAACAGCACGGAACTGGACGGCGTGGCTCCTTGGTCGTATATCCTATCGACGGTGCGTGCGGGTCTATTTGCGCTCCTGGCACTGACCTCGCTGGGATACCTATTCTTTGTTGTGGTAAAAATAAGGACTTTGCTGAAAATGGAGAGGACAGGGGCTATTTTGGAACCTATTGGTGAACTAAAATCAGTGACTAGTTGTACTCAGGAAATATTTCGCCTTGTTTTAGTGGTCTAGTCATCTCAAAGATCTTCAAACGTTTTTCCTTCGGCATACAATCACTTTCTGAAAAGGTCCCCGCTGCCCCGTCGGAACGCCAAGATTTCTTCTTGAATGCCCTCGAGTTTCGCTTTCCTCGTGACAAGCACTTGGAGACCTCACTGTGCCGGCAAATCGTCACCCGCAACGCGACCTGGGGTATCCATGGCGTTCCGTGCATGGTGGAGGACGATAATTTCCAAAATCAGTTGGACACAGCTACGTTCGTGCGCCAAAACGCAGAGAAATTGAGTGTCATCTCAGCTCTAGAGTCGACTGCAGCCTCCGCTACAAGCTATGCGCAGCAACTACAAGGCGCAAACCAAGCCCCCTACGATTACTCCGATATTTACACGTATTTGAAGATGGCGACAGGCACAGTGGATTCGGTCATCTCTGGCGCGACAGCCTGTGTGCGTAGCATCCTCTTTTTTTCGGAGTCAACTCTGACGGAATTGGAGGACGATCCAGCTTACTTGCAGCACATTCACGGCTTCCAGAACACCTACGTAGGGTTTGAGGACGTTTCAACGTGGCTGGATTTTGAATTTCGGAAGCTGTATATGGTTGCGGGAGACACGAGCAACCTGAATTCGACTCCAGAAATCGAGCTGATGAACCTGTGGATCTGCGTTTTCTCGAGCTTTTTTTGCGGGATGATGCTCTCGGACCTTTACAACTACAAGTTAGGTGTTTCTGAAATATATCAGAATTTTTTTTGTCGAACCGGAAGCAGTAGATCACAAGTATTCCGTCTTAGGTTAGAACACACTCGATACAATGACTGCGCACAATCACGTTGTATTTGCAGTATCCGCTAGACATGCTACCCGAATTGTAGTTTAGTACCTTCCAGACATCATGCTGCTCATATTCTCTAACCTGCGGCTTCCCCGCCCTTTGGGGTGATATCGGCTTGTGGTTTCACCACGGATTTGCGGTGATCTCGCTGACGCATTTTTTTTGGTGTAATTGCCGTGGTCCGGTCTTCTGTATTACCGTTACCGTTGTGGGGGAGATGGGGACCAGCGCTTTTTCTTTTGCAGCTTTGAAATCCGACTCGAGATTCAGGAGGGGGGTTTACTGGTACACTTATATCAGAATTACAACAATTACAATGAACGATAATCGTGATTCTGATTCTAAGTAGCAGTTGATGACTGATCTCAATCTAGTTCTAGAGAACCTTGTTACGAAGGTATTGATAAATCCTAATCTTTTCTTTGTCTCTGTTTCGACTGCAGTATCCATGCCTAAGACTTAGGACGCTGTGCAGCTTGAATGAACGATCAAATCCAGGTTCGTAATGTCCCTTTCGAATATTTTAATGATGCTGTCGTGGTTTGCGGTGAAGTGGTGCTGCTGGCCTGACTACTACTGGAGCTTTGCTTGGACAGTTTCCTTCACCGCACTGACGTGCGCACGACAGGCAGTCATGCGTAGTAACATTCAAACGTGGGCCGCAAAGTGTGGTGCTATCGATTCTTCATCTGATAGTGGCGACGACTCAGAAGATGGTTCGAAGAGCAAAGTGGAGTGAGAAGATTAGATCTATAGGGGAAGAAGTAGAAGTAGTAGTACTACTAGGAGCACTAGGTTTCCAATTCCATCTGATAGTTTTCCAAGAATGATTATGATGAAATGGACATAGGCTCAGCCATCACAGGAATTTGACGAGTAGGGCTGATATCTTCATGCGTATATGCGGAAGTCGGGTGGGCTGTTAAGCATTCATTGATGCGAAAGGTAATGGCACGCACGCTGTGGCTACAGCCCTCGAAAATTTTCCTTGAGGTTACAAGTAGCTTTTTAACACCAGTATGTTGCGGGAGGGAGTTTTTAGTAGCGCAGTTTGCGAACGTGCTGTAAAAGGGAATTCGCGTTCGTTGTTTATTTTTTTTCAATGCGAATGACACAATGAATATTCTGGAAGGAAAACGGCAGCTTCTCTTCTAGCAGTTTGTAATAGTAGTAGTACGCACGAACATGGCGAGACCAAAATATGTACGGTCGGGTGGAAATATGAAGGGAGGCAGACTTTAAGACTAGTTTTTTGCACAGTGAAGCATTGAGCATCAGGCTGCATATATCATGGCTCAGAAATACATGTCCAACGATTTTTGAACTAATTTTCATAGTCATAACTGTTTGACGTTTTTCATATTCAGATCATCTATAAAAATGTATGTTCATGATTAAGTGCATATCATCGCCCAGTTGGACATTCAGGGAAATTCCCTGTTTTCATCCAAGGGAACTTTTCCTCGTCTAGATTACGAGGTTGCTCGGCTGGTTTAAACAGTCAACATAGACTAGTAAAGGAACGAGTCGTGCGCATGAGGGGAGGGTCTCTCCACTACGACCAAATTGCGTACCATCTTCTGTGCGCGTCATGGGAGTTGTACTTGTCCACCTTCTCCTCGTTCAAGTGGATCTCCATGGAGGAATGGCAAGGGACCTCCTACTATTCGGTTCCGGTGGTTAAGCCATGCTTCTTCACTGATTCGGTGGAGAGGTGTGGTGTGTTGGTGTTTCGGAATCACATGGTACTTCTAGTTAGTTTCTGAAGAAAATTAAAGATCATATATCAGAAGTGAAGAGGACAGCAAATCCTTTATTCGAATTCTCGCGGTCACCGTCTCTTTCGTGTGTGTGTGTCCATTTTGATGAAAGTGAGACGATGTTGAAAGTGAAACAAGATACTCGGCACCAATCAAAATGTTGTGCTCTATGAATTTTGTGAGCGCAGAAATTAAGAGGGGCCCTCCAAGAACACGAACTTGGAAACGCACATGAGAATTTCAAGGAGACCAACATCGCCATTCGAGTAAGTAGGTAGAGACTACCTCGTGAGAACACAAAAGAAACCCTGAATTTGAATCGGAGTGCAAAAAAGACTTGCAATTGTTACACATTTTTGTTTCCGGTGAGATGAAAATTTTATATGACCACGCGTGATCCTCACTCTCGTAATTGCCCCAAACAAATTTTTTTTTCGTAATTACCCCTTACCCTTTCACTTCGCAACTTCGTCAGACAGGAAGAAAAAGTGATATCTTTCTCTCAAGAACATCGTGAAATGAATTGATGGTTTGATCACTTATGTTGAATTCTTCTTATTTTTACCGGTTCTGGGCCGTATACGGTAGGAGTACTAAAAATCTTTGATGTTTAGTGGAGAGTAGAAATACACGGATGACGCGAAGGGATTGCGGATGATCGCTCCCCTTTTTCTATTTGGGGAGCTACATCAAGGGTGTCGTGTCCTCTCCCACTAGTGCGCCATACAGCGAACCCGGACCACGGCCACCACCGGTTGAACAAGCGTGCGACGCTTCAAGCTGTGGCATTTTAGACGTCTAGTGCGCGTGGAAATGATCCGAGTTGCCGGTGTGAGGATCGAATATTATGCCAGATAACGAGAGACGCCCAAGCGGACTAGAAGCACGACACGCATCGATCACTAGGGCACCAGCGGGAGCGAAACAGCGCTGCACGGCGACTCACTGGTTTATCATTACGCACTATCATTAAGCGAGCCGAATGATGGCGCTCCACACGACGGGAGTAGACCAGCCGGCACCGCGTGTGCACTTCTACGACTTTGTAGAATCGCTTTCCGAACCCGCACAGAGGAGTCTCGCAGAGTTTCTGGAAGTCTTAGATGTGAGGTTGGACTACAAAGCGGAAAAAATTCGCCAAAAGATTCGCGCACTTGTCAAAAAGGGGGTCCTCACAACATGCTGCCAATTGTATTTCTTCCATATATAATTCACATATGCTTATGAAAATAGGCTGTAGATGAAGTTTACATTTACTCCTGTAGTTATTGTTATTCCGAAAAGGCTCGAAGAGCATGGCTACGGGGCTGACGCTGGGTGCCGCCCGCCAACTGGCTTGCTGGCTTTGCCAGCTACTTTCCTGTGCCTGCGAGGGAGCACGTCGCTTGCGAAGCGCCTGCTGTTGGGCCTCTGGCCGCAGGTGAACGGGTATGGCATCACCCCCGAGGTTGAGAAATTTAAGGAAGAAACCAGAGCCGCGGCCGAGATACCGCCGGGCGCGCTCCTGGGAGCACGTGGCTGGCAAGCTGGCGCGACGCTCCCCGCGGATTTTGAGGCCTTCTGCGCGCGTGATAAGCGCCACAGCAACAAGCCCAGCCACGACCTCGCAGCCGATGCCGATGGGACAGCGGGCTGACGCACCTCCCTGGGCACCTACTGGCTGCAGGCAGCGGCCTCACATCCGTCCCCCAGACCCCAGGGGGCTCAGCTGGCCTCCTGGGCGTGCGCCGTCGCCGAAGAAGTAGAGCGCGCGCGAGACGCTCGGCCCCGATCAGGTGGGTCACGTAGGTTAGATAGAGAGCAGCATCCTGGTGTGCTGTTTTTCTTTGCATTTTTTGATGCTCTGGCCCACCGCACCATTCGGCTCTTTGTTGCAGTTTTTGCTGCTTTCCCCTAATCAGTCTTGCAGTGCAGTTTGGGCGCTTTGGCTCTCAGATGTGTATGCGCGGCATCTCTACGCAGCAACCGCCGCAACTTCGTTGCTCCCGTTTTTGTACTCCAGGGCGGGGACCGGACCGGCGGCAGTGCCTTGGTGTGGCGGTCTGGCTTTTCACCAAGCTGCAGAGTTTTGCCACAAATGCCTTGCGTGCCTTGGGGTTGCTCTAGCCTTTGTCTGGGGTAGTCTTGTAGGCCTGGCCCTAACAACTTTCCTGCGCTAGAACTAGATCGCGCGCGGAGTTCTGTGCCTGTAGTGCACAGCCCGCCTCACCCCGGGCCAACCTCGCCCCCGCTATTATTGTCATCATTATTATTATTTTTCACTTCTGTAGCTAGCGGCTATTTTGATTAATATCTGCAGATGGTTGCCACCTGTATTGAAGAGGATTTTGCTGTTAGACCTGATTTCCTTGTTTCATCTAGAAGTGGTATATTACACATCAGGGGCAGTCAAGGTTTTGAGGAGGCGGAGCACAAAGGAGACGCAGCAATTGACACACGTGTGAGAAACCGAAGTGACAAGGTTAGTGCAGCCTTTCGGTCGATCGCGGAGCATGCAGGTGAAACGAAAATGTTTGCTAACAACACATTGCAGGCAATGACGTTTTGTCGCATGGGCCTTGTCAAACTGATTTTATGGGTTGCTGTCATGTTAACATAAGAAAATAGGCGTGGACCGAGAGAAGATCCTAGGGGTGGGGCTCGTTGCCATTGATTTTTTAGGGATCGATAAGTCGCTGCCAGTGTAGTGGAAATAATAGCATGTGGTCTTTAGTCCCGCCTTCCGAGCAGTATGTCTTCAGTGTTTTCTAGAAATAGCTATAGCATATATGCTACTTCCGTGCCTCTTTTAACTAAGACTTAAGGGGAGGCACGTACTTGAAATCCTCTAATGGTCCACGATGGAACTCTGGCTGTGCCTGACCACGATCTTCAGGTCACGGAGTGGGTACCGATCGAGGCGAAAGAAGGTGAAATAAAGAAGTCGATTCAGCAACAAGCTTGGGATCATCAGATCGAGCAAATCATAGACGCTGCGGCACAAGAAAGAGCCATGGAGATGAGAATTAAGGCTTAATCCGGGAATCCATCTTCACAGGCATCTTGGTCCTGCCGTTTTTTTAAAGGGACGAAAAGGAGACCCAACAAGATGCTGCTGAGGCTGGACCTCTCTTGGTTCTAATAGACGAAAGAATGGATCTTCGTCGGGAGTGGGACTCTCACGCACGAAGGGGGATCCTCGCGGTAAGGGAGGAGTGAAGAGCCATGAGAACAAAAAACGTGTAGTCTTGCCATACGGGAAGGTTCTTGAAACGGCGCTCACTGCAACGCAGAAATTGTTCGACACCTACCGCACAGGCGGGAGCAAAAAGGAACAGGCGTACACAGAGGCTGGGCTCTATGTTATGAGTCGTGAATGGGCATTTACATCTTGATCTTGCTGATCTCAGAAAAGTGTACTACGTGAGAGTGATCGAAGTGCTAGTACGATATTTTTTTACAACGAGTTGGTTGCGTCATTCATAATGAAGAACGCAGCTGCCAACGACGGGGAACCCGACTTGGCGGATGCTTGCTACGTCTATGCGTCGTACGATGGCAGGAAAGGCAGGGAAGACAAAGCGCAAAGACAAAGGCAAAATAAGGTTTTGATTTGTTTTTTTTGCATACTTAACGGTCTCGCATGAATAGCTATACATAGGTCCATGGAATAGCTTTGCCCCTGGTGATGAGTACTTGGAAGATTCTATACAGGAGTAGGCTTGTAATTCTTGACAACTCAGAAGGGTAAGGGTCTTCAACGATTTTTTTTCCTTTTTGCGATGCCAGTATGCCCGAAAAAACATGAACATGTTTTCCATGATCAACAATTAATATGGTTCTCAATATATAATTATCTATATCAGAGTGGCTCGTCGAATACCTTTTTCTTGCCTGGACCGCTTATGAAAACGGGTCCCGATGTGCATGACTATCGCGTGGACTTGATGCGGTATCACAGTGAGGGCGCTGCAGCAATCCAGAGGGCCCGTCTGGAGGTTGACAAGAGTACTCTCTCTAGGTTTAGTTGGATACTAGATATTTTATTTTGTACTGATAGATTAGATATTATGATTTTGTTGGATAGATATTATGTTTTTTTTTTGTATTTGAAGATCTTAAGAACGAACAAGAAGATACTAACTTACTTGCATAGCGATAGCTTAGAAAAAACCATGATGATTACCTTCTGGTGTTGATATTTCTTATAAACGCGATGATGAAGCGTGCTTCATCCTATTTCTTAGAAGTCCGATTTAGCTTGCTTTCCTTGAAATAAACGATAAACGAATCATAAGGTTTCGGAAATGCAAAAGGAGACGTGGAAACGCCTGAGGGCTTCGGTGAGTTCAAGAGAATCACGAAGATGAATCCTCAGCAGTTGGCAAAATTTTTCAAGGCGTTGGAAAGCACTAAAAGAGTGCAGGATTGCGGCCACATCTTCCGCTTGCGAAAAGAGTATGTGAAGAGAGTCGTCGGGGGGAGAAGGGACACACCGCCGTTGCTTCCAGGCACCAAACTCGCACTTTATGACTCCGACTCTCCGCACTTCGTGTTTCTTGCTAAGTTTTTTTTTCCCTTCGTTTTGTCCGGAAGTTCCTAGGGTTCTCCTTTAGGATTGATTATTTTTAGACCTCCTTCATCGTTTGTACTCCTTCTAGTCGACTTGTTGTTCCATCGTCGAGTCGTAGATTTTCACGGTTACACATTGGCTGAAAATCGATATGAAGGAAGAATACGTTGCGACCCCTTCTAAGTTTACCTAGATGACGTGGAGGGAAATACGAAATGGGGAGTCAAGGGACCGTGCTTGCAGGTGGACGGATCGCACGACAGGACTATCGATTGGGACACAATCGCGGTATCTATAAATAATAATAAGTAGTACTACTACTTACCTTGAAATTGATGAGAGGTTGACTCTTCAAACTCCCTGCCATTTTTACTAGGAGCCTTGGCCTCAGGCGACGGGGGCGAGCTTTCGCTTACTCGGGCTCTGCGCATAGTTTTTTTCCATGGGCGTTGCCTGGCCACGGGCATCGGATGCCGGGCGAGTCGTTGGGTTAGTCCTAGTCCTACGCAGGGTGGGGCGTTCCGCTTCGAGCTCTATGAGTTTTGCTTTGGTGTCCGGGGGCCGCGCACTTCCACCTGTCGCGTCCCTGGCTACTGGGGGAGGGTTCAGCTACCGCACGACGCTTGGCCTGACACTGTCGTTTACGGCGTTCCATGGTTGCGCCCTGTAGGTGGTGGCGTATAAAGATGGGCCACCGGGCGACGACGGCAGATTATTTTGTGAGCGCGTCAACGCTTCGACCTCTCAACTTTTAACTTGGGTTGAATGCATGAGCACCATTTGCAGTTCGTTGATAAAGACTTATGATATTTTGTTTCGTGTTTAGGAGTGTCTTCAGTCGTAAATCAAAAGATGGATGCGAATGTAGTCGGGCGCTTACTGTACATTGTAGACCACACATTTATGAAATTTAGGGAATCTTCGATGACGTGCGTGCGGAGAGTTTGTACTCGACGACGAAAAACAGCATAAAGCGGGTGGCGGACATTTTGGAGGCGATATGTGGCGACTTGTCCGTGGTTATCGATCGCTGCAAGGAGGAACAAAATAACGAAAAGAGAATCGAGGAGAATGTCCTCTTACTCCTAGCAAAGGAGAATCCGGTTCTATGGAGGCATCACGCTCTGCAAATCGCACCGATTCTCTACGAACGCAGGAGGGACAATCCTGGCGGACTCTTCGAAGGGGAGCAGGAGAAAGTGTTCGAAAAGCATGGGCCTAAAAAGGTCCTGTCTCGGAACTCCTTTTTGCAGCAATACAAAACCATGGTGCGGTCCAAGGACGCTCTAGGCGTAGCTGTTAAGAGCACAAGAATCATTCACCGAGCAGGCGGTTTTTACTTTCCGATATACTGTAGTTGTAGTTTCATCTTCATCTCTGCCTCGTGCTCGTTAAAGACATTTACAAATATTTTTTGTCTGTAGAACCCCTGCAGCGACACGGGTAGCTTGGGGACATCATCTCGCTTCTTCTAATCATCCGTATTTTCAGAACTATGCTGACTTCCGACAGCGTTTTCTGGAGTCGTTGCGTCGATCAGACATCGAGCAAAAGAAGAAGGCGAAGCTCGATGCCGAGCGAGCCGCGGCACAGGAATCAAAAGGTGAGAATGCTAGTCGAATCACAAGCGAGGCACTTGCGAAACAAAGATTATGGGAGACGAGTGGCATTTCTCATGGTTTTTACTCTAAAATATTTGGAGGACTACTTACAGTATTCGTATTGACGTTCTTCTTGATGGCATTTTGCTTTCTGTGTTTCCTTCATACTCAAGAGGTGGGCAAAAATAGAGACATTAGTAAAGTAGCAACTGTAAATGATCGAAATGTACTCCTCCACACTGACCGCAAGCACATGATGTAACATCGGATTGCTAACTCGATCTCTAAGAAATAATATGCTTAACAACTCGGTTGCAGGGGACGGCAAGCTCATTCTCGAGAGGTTTCGCAAGAAGGTCTTGAAGGCGAGTATTGAGGTGCAGGAGCAATGCGACTCTTTGCTTGATACGATCGTGGAGTTTCACATGCTCTACGCGCTGCAAGTCGAGAAGGGTGAAGCCTACACCATGTATTTGGAAGACCGCTTCAAAGAAGCTGCTGCAACGGTGTCGGTCGCGCATGGGGTGGAGATTCCGCGAGGACCCCGCCACGGCGTGTTCCGGCTGAAAGGAGACGACGCGCAGCAGGAGATAACGGGCACCAGGGACTTTTTGGGCGCCATCGACGTGGGCTCGTACCGCATGAGGCGGCGCAAGGCTCGCGAGGAGGCCGCTGAGGCGTTGCGCGAATACAAACTGTACCGCGATCCCTTCGATATCGCGTGGTGCGCATACCGTACGGAAAAATACAAATGCGAGCAGCATAACGCTCAAGTAGACCTGGAGCAGCGTAAACAAGCGAAGGGAAGCGGGAAGAAAGGCCTTGTCCAACCTCCCGTCGCGAAGAAGAGGAAGCCGCCTCCCGAGCCAGCGGAGCCGATGATCTTCGAGGAGTTCTGCAAGCAGCGGCAGAAGCGTGCGGTGGAGAAGCCTGCTCGTGGCCTCGAGAAGATGAAAGCGATCGAAGCCGCGTACAGGGAGTGGGACCGACGCTGGCCGCGTGGCGAACAGGAACTGCGAGAAGAGGTGCGGCGATGGCGCGGAATCAAGGACACTCTTGGACAGTATGATGCGACGCGAAAAGAGCACATCGGAGATCAAGCGAAAACGCTCTATTTCGAGACACCAGATGAGGGACAGGTCAAATTCGGGTACCAACAGCTAGGGTTGGAGCTCGCCACAAAAAGTAATAAAGATGGATCAGCACCAGCAGGAAAAAGCAGGTTACTAGCAGGAGGTACAGCTGCACGCTCCTCCGCGTCGGCGTCGAGCCAGGTGAAGGCTGGAGGACTAGCGACTCTGTCCTCAGAAGCCCTAGCTGCGCTGGGGAATGGAAGCTCCGCCAAAAAAAGCGGGGACGAGGCTAGCGACAGGAGCGCCGCACGAATGTCCGACCGAGAGGCAGACTACAACGATGTTGCTAACGTCGATGACCTTGACGACATGATGGATGAGGTCACAAGCTCGGCGATGCCCAGTCAATCTAGCGAGGGCGAAGCTTTATTGCTCACAGAATCCGGCAGAATGAAGAAGAAGGGCAAGCAGCACGAGCAAGACTTTGACAGGTATTTGAAGCGACACCCGATTCTCAGGGACATTGGGACTAAGTTTCTACTCGACCGACTCGACGAGGAGCAGCGCGCAGTGCGTAAGCTGGAGCTCAGCTTGAAATCAGGGGAACGCGTGGTGGATTTCGCGAGTTTCTACAAATCCTTTGGCGAGGAAACTACAGACCAGCTGGCGGCAGCAGAGCGCGCAGCGGAGAAGAGCAGTGGAAATGGTGGACACGACGCCACAGCTGCTAATCCAGATAAGAAGAAATTTGGCGCTGAAGATGCAGATCCAGCAACCGCGACTGGCTTTCTAGCTGCAGTCTTGAGTGCTTCGGCTTCATCTCCGTCTAAGGTGAAGAAAGCTGGGTACGACGCAGGGGCGCGCATGGCGCTGCGCATGAAACGGGTGCAGGAATTTCAGAGAGCACAAGGGAGGGTAGCGAGTGAGGACCTAGCTGCGGCAGGAAGGCGATCACCAGAGAACCTGCAAGAATTGGTGGAGCACGCGCAATCGGAATTCGACCGCAACAGCACTCCAGCTCAGTCTTCTTCCGCAGCCTTCGTCATCGCCCATCAGAGCGGCGGCGCGGAGTTTGCGAGGGCGCCAGACGAGTCCTCTGCTGGTGGTGCAGCAGGAGAAACAACTTTGAGTAAAAAGAATGTTGACATTGGTAAAGGCAGTCGTGTTGATCCTGTGTCGGAGACAGGAGACGGGACAGCGAAGACGAAAAAGGTTGCTTTCGCGGCAGACACGAACCTGGGCGGATCCTCAGACGAAGAGCCGCCCGATGCGAGCGGGGCAGTGCTAGAGACAGAGCCCTGCGAGCCACCGGTCGACCCTCTGAGCTCGCGGAGTGACGTGCGGGCGACCCAAAAGCGGGAGAGCGTGTATTACAAGTTCACGAGCACTCACGCGCTGAAGATTCCGTCGTTGCTTCCCGCAGATAAGGACAAGGAGACGGAGGTGATGCTGGAGCAGGACACGACGAAGAGGCGGGCCCGGCGCCTGAAAGAAGTGGACCCGTTCCTGCCGCACTTCGAGTTCAGGAGTGCTCTAAAGGCGAGGGGCCTGGCGCAATACGCAGAAGGGATGATCGAGGTCTGGAGCGAGACCGAAGTCCGGAAGGAAGAAGTGAAAATTCAAACTTGTAAAGTTTTGCCGACGCTGCCTCCGTTCCAGTCGTGGGTGACGTGCGATGCGCGCGATAGCGCACCCGCTGGCACTATCCCAGAGGCTGTGCGGAGCCTGACCTTGAAGATGGGCCGGCGCATTCCGACCATACTGGCGGATCAGTACACGCTGGGCCAGCTCCTTAGTCTGCCCCTGCAGGACCCGGACGAACGAAGTAAGAACTTCGAGCTGGACGTGTGTCTCTTGCCATGTGGCTCCATTGCGCTCAAAGCCATCGTCCCGGAGAACCAGAGAGCGGACATGCCGCAGTGCGAGGTCCACAGTGATCCGGGGAAAAAAGTTTTCCGCGAGGAAGGCACAGGACACATCGAGCCCTCATGGGAGCTCGCACGAAGGAAGTATGTCCAAGATGGAGAGAGTACTCAATTTTTCTCTTTTATTCAATAAACTTTTTAAAGGTGATTATGATCATTATGAAAAAATTATGTTGCCTATGTCGGAGTGGTTGTAGCAGAGCTACTGCTACCCATGCCCATGTTTTTTAAAGAGAAAACTAAACGAAGCCTCGAGGCATGATTCAACCTTTGCTCTTTTAATTCAAAACACAGAGAAACCGACTTACGGGCGTTGCGAGGAGCATTATCCGGTATACGTGTATGAGTTGCGGTTGGGCCAGCATTATGTCATTTGCGCCAAGGCCATCGAGGCCGCTGCCGCGTCCGGCTCAGACTCGAGCGGTTCCTTCGGACTGCACAACTACAACATCAAGTGTTGCAAAAACCCGGACCTAGACTGGGATGGCTGGAAGAAGGTTCAGTTGCAGCTCTGGGCCGAAACTATGTGGTTCGGCAACAAATTCACCCCTCTCGTCATGTTCACCGGAAAGCACATGTCTGCCAAAGATCTTCTGCACCGGTCACAGACTTTCCCCTTCGAGTTAAGAATCGGATAGTAAATACTTAAGTTATACATAGTTGTATCATGAGTGAATAGTTACGACAGATTGCGAAAGGCTCTGGAATTTGAGGGAAGGGAAATCTCTCCATCGTACATATTACTCCACGAAGAGGAAGAATAGTGCAAAACCGGTTGATGAAAAACTACAACGTGCTCCGCTTCTAATACACGAACTCATATCCAAGGAGGTGCGCACTAGGAAATTGAAAGAGTGGTCGCGTATCGAGTGTTTCAAGTGGGTCACTTCCTTGTTCGACTTCCTACAGCAAGCGGTGGCAGGTCGTGGATACTGGAGGACACAGTACAAGGCCTTCTGCCAAGACAACACTTTCGTGTTAAAAGGACTTCAGTTTGACCATGACAGGGTAGTTCTCAACCGCTCACTCGAACACCTCGAAGCAGTTGCAGCGCCATCGGCAGCTACGAGTTTTTTGCACAGTACATCGGATTGTGCGGATCGCGTGAGCCGGAGTTTGTTGTCGCTACCCGAGTTGCATTTGCGGCAGGCTGCGATCGAGTTCGCCCCCAAGGATCCGAGCGGGCGCAAGATTCTGATCGAAGCGGCGCGTAAAGCCGGCCAATACGCCCCAATAGCTGTGCCCGTAGGGTGGCGACTGTGCTTCTCGAATAGCGCAAAAGCCACGTACTTTTTCGCGCAGGATAAGCGGCAGAAGTCTGACGGCACCATGGTGCCCATCCGAAACAGCACGTGGACACCCTTGTACGAGCTTCCACTAGGGTGGCGGTGTAAGATACCACGGGCCATCACGTCCGGCAGCCAGAAGACGGTGCGGCATCGAGTCCCAACGAAGAAGGGTGACCCAGAACAATACGGATGCTTCGACTGTTACTTCGAGAACCCCTTTCTCCTACACGCACCAAACGCGAAGGGAGGACCGGGTGTGGCATCACAGTATCTGCTGCCTCTAGGAAAGACAGCGGTGGACGCAGCGTCAGCGTGGCTGGCAAACACCAACCACTTTAAATTTCTAGAGATGTGGATCAATGCAAAAGACGACGAAGAGCTGAAAGGAAGGAGAAATTTATGGCTACAGAATCTCTTAGTCGAACTCAGTTATATAATTGTACTTTTGCATTCTACTCAGACGTAGATGAAAGTATTTTTGTTTACAGTATAGATATAGTGAATGTAGAGTCTTGCTTCTAAGAAAGAACGATGATGCAGAGGACGCCGATGAAAATAATGGCCACAAGAGCGAGCCAAAGATTAGGAGACCAAAGTCGCTCAGTGAGGCTCTACAGATGTTCGGAGTCAAGCCTAGAGGATCGGAGAAGGTAGCAGAGAATGAAGACGAGGATGACGACGACGTCTCCCCGTACTTGGCCAAGCGAAGAAGACGCGACGGCGCGAGCTCACCAAAGAAAAGAGTAAGGATAGAAGACGATGACAAGATCGACTTGACGAAGTTGCAGTTAAGAAAATGAATTTCATTCGTATGTGTTCCGAAATCCACAACCTAAAGATTCTACAGCTATAGCTGTTTACCATAGTTTTAGCATTCCTTAAACGTCTACGTCAATGTCACTGCAAGGTCGCTAATAGACGAAGATATCGATGCAGGACGTTACGAGGGTGGCGATGGTGCGGTGCTTGGCTTTGACGGCGAAGTGGGCTCAGACAACGAAAATGAAGCAGGTGAAGATAACGTCGACACTGGAGGAGTAAATGATGACCCTGATGCTATGGATGTCGATGAGGATGCTGGTGTCGAGGATGGAAATATTGGTGCCACGAGAAAAATGAAAAGTGAAGCAAAGGCGAAGAGTAGCAATAAGAAACGCGACCTGGTGCAGGAAGGCGATGGTGATGAAAGGAGCCCTCAGACAGCGAAGCGCGCGAAGCAAGCGCCAACGACGGAGCACGAGAAAATAAAACAGGCCGGCGAAAACTGCATCGCTCATTTGAACGGCATCGAAGACCTGCTCGGCGCAACTTCACGGCACGATTTATTGACCCCCGTTGTTTCTCCACGTGACAAGCAGGTGGCTGCAAACGCGAACGTTAAGAAGATAGTCGTGCATGCGACCACGACTAGCTCATCATCAGCACCTCCACAGAAACGGAATGGTGAAAATAACTACAATGAGACTGCTGACGCTAGTAGAGGTAAAGGCGGCGCCGGACCACCAGCTGCGAGTGGAATAAAGCTGGTAGCAGCTGCTTCTGCCGAGTCCTCACCGACGACTAGTTCCGAGGACAGCGAGGTGCACCTAACAGGGGGCAAGGAAACGGACCCGGGTAGTGTGAATTACTCTTTGGTGCATCACGGTGACTCAGTGGAATACATTGAGGAGCTAACTCACGATCGTTCTGGGGACCGCTACGCCAAAGGCGTAGTATGGGAAGGACCACAAACCGGCAGAATTTTCGCGGTCAATACGGACAAAGGTGGCAACATCAAAAAAAAAGGCTGGAAGGGTAGGGTCAATAAGGGTGGCCAGCCAACTGGAGAACAAGGGAAGTCATGACACTGAAACATCTGCGAGAACAACGCTATTAAATATCTGTTTTTTTGCGCAGAATGCGCTATCTCGATCTCGCAAGAAAGCCACCCAGTGAGAGAACCACCCAGAGTTTAGATTTTTTTAGATGTCTTTCGAACACAAACAATTCCTTATCGTAGAACTTCAGTTCATGAAATGGAAATCGCTTTTCGCTATCAGTTTTAGCTATGAATCTATCTATAATCATCGCTTAGGCGATCGGCTTTGTTAAAGTCCATCTATGATCATGGCTCGTGTCAAGTAGACTAAAAAATCCGTAGAGACAATGAGCTATCTTTCGTTCTTAAAGGCATCGGGGCAGTTTGCTACCCGCTAACACTATATATTGTAGAGAAGCACAGACTTCTTGAAAGGAAATTTGTTGCATTTTTTGGTTTATGATTGGTACGCGTTAGGGCGTCCGGCAAGATTAGAGAGCAACAAACTACGTTGTCTTGTACTAGTGGTAGTCCGATGTCCTCGATTGTATGTTGTATTGGTTGTGTGTGATGTGTTGGCTCCTCTCGATGTAGATCATGGCCATACAACTTGTTACTGTGATGTCTGTGGATCTGATTCTGATGATGTTGACAAATCAACACCTGCTGAAACGGAAGAGAGAGCTGCTGTGGTAGCACTGATATGTGCATCGGCAGTCAGTAAAAATCAAGACGCTTTCGGTCGGTAGATGTTGGTGTCGTGCTGGTTGAGATGCACTACGTGTGGTGGTCGTTCTGGGAGATATGGCCGGATCGGTTCTGAAGGCATGAAAGACCATGGATCGCAGGCTCCGTCTAAATCAACATTTACATTCCTCAAGAAAGATCACATGGGCGCCATTGCAGCACAAAAGAGTTTGGGTCAAAACCCTGTCTGGTTGGGAGCCTTATACAACTTTATCTGGCTACTTTTGCTAGAAGTGGTGCGGAGGTTTCGCATTTTATGTATAGGGTTGCATCCCCGCCTATTCTGCTGATCTCCGTGCATTACTCAAGATGCAGACAGGTTTAGTAGTCACGGGCGTATTCGTCCGATGTAATCATCGACCTGGATGAAGTTTTCACTCGACCGACTTGGTTTTCCGTGGATAATGATGTAAAAAAGATAGAAGCATTTCCTTCATCTTCGAGCTTCTTCTATAATGGGTTTGTTCTTTGTTTTTTTTGAAACAGATGATGAGTCTTTCTATGAGTGTTTGGGTCGCTCGATTTCGGTTGAATATCCCAGTAGCACTTAAACTTGATTAAGTACGCAGACACTTACCTCCCTTACGCAGACACTTACAGGTAAAACTGTGGATGGCACATCGAATCCTAATCCTAATCCTAAGTAATAGTTTATTTTTTGATATCATTTTCAAGCTTCGCGTTTGTGAGAATAAACATGGGATGTGCATGCGGGCGGCCGTTGCCCGACGAAAATCGTCCAGGGTGTGAAAGCGTCGACGATAACATCAACACTGTGCTGTGTGGCGGTGGACGAAATGACAATGCCTCGATAACTTCATCTGGGCAGCAACTACGCGGTTCGACGGCCTCATCTTCGTCTGGCCGACATAAGAACCATGGTCCTTCTAACATGAATTGTAGCTCAACAAGGGTCGTGATGAAGATGGACGGCAATAGAGGTGGCGCAGACCGCGCAGCGACGTCAAGCACTAGATCTTCCGCTAATATTGTCGTGATAAATGGTGGTAGTCGTGGAGGTCGTGGTTCTCAGCTACAACCAGGGACGCGTCATCAAGGGCAGCAACAACAACGTGCTCACTTAATAGGACGACCGAGGAGAGGATCGTGTGGCGTGGGTTCAGATGACGATTCGCCGGGCAGCTCATCCACCTCATCGTCGACGTCGTCGTCTAGTACCGGTTCGTCTTCTTCCTCTTCTTCCTCTAGTGCGGATGACGTCCGCCCAACAGAAAGTTGCGACTTCGTAGGAGCTTTCGTACTGCAATGCATAGTGCGCAGTGCGGCTTTTCGGCAGCAACTTGTGGGTCCGGAAGCAGCAGGCGAGATGGAAAGACTTTGGAATGCTGGGCGGTGGATAGAACATGATGCGAAAAAAACTCTTGATACGGATGCTGTAGCTGAACATGAAGGTGAAAATCTTTTAGCTGCTCAAGATATTCTTACCACAGCCAGCATTCCCAGCGCCGCTTGCGCTTCTGCAGCCTCACAAGGGGGAGATCAAGATGAATCCATTGGCACTGCATTTCGAGACGATTTGTGCATCCGCCATAGTGCTCTTCGGTCGATGCGGCTCGCTTTTTTGGCTGCTTATGCCTGGCGAACTAAGGTTGCACGAGCTATTCTTTCACCAGCGATGCTAGAGATGCAGGAAGAGGACCAGATGATCCTGAGCGAGAGACAAGACGAGATGGAACTAGGCGCTGAGGCAAGAAGGAAAATAAGTGTTGAAGTGGACAACGACGTTGGACATGTTACTCTTGACGGTGAAGAGACCAAATGGAAGGTGAAGGACGAAGACATCGATGTAGACGGCTACGCTGCTCATGAAGAATTACGTGTTGCCGGAGAGAAGGCCAAAGAGGCTTACAACCTCGCAGTCACGAAGAGAGCAGCGATACTGGTATCGGAGCTCTCAGAAATCACGGGGGAAACGGAAGTCACGCGAGCATGCTTCGCTTTTGTGAGTGCCGCACTATCGTCCTGCGAAGCTCGTCCTGAGGAGCAGGATGAAGGAAGAGCCGCTCCTGGTGTAGCTTCGGAACCAGGTGTTGCTACTTCAGCCTCGGAAAGTCTAGCTCTGGTTAGTCGACTGCAAGGACTCGAAAACTTTCTTGCGTCTTTGTTGGGAGACTCCGCGTCTGAAGTGCATATGATTGCACCAGAACAGGCCACTGGACGCTGTGAAGACGAAAACGGGACTTGGCACTATGTAGTGCCAGAGAGTACCAGGCAGTCGGCAGTGTCTTGCGGAAGCTGGTTAAGTCGGGACATGCTTGTCAAGAGTGTGGCTTCTATCAACGACGCATGCGGCATCAATCCGGATCTTCAAGTCCCCACAACGACTGGCATTTTTCTTGACTTTCCAGAAGATTTCTTTTCGCCTGAAGCGAGACGGACTAATCAACATGGCTTGGAAGTGCTTGAAGTGGTCGTAGGCGAGGGAGAGCCAGCGTCCTTGGGGGATCACACGGCGGAAAAAATAAATCAAGGAGACATGGAATGTGCGGAGAAATTTGACTCATCATGTAGCGCGGTAACATCCATGAGTAGTCCAGGAAGTACCATAGCGCCAAGTCCGACAGAGATTTTGTCTTCTTCGTCCGAGTCTCCAGCACCGTCACCAAAAAATCCCGACTCAAACGACGCGGATGTTGGTGGCAACGATATTGAAATTACTATCTCAGGCTTAACGTCGTCAATTGGTAATATTAGTACTAGCTGTAGTTCCTCGTGCTCGTCCTCGAATGTAGCGAGACCTCCACGAGAAGGACGCATGCGAAGAGGCAGTCTTGACGTTGCTCCTCCTGGCGATGTGAACGTAACCTTCGTAAACAACTTGCTTCTTAGCGAAGAAGACAGCGATGCGTCGCAGATCTACCGCTGGCATGACTTGCTTGAGGTTGCTGAAAACTATAACGGGACGAGTGGGACGCGGTGCTGGACGCGCGGTTTTTATAACCAAAATGGAACAAGTTCTTCCAGCAGTTGTCCCAGCTACGCTTTAGGATCCGGGATCATTGGTAGCCCACATCACAGGAGCCAGCAGTTGTTAAATGGCAATCAGTTGTGCTATCTCGCCAACGGATCCGAATACCAAGTCGCTGATAGTAGAAGAGGCATGATAGACTCAGGAGGCTTTGAGGGAGGCTTGCCTGACGACATCCTAGCAGCACTGGCCAGCAGCGCTGCTTCGGGCAATAACGACGATCTTTTGAACATCTGGGAGGGCGACGAAGAACTGCATGAGAATACCTTTATGATAGATTCTTGGTTGTAGTAGAACAAATGTTGATTTGGATTATGCTGACTGTGATTACTTCGTAGATGAAATTCGGAGCAAGCCGCTGTAAGTATTTAGTTTTAGGACACACTTGAAAATAAGAAGCGGATAATCTTGACAAGCAACTAAGTTTGAGATCACAGACTATCTATCTGAAGTAGGTTCAGCGTTTCCTGGGCCGTTTTCACAACCGCAGGAAATGTATCATCGCGCCGCTGGCTAAGTATGGCCGTTTGGGATGCAGTATGATGATAGTACTACTATAACTTATCAAAAGAATTAAGGTACTTGTCTATCAGCTTTGATCCGGTTCTTGTTCTTTCACACTCTTCGCGAATCGTGTCATGCTGAAGGACAAGGTTCATGCAGACGACGACGTGCAAAGGCTTCAAAAGCGAAGGTCATGTAAGCGACGAGTGTGGTGGGCCTCGAAAGCCGTTTCGATTGGCCAGGCTGAGGGTGACGAGCATGAGGACCCACAAGAGCTAGTATCCCTGGTAGATGGGGAAGGAGATGACGACTGGCGATGATGAAATAACGTAGTTCCAAGTACTTCTACGATCTTTCCAAGTAGGATGATCAGCGCCGCTTCTCTGTCGAGCTCTAGTAGTTGTCCGTAAAAGACCTAGAAGAAGCGACAAGTACTAGAGGACCCTCCTGCTGCACAGTAGCTTAGATCGCAGAGCTTAGATCACGCATCCATCCAGCGATGGGGCTTGCTTGCATGCTGCCAGTCGCAGACTGTACTGCCCCTTATTCTGATTTTGGCTTCATCGCTCTTCTTTTCTAGTGCCAAAGCAATGGAAACAACAACATGTGCATGACGAGGACCACAAAGCTCTAGTTGTAGAAAGATGGCATTTTTTCCAGAACTAGAGCACAGCAGCGAGAATTTTCATGGGTTCGAGAAGTATTGTGTTGGCACGAGGAAGCAGTCGGCATATGGAAACGAGATCACGATCATACTTGCAATTAGGGTTCTCGGCACTCCTTTGGAATATGATCCGCGGCTGGCTTTGAGCTTCGCGTGGTCACCGCACATAAGCAGGTCGTGCATTCCTAGCTAGCGCAAGGCTGTCGAAAAGAAGCAACGATGTTGCGCCGGGCGCCGGCTAAGCAAACTGCTGTTTCGCTCGTATGGTCATGGAGTCACTTTCGTGCGGAAGCGAAGAGAGGCAAACACAGTTCAGAGTCACCGAGAGCCGCGCACAGGCAAGGTAGTTTCCAGAGTGGCGCCAGACATCCAGGGGCGCAAGTTAGTCTGTCACGAAAAAGGATTCGTGGTACGTAGTACTTACAGTGTAACAAAAACTATAGTTCACTCTGTTCCTGTCCCTGTGGAAAATATTTATAAGGAATTTTATTTTCTGCTTGGTGTAAGTATCTCTTTGACTGTTTCTGCATCTGTCGTGATTGAAATCACTTCTAGGCGGAGACAGAGGGTGTAATTGGATTTGTAGGTATTGAAAACGATAGGTGAAGCTCACTTTTCTCTTTGTAGTTGTGGCTACCAGGGAAAGTAGGACTAGGATGTCGTGAAATTCGTTGCCTGTCAAACGTGTCGCAAACGCGTGAATCTTCTTACGATACATACGGGTCATTTAAATGTAATTGAGAGAAATGAGTAGAACCAACCGATGTTTCTTGTAATTAGATTTGTCTAGTACGACCATTGTTTTTATAGATTGATTATCCAGAGCAGATCGTTCTGGACAACTTTCGAAAAAATGTACAATGCTTGTGTTGTTTGTTGGTGTGGGTCCTGCCCGTCAACTACTACAGCATCAATCTCCCTTAAGGCACTGTGCACTGTACTACTTGGTGCGAGATGTATTGTCTTGTATTGTACCCCGATGGGACATGTCATAGTTATTGTCCTCGCGTCTTCCTCTCCCTGTAATTACTACTGAAAAATGTCCTGTTGTACCGCCGCGACCGACGTTTTGAAGCCTTTTCAAGCCTCACAAAAATGAATATGGGAAACCAAATACTGCGCAAAAAATGCTCTGTAGGAAGGCACATTGTTTACTCAAGCTATCTCAGCATGTTCTTGGCCTGGTGCTCTTAGTGGATGCTCATCTGAGCGAAGGTCACGATTGCATTCGGATTCGACATGAATCTAACGTCAACCGCTCTAGGATGTGGATGGTGATCATGAATATTATAAGCATCAGCATGACGCAAAAGGAGGAAGCGGAGCCCTAGAATCACGACTGAGTGGCACAGATCTGCGAGACGGAGTGCGCAGGGTATGTGACTTTTTGACGGACCCAACTAATTTTTATAGGTGTGTCCATCTTTTGCTACGTTCACGTGCGCATTTTCAGCCACTGCCACTACACGTCTAGAACCGTGCTCCATCCCGAACTTCTCCGTAAGAATAACAAAAATTGAAATTTAACAAGACCATGCCCGCAGTCGTTCCCGAACAATCTTCTTCTGCTGCTTCATCGCAGGCCTCGTACCAGCTCCCACGCATGGATGATGTGCCGCCATCTTGTCCGCGTTTCAATACAACTCGTTTCAACACGTTGTCGTTTACGTTCAACTGTGGTGGCGTAGAACCGCAGAACCCGGATTTGCTCATTCCAGAGATAAGACAGGCAATTTTGCCGCACCGACCAGACCTGGTTTGCATCAACCTGCAGGAATGCTGTCCTCTGGGCCTGGCAGCCTTCGGAAATAACATGAGCGAAGGATATGGTAAGTAGAATCATCTGAATTATTCAGTTGTTGTTCCATGGTACTTGTTCTTGTTCATGGTCAGTATATATTATAAGTCATGTCAATCGCGATCCTTTACCGTTACGTCGCTTTAAGAAGTAGTTGTTTGTTAATGTTATGACGAGCTTATGAAGAACAACACTACGAGTACGACAGGAGGAGGTTTCTGTGTTGACGTGATAGTGCAGCATATTCCACATTCAAACCAGCAGATAGTTTAGAAAACAGCACCATCGAAACGGTATCAAAACAGGTCGTGCATGGCGGGAGCTGTTCATAAGCGCTCTAGGCTACGGACCCTTAGACGCTCTGACCGACCGAGCGAGTCTCTTTGTACGGCATTCGGCGGCGGAATTTAATGTGTCCAGCTCTAAAAATTCAGGGCCCTCTGGATTGATCTCTGCTTCATCTAGAACGTCGCGTTACAAGAAACAAGAATCGCCTGAGGCGAGCAAGGACGATAAGGTGGGCACCACAGACACGTATCCGCGTGAAGATTTGGGTGCAACGAGTTCATCTTGCTCTGAAGACACCACGCCCTCTTCTTCGGAAGAAGACGATGGTCATACTCTTGTACAGAATCAGAATGAGACTGAGAGTCGAGCTCTGGGGAATCTTCGACCAAGCACAGGTGAAATTCCTGTTGGCCGGAAGGCGGTCGGTGAGGTGGAAGGCCTCAGTGGTAGCATCGCTGCGAGCTGCGCTTCCGCAACATCTGGAGGTACATGTACCGACTATAAGGGTTTAGCTTCTAAACCTGTAGTTGATAGTACCGCAGCTTCATCGAGTAGCAGCATCCCGCCTGATGCGCCTTTGGCGGACGAACCACCGTGGTTGGTGCGGGGACAGAGTATAGAAGCGGAAGGAGCTCCTCTGGAACCGGCTTTGCGTTCCCGGCCATTTCTCGAACCACCGCGTCAAGCGTGTGCCAGGAACACCCCACTGGACTTCGAATGCGAACGCGACGATACCCTGCACCAGCAGCCAGGCTCCTCGCCTTCGTCGTGCAGAACAGGAGGGTCTTCTGCGGGGAGCAAAGAAAACAAACTGAATAGAAGACTTATGGCACCAATATAAAACTCTGGCACTGGCGCATTAAGAGCACTGCAAAAGGGTATCGTGCAACATCTTGGATGGTGAATTAGAGGATGGGACACCAATCCTTCACCTCTGAATCCTTTTCAAACCCATCCTTCTTCGTTGCTCCTCTAGTACTTCGGCTTGCCCTTTTTCCTACTAGTCTTAATCTTTGTTCTCTAAAAAAGCAAGAGGGAGACGAAGGCCCACGCAGATCGTTCCGTCGTCTGAAGAATCTTCTCGCGCACCCTCAATAATCGATTTAGCCGAAGCCGAAGAGAGGTTCTGCTACGTCCACACCACCACCTCCACGCCATCGCTGCACGAGGATGATGATGATGATGATGATGATGAAACTTCGAAGGGTCAGACACGGATGAGAAATCAGAAGGAACAGGCCTGGTCACCATCTTCACGAAGTGACTTCCGGCTTACAGCGGCAGCAACGCAGAAATTGCAAGCTCCCCCAAGCGCCAGGGTGGGCGCATTGCAGTGCCTGAGCCCGGCGCGAGCCGGATTGGCAGTCACCAGTCAGGAACTCGATGGGGAAGACGTGAAAACGAAAAAGAAGAAGAGACGTGCGATTTCGGCTTCTCCAAGCGGTAGAGCTACTCTTTTTCCTAGTCCAGATGCGGCGACCACGCCTAGAAGAGACCAGACTTGCCGTTCCGCCAGAGGGGGGCAGCGGAGGACCATCAAGCGCAGTCACAGTAGTCAGGGTGACTATGGCGATGTAGCTATTAAGTGTGGCAGAATCTTCGATACCGGAGGAAGCTCTTGCCGAGAATCTTCACCCAGGGAGCAAGTTCATCTGCGTTTGATCCGATCCCATCGTTTGGTGGGCTTACTCACGCTTCTTTTCGTAAATACGCGACGCCTTCCAACTATTATGGAGACTCACCTTCGAACTCATGTCTCGGACTTTGAGTCATCAGCCTCTTTATGATTTTCCAATATGAAGGAGTTCGATTTTTGCAACTTGCTTTGATATTCGCCTGTCGGTGCTTGGAATAAATATAAGCACACCGTTCAAAAGTTTTACCACGGAAATTTTTTTTTGACAAGTTAGTTGCTCCTCCTCCTGTGAAAGGGTGATACTCAGAATGGGAAGCCCGACTAGTATAGATAAGCGAGCCTGTCATTGTTTGTGAAGATTGTACATCTGTGGTCGGTCATTCAAAAAAGAAACTTTGAAATAGGAATTTTCTCTGCCGACCTCTAAACTTTGCAGTATCAAGTCTTGCACGAGCGCGGAGCACAAGCTGGGTCTGAACGGACTCCTGGGCAACAAAGGCGCAGTGCAGATAAGGCTGGAGTTGCATAGCGGTTTGCGGTTGGGCTTTTTCTCGTTTCACCTTCATGCAGGTGAGGGCATTTCAGCCTACGAGGCACGACTACGTGGCTTTCACCAGGTACTGGTTGACAATCCAGAGTTTCGCTTGCGGAGTTTAAAAGACGGGTCTTCAATCGAAGCATCTCCCAATGGAGGAGGCAACGATCGACGCTCAGACTCGTCGGCAGATGCAAGCACACAAGAAAGCGGGCTAGGCGTTGCGAGGGATAGCACGCATGCTGGCCCTCGAGTATCACTCGTGTCGCAACAAAGTAGAGTGCAGCCAGAGTGGTCGGAGGCAAAATCTGCTAGTTCGACAGGAAAAGAACCTACAACTGCAGGCTTTGACTTCTGTCTTTTGAGCGGAGACCTCAACTTTCGCGTTCAGCCCGTCAACGAGGACGTGCTGCACACGTGTCTGACTGATTTGGCAGCGATTCGAGGCGTCGCGTCTCCGCAACGTAGTCGTCACGAGCTCCGAAGATCTCCAGGATCTCCAGTATCTCCAGTTGGGACTAGAACAAGAAAAGAAGACGAGCACAAGAAGAGCTCGAAGAGTCACGACATACTTTCTTCCTTGCATGCGCTCTTGTCGGACGCTGCGCCAACAGGGGCGGACGAGACACGCGTAGAATTTGCGATTCCATCGTGGATCCCGCGGGGGCTTTACCTCACGTACATCCTGTACCGCATCAAAAAGCTGAAACGAGCAAACCTGCGCTACTTCACCTTAGTGAAGAAAGAAGATGGACGTGCTGAAGCTGAGAAATCTGTTGATCGACATGGACATGGCTCTAGATCTAGTGAAACGTGCACAGGACTATCCGTGCGTCGAACGCAAAAGAGCTTCGTGAGCTCAACGTCAAATCCGGTTGAAGCAAGTAGTAATCAACAAGGCGGCAGAAGCAGAACTTCCTGCATGGGATTAGGCGGGACGGGATCGGGAACTGGAATGAGCCCAATCGTCCCTCGAGCAACGGGCCGAAGAAGTATAGAGCAAGACGGAGGCTTTGAGATAGTGACGTCAGCGCGTATCAATGTTCTGTCGACACGTCCGAGACGGTCTAGTTGTTCTAAGATATCGCTCGGCCATGAAGGAATCGAAACGGCTACTTCAGGATCTCCGACAAACTACCGGCACCTAGCCGTGACTAGCATGCGGCGCGCGAAGAGCAACACTCCAGACAAGAAGGCTTATCTCTATCGTGGTGTGCAACAAGAAGGACACGCGGCAACAAGTACTTCATCTTCGTCTAGCAGTGACAACTGGGCAGATCAGCATGTATCGACTCCGCCGAGACGGAAATGTTGTGCACATAGCGACGCTTCTTCGCCAGCAAGTAGAAACAATCTTGTCACCAAACAACAGATCACAGCGCCAACTACAACATCTTCTATGAGCAGCAGCAGCAGCAGAGGTGAGTGCGAGAAAGATCAGATCATCGCGTATCTGTCAGAGCAGCGCGGACGCTTTTTTGTTCGCAGTTTCGACACTGACATACTATCCCGGTTTTCAGACGACACAACTTTTGCTGAGGACGCGAATGTGGTCTCGACTAGAGCGTCGACACGCGCTGCTGTCATCGCTGATGCGCTGATGGAGAGCAAAGACGTGCGTGACGAACTCGGGCTCTTCATGGCGCACGCTAATAGGCAAAGCCCACATGATGATAAGAAGGCCAGAAACTGTGGTGGTACAGATACCCGAGGTGTTGATGGGAAGCTGCGGGGCGATGACCAGGACTGCTCTTGGGATGAAAGAGGTTTGAGGACGGGACATAGCCAGCAAGAGGCCGCGGCCACGAGTCATACTGCCAGCACAGGAAGCACTAGCAGCTCTTCGAACTCTGCTGAAGATAAGGGACTACTACAAAGCATGTCTACTATGTCTTCAACCTGTGGACGAAAGCGTGCAGATCGTACAATTGCGTCTGAAGACATTCCTCGAGACACCACGCAACGAGGAGAAGGATACTCAGATGGGTGGCCCTCTGTGGGTTTTTTCCGAGACCTGAAAGAAGCTCCGGTCTCTTTTCTGCCGACCTATAAATTAGTAGGCGGCGGGCAGGAGTTCTACAACAGTGAACGCGTGCCGTCATGGTGCGATCGAGTCTTGTACTACACTTCTTGTAGTAGTCGGAGTGCGTGTACGAGCAGTAGTGGAGGTTTACCTACTTCTACTATGCGTTCTTCAGCAGGATCAACCACGTTATCATCGTCCTCGTCAGTGGGAGGTTGCCGTGTTCACTACACTCCAAGAGAGTACTTTGCGCTGGAGAAAACGAAACATCTTTTCAGTGACCATCGCGCGGTTGTTCATACTGGTAGCCTATCATATAACGCGCCTGCGGCAACGGCAAGGTTTTCAGACGAACATCGACTTCCACGAGGAGATGGAAGTAAGAGTAGCAAAGCGAGCGTGCAGCAAGGGCAGAAGTGTAAAGGTTTCCATGTGCCGGTATCTTCTAGTCGAAGGGAAAAGCAGCGATTACAAGATGTGTGGGGAAACCAGCGTCAAAATGATGATCCGCTGATGAATGGGCAGAGAAGGATTCTCGCTGCTCCTAAGACATCGCAGTCACGTGTCAGCTTTGTTAGCAATGCTAACCACGGGCATCTAGCAGCACCACTACTGGAATCATCGTCATCTCGAAGCAAAGATCCTCATTTGAAAACGACTGAGCCGTTGAAGAAATGTATCAAGAATCCACGCACTGAGTCGCACAATAGCGGACTCTACACGAGTCCCTTGATAACGATTCTTCGATAGGCATGAGGCACTTTAGAACTCAATGATTTATAGATTCTTTTCCAATAAGTCGTACACGCGCTTCTATATATAATGATCTTCACCCAAGCTACACGCTGGGGAGAAAACAGTTGTGTCCAGAGCAGGTATCTTCATGTTCGTAATTATAGATCGCTTTTTCTTTGACTTTGATATTTTGGTGAAAATACAGATCCAAGGATTCTACTTCAGAAGCTGTGAAGATGCAACTCTGATCCCACGGTTAGAAGGTGCAAAAGCAGAAAGATCTCGCACAGGACTACGACCTAATCAACAAGGTCAAGAGAAGACTGTCATATGATCCTGAGAATCATAAGTACAGGGATCCACAACAAACGACCACAGTGGCTTCCTGATCCCGAAAGAAGTGAAAGATCGCAGTGACATGCTGCAACGAGCCAGACTCGTGATCATCAATGACGATGACGACAAGATTCGTATTCGTGTCTATACTTAGTTACTTACGCTGGAAGAAGACTTGATCATACTTTGACTAGGTAGTAGAGCGACGTGACTTCTACTTAGTTTCTAACCCTTGTTTTTACTAGATGAATAAGCAGGACGGAGTTTTCCACTTGCTCCGATCATGATTTTTTCTTTGGTTCGCTTTTTTTGTTCGTTCTTGAATAACGCTGAGTAAGAAAATACCTGGGCTACACGATCCTTGGTGTCTCAGTATATGTGCTAATCGAAAGAGCAAAATGGCGAAATCACGTGCAGTAAAGGCTGGCGCTACGCAAGCGCCAATGGCAGACACGAACGAGGCTGGTACAGCGGCACTCGCGGTGCGCAAAAAAATGAAGAAGAAAATGAGTAAAAAGACAAAAGCCTCTAACGGAAAGAAAGACGTAGCGACAGAAGGAGAGACAGCCGCGGCACAGTCAGCAGTCGAAAAGATTGTCGGATCCGAGGCGGAGGAAATTTTCTCAGAACAAAAGGAGGAGGCGATGAATGATGATGGCCAACAAGCTGTTGAAGCAGTTGCAGCTTCGAGCTCAACGTCTGTTGAGGTGCCAACGACTCTCACTCAGACTATCGCATTTTCGGAGGAAAGGAATCCTGAAAGAAGGGTAGACCTAAACTCTACTAAGAAGCTTAATGTGAATGCTGCCAGCCTCGACACCAAAGCTCCTTTACATGCGATCGAGTTCGGAATCGTGCCGAATGCACAAGGGAGTGTATTGTTCGGCTCTTCGAGGTGGAACGGGCCTCGGTTCATTGCAGCGGTGTACGGACCAGGGCACTTGACCAAGAATGAGCTTCCAGATGGTCTAAGGCTTGAGGTGCAGTTGAACGCGCCACAAGCGTGTGGCCAGGCGACGCGACTCCGCGAGCACTTGTTAAAGCGGTACTTTCTCTCCTCCCCGACATCTTCCTCAACGACGTCTTCCACGGGAAATATCATCAACTCCGCTCCTGCGCTCCTACGCAGAACACAGGGACCAATCATTCTCACAGAGGAGTACCCGCGACAATTGGTACGGCTTTTCATCTATCCATGCCACGGACCAGAAGCTTCAACTAGTGCGCATGTCCTCGCACCTCTCGTTGAAGAGACAGCGACGCTTTTGAACGCAGCGACGTGCGCCATGCTGCATGCTGGAATTGCCATGCGCACCACGCCGATTGCAGTTGGCGCGCAAAGTCCCAGTGGAACTCTCTACACCGTAGATGCTACGTCAACACCAGGCTGCATGCAAGACGGAAAGCCTTCGACGGTGGGCAGTGTAATCATAGCTGAAGAAGACATCGTGCCGACTCCGTCTGGCAGTGCTGTCAATGCGAGAGAGAAAAATAGGGACCAGGCGCAAGAGGAGAAACAGAGAAAAAGGGCGGTGGTGAAAAATGCGCAACAGGTCCTTGATGAAATCAGATTAGCACTGGCACAACACGTGGAAAAACGAATCTAGAGCAATTTTCTGTGCATTGATATTGATGACCCCTAAAATCAGCATGCTAACATGCTCTAATCATATTAGTTACAATCCTCTGATATTCGCCTTGTCCTCGACAATTAGATCATCGTCTACTCGAAAGAAAAGAAGACCCTCGATGCTGTTATATATGAGCTTCTTGGCGTTTGAAGCGGTTCTTGTGTTCTTGCAGAAACAAGGTAATAAATGGTGTTGCTTTGTGATGACGGAATCTTGAATACAAAGGAACAATTTAATCGCTCCGAGGAAGAAATTCCTTTTTCTTCAACTCGTGCAAGATCCAGGCTGATCCGGTATGTGGTTCACTAAGCTTGTTTGGTGTCGATAATGGTTTTGCTGAATTCACGAATGTTCTTGCATGCTTAGCCTTACCCCTGCTTTTCCTTCCTATCAGCTTAAGCCAGAAAGTACAAAGTCTAGGGCTAGGCGTAGGAGACCCTGTAACGCGCGTTCGTTCGCGATGGCACAGTCACACCCAGGATTTTTATCATCTTTCCAACTGGAAAAAACTGCAGGCGTATTAGCAAACTGTAGGTGACTTTTGCTAAAAAACATTCAAAAGATCGTGTTTCATGTGTTGAACTACAATTTGTTAAAGACCAACGACTTATGTTTTGACCCAGCAATCATCAATGATTTATTATTTGTTCTCCGCGGCGACGTAGCGGTACCACCGAATAGAAGTTTTACTATATTCGAACACTTTCCTATTGACGTACTCTTACTAAAACTAAGCGCGGCCTTTTCCGTTGACTATTTTGACGAACATTCTATCCTCGTCTAGAACCCCTGAACTTGACGTCTTTTACTACATAATCATAAGCCCCATTCTTCTTGGAAAGGAGCAAAATGTCAGCCGCTGCGAAGATTGCTGCAGCCGCCTCGCGGACGAAGAAGAATGACACGGACGAACTCAACGAACGCAGAATGGTTATTCTGGATCGGGCAAAGTTGAAGCCTAACATGCCCGCTTACCAGTACCTCAAAAAGATCGCCGGTCGCTGTGGAAAGGAGTGCATTTCTGTGTCGTTTATGAGAGAGAAACTTTAAAAGAAGCCGCCAAGAACTGCATTCTTTTTTTCTGGATACTCAAGACAGGAGGTTTTATTGACACCAATTACACCACGCTACAGTTACGTGATCTCATACTAAAAATGGTAGCTGTGAAACTTCGCTTACTGAGAGTTGTAATAGAATCACTTCGAGTTCGATTCTTTTGATGATTGCCTTTCATATTTGTGAAGAAGGAGATCGAAGTGTGGGACGAGATGTGTTTGGCCTGCCTCAACCGTGCGAAGAAGACCCCCGACGACGCAGTGAAAGTGGTCAAGCTGCCTTCGAACCTGACCGCAGACACTACTCACCAATATGGTGCCAACGCTTTCAAACTCCACCGCTTGCCGATGCCGAGTCCCGGACAAGTGGTGGGTATTCTGGGCTCCAACGGTACGGGCAAAAGTACGGCGTGCAAGGTGCTCGCTGGGACATTGAAGCCGAACCTCGGAAACTTTCGTTTATGATACTAGGCTACTCCTATAATAAATGCAATGAACAACTCATGATGAATTATGTCTCTGTCAGCGCAGCCAGATCTTTGTCGACGAAGAACCTCATAATTTTTGTCAATTTTTCTTCCCAGGAGTATCAATGTGCAGTGAAGACTGACATTTTGTTCGACTAGGCTGTTTCTCTTCTTTGAAGTTCAAGCTATATTCAACATACACTATGTTCTTGGTGCTGCCTCTGATGTGTCTGTGACCACCTCCACCTCATCCTGATCAACCTTTCTTCATGTTGAGACAAGCAGCCGACATGGCAAGAGATCGTGAAATACTACCGCGGATCTGACCTTCAGAATTACTTTTCGGCCTTGGTCGAGGACCGCTTGACCGTGTCTATGAAGCCGCAGTTGGACAGCGACTACGCGCGACAGCTTCGTGGCCAGAAAGTGTCTGACTTCATCGATCAACAGGTCCAAGAGCGTTGTCTGCCGTGCTACGGCGGCGCGAAAACCCTGCCGAAGTGGTTTAACACGCGTAAAACCTTCATCTTGGATCAGATGGAGCTTGGAGAGCACCTGCTGAACCGTGACTGTGGCGATTTGAGTGGTGGCGAGATGCAGCGTCTGGCTATTGCGATGGCCTGTCTGCCCGAAGCGAATGTGTACATCTTTGACGAACCGAGTTCGTTTTTGGACGTGAAACAGCGTTTAACGGCTGTGCGTCTCATCCGTCAGTTAGCACACGATTCGAGCAGTCTAAATCGCTGTGGCCGCATGTCGTCGAAAAAGACGAGCGAACCGGGAACCCCAAGCACCGCGCCCGACCACGAAACCGACCACGAAACCGACGACGACACCAACAAGCCCAGCGAGGCTTCGTCCGGACTGGAGGACGTCGAGGACGATGACAACGCTAGTTGTGAGGTAAAAACACCTACTGCAAAAAACATATACAAGAATGTTGCAGGAGATGAAAATACAGGTTCGGAAGATGAGAGCGCCGAAGCCGATGACGACATCGCGGCTTGTTCTGACGGGGAAGACGATTGGGCCAACAGCAGCGATGATGAGGCGGCAGAAAAAAAACGATGCCCAGGAGGCATTTTGAAGAAGGCTGCGCCAGCTGGTAAGGAGTCTCGAGTACATTGTCTGTGATCTTCATTGTGCCATTAGATTCAGCAAGAGAACTACCCGATGAAGTACTTGAAGGGTATTTAACGACCTGTTTCCTTGAACAAAATCAAACAAAACAGGAGGTACTCCTGCGAAGGAGAGTCCCCAAGCGGAGGAGCGACTTTTGCCTGAGGATGAGAAAACAGTCGAGGAGAATCATGTCGATGACGCGGGTCATCGCCTTGGCGGTGCAAGATATGTCGTCGCTATCGAGCACGATCTCGCAGTGTTGGATTACATGTCTGACTATGTGCACTGCATGTACGGTGCCCCAGGCGCCTACGGCGTGGTGACTAGGCGGTCCTCCATTCGCAACGGAATTAACAACTTTTTGGCTGGCTATTTTCCCGCAGAAAACATGAAATTCCGCAAGGAAGAACTGTCCTTCAAGGTCTCGCATGCGCAAACACTGAAAGAAATCGGAAGCGCCAAGCAAGGAGCCGGCGTTGCTGGGTCCGGCGATGCGTCTGCAGCGTACTAGATATCTCTATCTCATTGATTATTTGTACAAAGGGAGAGTGACTGCAGGGTTCTTTGATGTTACAGTTCCATTTCCGTAACTCTTCGGGTTCGGATTCATCAAGTACAACTGCAAGCAATGTCCTACTTGTAGAATAATTTTTTCGCTGAGTAAGCGAGCTCGACATGTCTTCATCTTTCTTTCCCTTTCAAAAAATACAGGAACAAGAAGGTTGGGCAGATTTCTTATCCGCGAATGACGAAGACACTTACGCGAACGTTTGAGAACACGACTAAGCCAAGCGAGACCAGCAAGGTCACTGTTCACGAAGCCACAGTGAGTTCTTTCACGTTGCATGTCAGCGCAGGAGGCTTCACAGAGTCTGAGGTGATTGGAATGGTTGGCGAAAACGGAACCGGAAAAACGACTTACCTGTCCCTTCTGGCAGGACTGTACGACAAGAAGCCACAAAAGACGAATCGCGGGGAAGGAGCAGCGTTTACGACAGGTACCTTCTCCTCGTCATCATGAGGATTAGAAGACGAGTACCTTGTTCGTCTCCTTGAACAACTAGGTACAGGGAAGTCAAGGGAATATCACAGTATAAATGATGAAGATCCAATTGGATTAGTCCACACTGATGTTCATGTTCCGCCATGGCTAATTGGCTCTATTTCATAAACTAAACTAACTTCAGTTTCACGCGTTGACGAAGAGCTGGAAAGTGAGGCTATTTCGTTGGTGGAGAAGGGGTGCAGTGTTGCGCTGAAGCGTCAGGACTATGCGCCTCGATTCCGCCGTTATCCTGGAGTTGTGAAGGAGCTTTTAGAGCGGAATATCACGCGCGCGTACTGCGACACCATGTTCAAGCTGTTTGTTTTGCGTCCTCTGCAGATCGACGAATTGCTGGAGCTGCCGGTTGCCACCTTGAGTGGCGGTGAGTTGCAGCGTCTGGCCATCGTGGTGTGCCTGGGAACGCCGGCGACCGTGTACCTGTTCGACGAGCCCTCCGCGGGTTTGGACTGCGAGCAGCGTGTGAAAGTCGCCAAAGTGATCCGTCGCTGGACCCGGGACTACTTGCACCGCACCTGCTTCGTGATCGAGCACGACGCCGTGATGATCACCGCGATGGCGGACCGCATCATCTGCTTTTCCGGACAACCCGGCGTCGAGGCCACGGCCAGCGAACCTATGCCGATGGCAGTGGGCTTCAATTACGGCTCAAAATTCTTCATTTCCACTAGTCATTTCTCGCAATTTTCTTCTTGGGAATCCGAAGAAATGAACGCATGAAATGAAATGTTTTGAGCTCTAAATCGGCCGTTTTTTGCGGGAACTGAATGTGACCCTGCGCCGCGATCCGTGCAACCACCGTCCGCGCATCAACAAGCCGGAAAGCGTCAAGGACCGCGAGCAGAAGCTGAGCGGCAACTACTACTGCTTTGACGTGGACGAGATGGGGGCCGAGGATGTTAAGGCTACACGAAATCTCCCATTTTCAGAAGCATCTTGCTCCCGTCTTTCAAGGGAAAAGGGGTGCTGCTGAAGATGGATTTCTCTTAGTTCTAATGATGAAAAAGAAGCCGGAGATAAAAAAGGCGGCACGTCGAAAAGCAGTCGGAAATGAAGGGCAAATCAGCGGCATTCACCAAACTTCTGCATGTTATACAACAACATGTACATCAAGAAGAAAACCACTTAGAAGGAGCTGCTGTCCTAGCTCTAGCGCGGCAGGCGCATCTTCGAGTAGATCAACAAGGTCAGTACGAAGTCGTCCTCGTCGAGGAGGGTGATGGTGTTGCGAAGTGGAAAATGACGAGCACTGATCTTCTTGTTCTGCAGGATCTGTACGACCGCGACTACTACTTCGTCAAAAAGATGATTGATGCAAATCACTACAACTCAGACGACGTCCACCTGCTCCATGATTCCGCGCGGCATTTTCTCGCTGGTGGTTCGATTTACGACGGTCAAGGCATGATCGGCACTGAAGAAAGTTGGGCTGAGGTGTCCATTGTTGAGAACCTCATGCTTGCACTGCTTGAGCTCCAGCCCGCTCAACGCGGACGGAACCGTGCGCGCCCGGTGAAACCAGTCTACGGCCGTGGGCGTTCACCGAGGAAGCGCAAAGGGTATCGACAAGAAACGACTCTGTCGGAAAAAGACTTCTACTAAAAGTCGTCGACAAGACAAGAAACAACTACAACTAGTTGCGTCCTCCATTGCAACAAGGTGGGATGCGAGGACTGCGACGAAGACGATGCTAGCAGCACCAGTCGGCAATTACGAAGACTCTTGCATGGCGAGATGAGTGAAACGAAACTGCGTTCGACGATGAAATTTATCTGTCGTAATATCATGGGATTGGGAGGAGCTCTTGTAGAATACTACTACTCCGTCTGAAACTGACTGGAAACAAATTGTTTCGGGACAACGATACTAGAAACGAATGGCTAGATTCTATCGGCCACTGGTTATTGTTCGTGAACGTGAACGACAAGAATATCGAGTAGATTCATCGAAAAACGCACTAGATATAAAGCATGATAAAGATGGTGTAGCATAGTTTCTGACTTATGTCATTATTTGTATCAGAAGCACTAGAACTTGAACAAAAACCTGCAGGAAGCTATCAATATGCGCTGATAAGTACCTATAAGCGAAGACGAAGTTTAGTACCTTGAAGAAAGTGCTGCTTTTACTAAAAATGCAACAAGATAAATATTTCGGTTTCTTCTATAGCAATAGAACAAGCACATCACCGAAGCTCAGTGCAAACAAGCACGCTATTTCCTAATAGGAGATGTTTTCCAAATAAATAAGCATTTACTACTTCAGGATGAGAACAAGAAGACAACTATTCGCGCAGAAAAAACAAAGGAGAAGACCATCAACATACATAAGAGTTTCTTTTTCTTTATGAATGTGCCATAGCATCATGGTGGATTCAACACAACTGGTTCTTTGTTTTTGATGAAAGACGTGTATTTGATGCTTGCATGCATCATTGAAGGTGACGCATCGATGTGTAAGTGCATGCTCACGCGTCCTCTGGACAGACGCAAGACGTGCGGCGGAAGAGTCCACCATACTGTGTTAATGAAAAATGTTGCGGAGTTGGGTTCATTTCAGACCGTCGTTGTAACTCGGCCCAGCTCTGCATGCTCTGCATCTTAGATTCTTTGATCCGCTTCACTTGCCATGCTCTGGTGATTGGGGGCGCAGGAGCTTGATCCGCTTGCGGTGGTCGGTGTCTGGTGATGTGTGCTTTGTCTTGAGGCTGTCACTTCAGTGAAGATCCGAACACGTCTAGATCTTTCTGTTGAAATAGCTAAACATAATATAGATCCAACCGCCCTAGCCCTACAACTTCATGCAGACGAGAGGAGAACAAGCAGAAGGCCCACAGTCGACAACACGGGCTTTATCAAGAACAAGAAGAAGGAGAAGAAAGGTAAAAAGCTTTATGAGATCATGGCCGATTATTGTATCGATGGAATATGGATGGTCGTTTCTTGTTAGTCAGAAGCAGTCGCCGCAGGACTTTCGAGCAATTCATTGATTCAATATAATACGCAAGAAGGATTAGTATCCTTATTTTTATTGGCTTGTCCTTGTTCCCCCAATCAAAATCAAAAGGCTAGCATTCCGATTCATTTTATTTCTTCCGTGCTTCATTTAGATTCTCAACAGGAAGTGAGCACAGAAGGAAAGCATCTAGACTGTTTCTCTACAACAGCTACTTTAAGCTAGAGTCCTCATCCTGTTTCTCTTTACTGAAAGGCGTGCTTTAGTTCGTGTTGACATGCACTACTGCATGGGTTTTGTCAACAATAGTACAGTTGTCTTGTGTCTTTGCTGTAGTTGTTTCTGAAACAAGTTGTAACTACTCACTTGTCGAAGTCCTTCATTTCTTCTTCTGCATACTACAATCTATCAATAAACAACATTGGCACTACCTCCTCCTACACGGAAGGATAGGAAGTGGACAAGAAACACAGTATTAAGCGCCGCAACAAGTTGGGTGCCGCGGAACAGAAGAAATACAACCTACTAGAAGTTATCTTCATGAAAACTTCTCAAGATTGCTTTTTACTCTTCCCAGAAGCCGGGCGGGAGATAGACCATCCTCTTGATTGAAGATGGATTGATCGAATATTAGGCACTACTACATGAACAAGAACACGGATGAATATAAAAACTACCACATTATGAAGTCGTAGAATTTGCGCGACAGAGAAAAAAGAACCCACTAGTATTCTGTGATTGACGACTGTTGTTCCTAAGACAACTCCCTTGTGGCTTCTGAAGAAGAGCCCGGGCCTGTTTTTAGCGGATCTTGAAATCAGTCAATCAATTTTTACAAAGAAGCGCACCGAATCAAACATAAACAACTTATACCCCACGATTGGGTACACCTACACTACTACTACATGGCTCGGTGCGGATGCTACTCCTCAATTCCTAGAGTAGTCTTCGCCTTACACATACATTTATGGTGGACGTGTACGTGGAGGCTGCTATACCGATGTCCTGCAGTAGGGTGCGTTTCGCTGCTGCACTACGTACTAGCCGCTGTTGACGTGGTGGTCTAGAAATACAGACGCAAGAGCTTGAAGGAAGGTCTCCATCCAAAGCATTTTTGAGCTACGTACTATGAATCAAGCTCCTTGCTGCAGTTCGACCGATTAAGTATTACGGTCATCTTTCTTGTGTATAAAAAATATCCATATCGCGAATTGAATGAAAGAATGGGAGATCGAGAATATCAATACCGCGCAGTGTTGGACGTCACCGGCGACACCATTTTAAGTGGATGCTGCAAGTGTTAGTGCGTGCGTCTGTGCATTCAGGAGAATAAATTTTGGAGGAAGCGAAGCGGCGCGTGAGAGATGCAGGCGTTTGCTCTATTGAGAGTTGAAATGAGGAAACGAGATCCAACGTCATTTGCTCATTGCCCGCAGGAACGTGTCACGAGCTCCAAAAAAACACTGAACACAATGTAGCACGCATGCAAACAGAACGAGAGAGAGAGGAAGAATGCACCGCTAGTACTCAATTCGTTATTCATTAACCTCGCCATTCTTTCTTTCAGCAACACTTGAATGATACAAGTAGCATAAGTTGTCATCTATATCTAGCCCTTCGAGCTCGATTGTGCCATCTACATCTTACTGAACTCATTCTTGAGTTACTTAGTGAGTGCCAACATTAATTAGTGAAGTAAATTACGTTCTTCGAACACAGAGGACCTTCTAGTTCTTCAGTACGGTGGCGATTTGGTACGGTCGCGGCGAAAATAAAATGAGCGCGTCTTTCGGTGGAGAAGTTGCCGTGTACTACAAGAAGATATTTGACAACCACCGCCGGCCCAATGGACCCTGGAAGAAAATGGTCGATATTGTACGCGAGTACGTTAAGCAGCTGCCTGAAGCTTAAGGCATGTTGAAGGGGCAATTATCTAGAATTATGTTTATGCCAAGAAGGTTTTAATTAGATTCAACAACCAATTAATTATTAGTTAGTTTATCAACAACAGAGCATCACTCTCACACTCTTCTAAGAATATGCGCCTCCGAAAATTCTGGATCTTGCGAGCGGACCGGGCGAGCCGGCGGCGAGCCTCGCAAAGATGTTGAAAGTAAGGCCTGATGATCGTCCGCTAGAGATTTGTGGAGATTATAGCTTTACTGCTGGGTCCTGTCATGTTGTTGTATAGGGCAAGAGGCAAGCATGATATCTTGACAAGGACAAGAAGCTTTCCGCGGCCGTAGTCTAAGCAAAGCCACCGGCAGGGAGGATGCGGTTGTGTATTCCACGGATGTCGCTAGTGATATGGTGGACAAGGCCAAGGACTTAGCAGAGAAAGAGGAGGTTGCGGAGAAGGTCAAATGTTTGGTGGTGGACGCTCAGGATATCGAGGGCTGTGCCGAGTTGAAGGACGAGAAATTCGATGTGATCACTATCTGCTACGGATACATGTTTTGCCCGGAACTAGAAAAAGCCGTCGAGCAAACCTACAAAGCTTTAAAGCCCGGCGGATTGCTGGTACTACATTTTCTCGCTATGCACTCTCTTGTTGGTCTCGTATTTGTACCTCAACAAGACGAGGGCAACTACCACGACTGCAATTTTCTGCTCGTGTTTAGGCCACAGGAGACCATCACCATGTAGTTGACCTACATAAAGATACGTTTAATCGTATGATTACTACTATTCTAATTCTAAATAGCAGAAGCAGATATAAAATATATTGTCGTTGTTCATCTTCATCAAGACCCTGCTGATGAACTACTGTCATAATATTCTTGCGATGAGCTCATGTTTATACTTTTTGTCGGTTTAATATCCTGCTCCACAGTCCACCAACATTTGATCGGACTTAGGTGAGCACGCACTGGGTAAAGATGCCTTACATGATGCTGTGCAAGGCGGTAATGACGGCTGTTATGACTGCCAAGGGGCTGGAGCCACCGACTGCCCCACCGTCAATCAACCCTATGTCCCTTAGTCAAGGTCAGCTGATTACGGCACCGACTGTCCATAAGACTATGCATCTATAAATATGTATAAGTAGATCTCATTAGAGCACTTGTAGTAGATACCTTTCAGCGTCAGCGCTACTAACTTATGTTTATGGCCTCTGTGACGATGTTCTTGATCGGATCGATTGCTGTTGTCTTCACTTGTGCAGTGCTGCCAATTTGACTTCGAGTTTTTTTTTTCTTCGTTGTGCCCGAAATGAGTTAGTAGCCATTGCAGCGCTTGCTGGAGAATCTCCAGTTATTTAATTTAAAAAACTGCGTTGATGTTGATGAATGTCAGCGTCCTCTAACCCGATGCCGATGTTGGAAAAGCAGGGCTTCGTGGATCTACAAGTGGAGGAAAACGAATACTCTTTCACGCTCGGGCAAGATAGGGAGGAGCAGTATGGGATGGCGACGATTCCGATCCGGGACAAGGTCGAAAAACTCGAGGCCCACGATCTCGCAAAGGAAAATTAAGGGCAAAAAAACCCGTTACAGTGTGACTGAATCGGGCTTAGTTGCTTTCATTGGTCGCTGTGAAGGAACAGCGGACGTTCTTATTTGAAACATACTGGCAGGACCGCCACTTGCACTTCTACACGTAGTTCTGACTATTTGATTCTGGGATCCATGGAAATGTACAGTGTGCATTTTTATGGGAAAAATTATAACTGGATTTTCTCCTGTCCCAGTGGTCCTAGCTTTCGTAGATATCTGGTCGAGAATGGTAGATAACGAATTCGTCTAAAAAGAATTTCCGGAATGTGCCGAGCAATTCACGACTACGGATGAGAGCGGCGACATGATTATGGGAGGCATGGTCTATGCGCTTGTTACTTGCAAGAAGGCTGCGACCTAAGTGTAACTAACTCAGTCTGGGGAGAAAGATTGAATTGTGCATTGGGTGCATGTTGGGTCACAATTGTTTTTATCTGTATCATAAATTTGAAAGATATGAGATCATTGTTTCCTATATGAAAGACAAAGAACGCCTGAGTCGGCGCATCGAGCATATTTGATTAGCATTACTAGCATTCTCACAGTATGGATAGATGTTTTTCCGTGTTTGCGATAATCACGAGAGAATATCCTCCTGGTGGCATGAGAGCGCGGATTCCCTGTCAGTGTTCTGGTCCTACCGATTGAGAAATACCGATACAAATGACGATCAGTCCCTTCGCGAAGTCATGATCACCATTCGCTTTCTCTCTGCTCGTGCCGCGCCTATCAGGCGCTCTGTTCGTCAGTAAATCCCCGACTCTAGCCTTCGCCTGTGCGTGAATGAACAACATTGATGGCACGATTCTATCCCTTTCTATGCTTGTTTGCCGACCCCCGGGTGAGCTTGGTTGCTGTTTTTCATCAGGTGTTGACACAGAATGACATCCAAGCCAGGGACTGATCCGTTCGAGAAACTCTCTCGATGAGTCGTTTCCACTTGCCTGTCCTTGTTCTACTTCTAACAAGGAGGGCCCTAATGCTTCCAAATCGAAATCTTGAAATCCAATGTAGCGAACCAGGAGCACGATTAATGCCTTGGTTCGGGCTAATCTTTTACAGTAGTGTCTGACCAAGCCCCATGTAGCTCCCCGTTTATAATTTTGCCTTGAGAAAAACACGCCCTCATTAACATAAGTCACTCGTTTTATTTTGTTATAGGCTACCCAGCATGTGAAAATAAACGAAAAGGTTTCTGTGGCTGCTTGGAGATGATCCTTAATATGTCTGCAAGAACAGTGTCGCTATTCCTTTGCAAGAGTTTTACAAACTTCGAAATATACTCATTACGCTGCAACCCACGGCCGTCCGCAAGGACACACTGCTGGAGCTAGGGATGCGAGTGAATGAATGAACATCGCTGCTCACGTTGGCACACCAAAGAACTTCGAATACCACAAGGGCTATGACGCTGATGGATTAATCTTTAAGAAAACTAAAGCCCTGCCGACTAGACTTTGAGTTACAGGCTCATGCTAGTTTATTGAGGTCCACCTACGTCTTCGGCGTCGGTCGTCATAATCCAAGTCTCCACCAAACTACAAATTACAAGTATATTTATAAGCACTAGCACTACCTACTAAATAGAACAGTTTATATGGCTGGGCTGGGCACACTGGGTCGCTGGGCGACCCAAATGTGCCAGATCTGCGACCAGCGTGACGCTGGGCGTCTCCACTTGCGTGGCGCCCTTCGGGCACCCGCTTGAGAACCCCACCAGCAGGGCTAGGCTAGCGTAAGCCAAGGCCAGCGGGAGCGGCGCTGGCAGTTTACCGCACTGCACAGGAGCGGCGCAGCACTGCACGCATCGGGCAGCCAAGTGCAGCGCGACGCAGTGCAAGCCTGAACAGAGCAGGCGCCGCGCAGCTCGCTACTGCGCAAACAGGCGCAGCACTGCGCCAGCGCTGCCCTGAACCTTGAGGGCGGCGCGCCGCCTGTGTTTGTGCTCACGGGACGCGCTGCACCGCGTCCCCGCGGCGCAAGTAAATCCATCGGCCGCGCGGGCTCGGCATGCCCAATGTGTGGCCCTCAAGTCCGCCAAGCGCTATCCAAGCGCCCGCCCAGCGTGCCCCGCGTAGCCGCCCAGCGTACCCAGCGAGGCCACCCATCGTACCCAGCGAGGCCACCCAGCGTAGCCCAGCGTCTATAAACTACTCTACTACTATCTAATAATAATTCAGTGCTTGTTTATCATCAATATCAATTATTATACGGTCAAGAGCTCCCGTCTCGCTCTCAACGTTGCATATGCATCCGGATATCCTTGTCTATCATGACTGTGGCGGTGGTTTTACACCTTCACGTCTTCATCACTAATTTTGATGTCCATGCAATCAAAAAACCTTCGAAACAAATACTTAGCTGCCTTTACTTGGAAGTAGTACAACTACTCTCTTGATGCAGTTAATTACCATCTTCCTCAAACTCCACTTCCACCATATGCAGCTATTAGGTCCACCACATGGAGGAGCGAGGTCTTAGCACTTCAACAGCCTCAACGGCCGCCCAGTTGTTAGAGGTGTTTGGTCAATCTCAATGCATGCTCATACTTGTAGAATCAATTCAGCAAAGCTGTCGTTTTTCTGCATGCCCATACCTGGTCCATAGAGAATCATCAGGAAGTGTCATCCGTGGTACTAGGTTCACATAAGTACCACACCGACAAGAAAAAGGGTCTTAATCATCCGCCTCTGCCTTTTTTTCGCGCTGATTGCTTTCCGCTTTAGCCTCGCCTCCTTCTGCCGCATCATGCGGTCTAATCCAATTTAGCGCTTGCCCTGAAGATCCATCTTGCTTGTTGGCACACACAGCATCTTGGTGGTGGCATCTCTCTACTTGGTAGACTCAACATTTATTGGGTCTGCTTTCGCCTTAGATACCGGAGGACATCAGTTCCGAGAAGATGGATGAACAGCTCCTGCTCCAAGATGCTTCACAAACACAAGATGGGATAGCGCAATATAAGCCTTAACCATTGCAGTGGTGGCAAAATCCACAATGTGCGCCTAGTTCGCAAGAATGCGGGGACTTTCCAAAAAATACACACGGACGACATAAACGGAATCCACCCGGCACATGAAACATCGATCCGTGGCTGGATTAGATGGGGTTGTCCTCGTCGGACTGGCTTTCCCTGGTTAGGGCTTAGGGTTGTAGGTAAACATACCCTTGATGCAGAACTGCTGATTCATGGTGGATACAGTTACAACTGCTTGCATTTAGATCTAAATCAGGCCAAAGATGGCAGGCTTTCTCGGGTGCAACTCTTACTTAACTAGGCAGCTGGTTGAGAAAGTCGTCGCAAGGAAGGACTTCGTCTTCGTCTGGATAGGGCGTCCTTGGCGATGAGCATGCTACGGCTGTATTCGAGGGTGCAGGCGAATACGATGGAGCAGGCGGCTCTCTTAGCAGTTGTAGAGGATTCCGTTTCCACCTTCATAATTTGAACCTAAACTACTTAGTACCCGACGTCTAACGCTTATTACTGAGTTCCTGTATCATGCTTCTAAGAGTAGAAACAGACTCAAGGACGTTAGGATTGTTTCAGTCTCTCTGTCTTACAACTTGATGCTCTGCGACAGATTGATACAATTATTGCGTCCTTAAAATCATGCTCGCCGAAGGCGCAAAGGATGGAGCAGGGGCGAGTGCGATGCTTGACGGTGCGGGGGAGGACGCCGGAGATGATGTCGCATATAGTTCTTGGTAGCTGTTGGAAAGATGCGATGAAGCACGAGTTTCACGCCCATCTTCCAAGGGCTCGAAAACTGTTGTTGATGTAGTAGGTACTAATATAGGAGCGCCTTCTGGTGCTTCAATGTTTGGGTCACTACTTCCACTGGAGCATGCTACTCCACTGGAACAGGCTACTTTTTCACTGGAGCATGCTACTCCACTGGAACAGGCTACTTTTTCACTGGAACATGCTACTCCACTGGAGCATGCTACTCCACTGGAACATGCTACTCCGCTGGAGCATGCTACTCCACTGGAGCATGCTACTCCACTGGAACATGCTACTCCGCTGGAGCATGCTACTCCACTAGAGCATGCTACTTTTCCACTAGTAGAACACACGACTACTTCTCCACCTGCTGTTTGAAGAGGTCCACCATACTGACAGGAGTGCTGCACCGGATTTGGACGAAACAGCCGAACATTGCCCGAATATTCATTGTCCACGTTGCCGTATGGGTACATGTGATTCCCCTCGTCTGACAAGAATCGGCGCGCTTCTGCTTGATGTATGTGCAAATTAGATGAACGTAAAATGAAGAACTTGCTCATCAAGATTATGCGACGAGCACGAGGAGTGAAATGGTCAACATCCAGCCAGATCTTGACTTTCTGGTGCTTCACAGAGGTCTGGGGTACGAAGGCTGACGCCGAGAGGAGAATAACACAAATAAAGACCGCTTGACGATGATGAATTCTCACTCTTCATCTGCATCTACTGACTGTTGAATCTTCTGTAGACGTGGTCGTAAGAAGAAGTTCTCTTCGTTCTCGCTGTTGCTTCGTCGTTAAATAGCCCTTGTCGATACTCGATTCTACAGGGGCCTGTCCGTTCAGTTTGCAGTGTAGTAAGAGAGTGGCGCGGTGTAGTAATGTTTTAAGGATATTCCGCAAGCGTCCAACGTCCTCGTTGGAGACACATGACATGACAACATCTTCGTGTCGTGGGCCACCCAGGAAACCCGCTTCCATCTCGTCTCGTCTTGTTCTTCTATCATCTTCTGTATAATTTTGGCCTTGGCGGCCCCACGGATCCTGACCTCTACTGCTTAAAGATACCTGACGCGTACTGCATCGACTCTTCCATTCTAGAAGAGCGCGGAAACGGTCCAAACTGCTGATCATGTCGCAACATTCCTTGCTCACGTAAACACCTGAATTGTGGTACTCTTGGAGCGCCTGCTTGCCCCCTTGTAGTACTGTAGGACGCTGCTCTGCGGAGAGACAACATGTTGTGGCTTGACCCTCTTCGCTTTGTGTCATTAGCGGTAGCCTTCATAGTTCCCTTACTACATGAGATCGTCCTCCTCTTGGAGTGCAACAGGAAGGGACGGTGGGCGATCACTGTATAGTACTAACTTCGGACGCACTAGAGGAGAAGTCGCTTGTTGTAGTTTGTAATCGTGTGGTAAGGAATTAGATGAACGACTCCGAGGAGGGGAATCAAGATAAGTAGTCAACGAACACTTCGAAAAATCGTGAGGCTTAACAAGTCGCTGAAATTTTGAAGAAAATATTGCAGCTCTTCGTCCTCTTCTTCCTCTTCCATTCGGTCTCGTCCACCTTCATTTTCAGAGAGACCACATCTTTTTTCCTGCTCGCTGTAATCGAAGAGTCTTTCTTGGCATCTCGCTGTTCCTGTTGGAAATCCTCGGAGGTGGTCGTGAGCCTGAGTATAATCAGGAAGGTTGAGGCGATTCAGCCATATTTTCAGGCGCTCCATAGACATTAGGAGAGAGCCAATGCCCGTGCGAACTTTCATATGCCTGTCGGGTTCTCCCCAAGAACGAGACCATGAGGACACTGAAGATGCGGTGCCAGATTCTTAGAGGTTGTTCGTTCTGATTTTGATTTAGCAGTAGACTTGTAGAACAGTCTCTCTCAAACCATACATATATATTTCGCGTACCACTTGCTGTCGGGTCCGGTTAATAGAGTTACAACCTCCCACAAACACAATACATACTACTACGAATACTTAAATAGATTTACATTTTTTATCAGGTCTGGATAAAGAAGGTCTTTGCAAAACTTTTACGGTTGTAAAAGTAGAGAAGATCGACCACAAGTTTTATCGTGAGAATTATAATAACCGTAAAAGCTACAACTGGTCGCATGTGCTTCGGTGTAGTGACGTGATCCGGCCTCGCATGAAGATGAGTCAGAGTCTTCGTGGTCCAGTTGTAGACCCACTTCTATTTCAGAAATTTTGCTCGCTTCTGGGGTTGTTTTTGTACCTGGTGCAGTACTTGTCGCTAAAAGCGCTCCGCGATGATGCAGTGTCTTAGTGGACCTCATGACAGCGTCCACGTTGCTTCTCGTATCGTCTTGTAGTTTTGTCCCGTAGTAGACACCACTTGATGTTGTGCTTCCTTTGATGCCTTTCCCTGCTTTTACTTCAAGATCTTGATGTACTTGTTCTTGTTCTTCAACATGTGCAGCCTCAGCTGAAACGGCTTTTCTGCTAAGTGCGTTGTGGCTATAATGACTAGGACCTGCAGAAGACGAAGACGAAGACGAATAGGGTAGCCTATTACTTCCCCGTTCGTGTTCTCGTGAAGTTGGATACCACGCTTGAGCTGATGTGGAATAAGCGTGCTGCCCGTCATAGTCTATCCAAGGGCAAGGCCAGCCGCTATCTCCATTGTCCCCGTAGTATGCTTGTCCAGGTTCAGCACCGAATTGTCGCGCGTGGGACTCCGAAGCCGTGCGTGCTGTCGTCCCTCTAGTACCTCCATAGAAGCACTTTCCTCCAGACGATGCTGATGGACATGCCAGACCAGAACTGTAGCTGTAGTATTGTTGCTCGTCAGATGTGGGAATATAATTGTAAGCTGTTGGATAGCATCCCGGGTACCACTCATTCGTCCACCAACCAGCATCCTGGGGTTGAATCCACCCCGTTGTCTTGTTCTGTTGAGAGTTGAATTGAGTCTGAAAATGAGAAGAACCAAAATGAAAATGATGATCAAACTCCAATGCATGCATACTACAGATGGTCTCTTACTTTTTTGTTTTTCACAAGCTGAAGTTCGTGTGCCTTGCAAAGGGAATTGCGTCACCTCCCCAACTTTTCCACATGAATTCGAGTTACTGTGAATACCTCACGCTTCGGCCGCTTTTTTGTGGTTGATGTGGTCCTTTCCGTCGTCATTGGCTTGCTTTTTACATCCACCGTTTGACTCTTCTGGCCGAGCAGCGGCTGTCGAGGTCGAGATACTTTTGCTGGCGAGCCGGGTGCTGACTTTGCATCACTCATTTTTCGTCCCGGTCTTTCAGTCCTTCTCATTTTTATACGGGAGTTGTTTGCCTGCTCTACTTCGTCCCTCACGCTTCTAGGAGATGCAGCCTCGGCAAATGGACCCGCCGCATTAGCCATACCCTGCTCATAATCTTCTTTCCCAAAAACGCTTCCGCTTCCAACTCCATGGGCGTTGCCGAAGAGAGTAGATGATAGGGCAACGATAGCATGCTCGTTATCCATCTCTGTATCACTGATGTCCGCCCATTTCCTTGCACCCGCTTTATCTCGTCTTTGCCTGCTAATTGTACAAGAACTTCTTAGCTGAAGTTCCGGTGCTTCTCCTTGTTGTCGCTCGATTTCCGGAGTAGCGCTAGCTCTTCGTTGTTCTTTGCTTGCCCGCTGGTCTGCTGTGAACGATGTGGACGAATCATGTGCCAGCCTTTCCGCCCGACTTGATGAAGACTGGTGGCCATCTTCTGCTGTCATCGACTCGGACGATACAACAACATGCGACGAGGCAGACGCAGTTACGGCAGGCCACAATATTGAGGTCGCCGCAACAAGCAAGATACACTGACCTCGTACACAGACAGCAGACGCACATGATATTGATGAAAATGAGTGCCAAGAATAATCATGCACCATTTTGTTCTTTTGCATTCGCTTGAAATAAAATGTTTATGTTGTTTCTTTGTTCGTTTTAATACGAAAGGAATGGACGATTAGACTGTTGTAAATCTTGCATGTAGAAAGTGACTATAGATATAGAAGAAAAAGTACCTTTTCTGATAGATTTTGAATACCGAATCGTATATATAAAGACCAGCACTTCATACATAAGTATATCGATGATGTTCTATTTCTAGTGCAACAACTCCACAAATAAGTATAGGTCGATCTTCGTGATAGAAATACGAAAAACCGCCTGTCCTATGAAAAGATGAAGGTTGGCGCCATGATTCATTGGAGGAGAATTCTTGAACTCTGTCGAGGCTGCTCCCGATCTGTTGAGAGTTATCGAGCTAGAAAACTTCACGAGGAAAGGTCTAAGTACGAGATAAGTGCTTAGGTTTGTCGCGGTCGTTGCTATAGTATTCGGTCTCGCGAATTCCACTTGGAGGATGAAGATAGAGAGCAGCTGACTAATCAGAATTATAGCTAGGTAGGTAATATCGTCGATGCTAGAAATGCACGGCATGACATGACAGCGAAAACCTTCCCTATACTTCAAGCGCGCCAGGCTTGTCTTTATGCTTTGACGAAAAACCCAAAACCTAGCCCGAAACTTTTCTACCTGCTTGGTACTGTTCGCGCCTTCTAAATACACCGGCAAGATCGGAAACCACTCGAGTAGGGAAATGAGTGAATTTCTTCAAGAATTTGACTTGTAAAGAGTTTCAGTCTCGGTCTGTAAAGCGTCACTGTCATAAAACATCTAAGGCATAAGTGAGCAGTTCCACGTGAAAGCAATCGAAATAGTAGTGAGAAGTATCTTCTTCAAATTCAATTCGAATGCTCACGAATTGCCAGTAAAATTGAGGATAGATGATCATGACGCCGATAGGTAAAACAAGTCTGCACTTGAATTTATGTACAAAAACCCGCATGATCAGGCAGTGCGGAATTAGTGTGAAGCTGGAGCCTCTCGCCATGCTTGCAGCCAGGAACACACGCGACGTGACGCCTCAAGTACAACGCCGTACGTTTCTGTGCGCTGTGGCTGTGCACAATAAGGTTCGCGTACTGCTCGTAGCCAACATAGTCAGAGCAAGCAGTTCAAAGACGATACACTCAGAGCAGCACAACTACGTCGTAGCAAACGAGCATGAGCAAGACCGTAATCTGTATAAATATTACACCGACGACAGCATCAAATTTAATTTTTGATATACTAGCATCTATTTTTGTCTTCAGAAGTTGTTGCAACAGCGACACTTTCAGCAGGAGTAGCCGCTTCAGCTCCTCGCAACGGGGCAGTGTCGTCAAGGTAGTGGGTATGCTCATGCTCAGCCACCTCGTGTATGTTGAGCAGTAAGGCCTCGTCGAAGACCTGAAAGGAGCATTCTCGATGAGGCTTTTTCAGGGTCGTGACTATGCACTGCTCGTCAAAGTGGTTCGCATGTCCCACGGTATTCAGAACCATCGCGGTAACGCGGTCCTTTTCCTCGGACGATGTCTTGTCTTCCGGTCCTAGTAGTGCTATTTCCCTTTTACCGGCGTTGTGTGGTTCGATGTCACCCGCTTTAACAACAATACGTGTGCGACGCAAGCGTATCTTAGAAGTACTCTTTCTCCGAGGTTCATCAGAGTCGCCTGCGACTTGTTCTACTTGGGGGTCTAAACCTACTTTGTCACGTTCGGGGTCTTCATCGTCCACGATTTCCACTGAATGGAATACCCTGCTCGATATTCTATCTGGTATTGAGGCATTGACCTGTAGTATGCTGGAGCGGCGTGACATGCTTTGGCCGCCGCTTGTTATTCTGCTCTGCTCACCGCCAGCTGATGATGCAGAGGAAGTAGTACAGTGTTGTCGTTCTGTCCCCGAGGTTGAGATTTTGACTTCCGGGCCTGCTGAACCTGTATTCTTGGGTGCTGCTGATTCGGGGCCGCTGGGGCTAGGAACAGCACTAGTAGATTTGGATGCAGTCCAGATATCGAAAAAGTCGCACCAAAATCCGAACGTGCACCCGCCAATCAAGAAGCAAGTTCCGCCGATTATCGAGAAGCAATTTGCGGCCGTGAAAGCGTCCTCCCCCACATTTGTGTCTCCCACACCCGTCTCCTTCGACGCGTATCGTGTATAGCTTAGACGAGCTGAACACCCGAATCAATGGATCCATCTTGGGACGATCCACAAGATGTTACATTTTGGAGACGTTTTTTTGCATTTGCTGTGAGTATGTATCTAATTCTAAGGGGAAAGTAGCGCTTATACTTAGCTCCACCAAGATGGTTCCTCCCGAATAAGATTTTCAGGGGAGGCCTTGTTCCTTGCCTTAAGTAGGTGCCGGCCGAGAAGAAAGCAGATCCCACTGTCATCGTGGACATCATCAAAAAGGGCAAATTCGCATGGATTCGGTAGTGGAGGCGGTATTTCGCCGCCGCGGGTTTATTTTTCAGCAAGTCATAGATGGAAAAAATGTTCGCGACAAGAAACGTGGATGACCCGATCGTATAGTACAGCCCACCGTGAAGTGGCTCCTGTAGACTTGCACAGATGGTATGGATGATGCTTTTTGCATCTTTGAGACCATCATCTGGGCTGCCACGCTTTTTTCCCTTCAAAGTTTTCGAGTTAAACTTAAAGGGGGGCCTGCGCGATGGTCTGCCTAGATGGAAAAAACGACATTCATTCGTAGATGGAATGTGTCAACAACGAACAACAAGCCAATAATTTTGCCTGCGTGCACTTCTTCCCCAGCCACGTCGCTTGCACTTGAGTCAGCCAGTGATTCAGAATGACAAAGGTACTGACCCATCCCATCATGGAGAAAGTAATGATTAGAGGTCGTCTAGTACGGAAATGGATACTCAGCTAGAGGCAGCCGCGTCACAACTATCGCATAAGCTATATCAAATTGCGACTTTCGAACAAATCTGCTAGCTTTGTTCGACATTGTCGATTTCTTTTGACCCTGAAGACGGACCCAAAACGGGCGCAAGACGTTGGCTATTTGCGATGCATGTCGACAAAGATGGCAGACGAAGGAACAAAACAAAAAACCAGAACCACGTTAGTACATCTGTCTAGCATCATTTTGCCCGCTATCCCGCCGCCCTTGTCCGTCGATACTTGAACAAAAAACTTCGCTCCTACCTTTCCAAAAAGGAGAATGAAAGCTTCTGATAAGACTTTTTGCTTCGTGTGAAATACCGAGACAAAGGGAGCCTCGTGCCCGTCAGACAAATGGACGAGCAGGCGACAGCCTTGAACCCAGTCCCGCCTCTGTCTCTGTCCGATGATCGGAGCCCACGAGGGTGGCCCTCGGGCTTTCCTCCTTGAGTTGCTGCGAGGGCAATGCCCGGCGCGCACCCTTCACTCCTTCAGGCCCGATCAAGGCCGCCCCCCCCTCCTTTGTGTGAGTGGGTGCACTATCCGCCACGGAGCGGCCTGCCCAGACCTTCGCTCATCATTCACGCGACCCGGAAAAGGCCGCGAGGGTTGTCACTTTGGGTTTGGGCTTGCCTTTCTTCAGTCCAGTCGGGACCAGGTCAGCACTTTCGGAGGGGTCAGGCGACGCGTGCTGCGGGTTTGTTTTGTCTCCGCTCCACTCTCTCATCATGTGTGAAAACCAACGAGAGCAAAAACCCAGAAAACATAGAAGAAAGACCCGAGGCCCGCAGCATGATAGAAGCCGCGGGAGCGGCGGCGGCGGTACGCTTCTGGTGCTCCCTTTGGAGCCGGAGGGGGCTGGCGCAGACATTCTCCCGCGCACGCATGCCGAGCGCGTGGCGCCGCATAGACTGCACGCAGGGGCAGGTGCCGCATGACGAGAGACAGCTCGCAGAGTGCGGGGGCTTTAAAAAGGCCAAAACCCTCTGAAGGCGCTGCCGTTTATTATTTCTAATCTGTGGAAAGTTGTGCCCTGGGTTGTGGGAGTTGTCTGTGGCCCAAGTTGTGGCGGCTGTTTTCCAAGTTGTGCAAGTTGTGGAAATTATGGCGAGTGTTAGAGGTGGCGGTGGCGAGTTGTGCGCACGCGCAGACAAAAAATGAAGTGTGGCTGTGGGGCTGGCGAGTTTTGCGCACACGCAGACAGAAAGCACACGAAAAGGCCCAAGCCCACTCTCAAGCTGTTCGAATTTAAACACCATAAAGCCCACCCGGTGTCCCAAGACTGACAGCCAAAGAATAAGGTGCGACTTTTTCATAAGGATGCCCCATAAAACTTAATCCACAACCTACGACACAACCCCCACAACCTAGGCCACAGCAAGACGCAACTGCCACAGCCCCCCAGATTTAAGGCCAATCGAGTGAGAAGCGCAGAAGCGACTTCGTAGGCAAATGGCCTCCCTAAGGGCTGGGCCTGTAGCGGGGTAAAAACTTCAGAGCCCAGGCCGCCTTCATGCTTCCGCAAAGTAAGTACGTGGGAATGCCTATGCCCTCCAGCGACACCCGGCTCCAGAAAGCGACACGCCCGCACCGAGACCAACGCTAAGCAAGCCACTGGCAGCCGCGAATATATAAGATGAGAGAAAGCAACCCGCGGCAACAAAAACGACAGCGAGGGCGAAGACGGTGGCGAACAGTCAGACACCTCCCAAAAAGGCTCGTCCAGCCGTCCCCTGCCTCGCTCTTCCCTTCCTTGGTCCATTCAAGCACGCGCGGCCGGCACCTGCCTAGCGCGGGCGCGCTCTGCCGGCGTGTGCCCCTGTCTGTGTCGCTCGCCTTGCTCGTCTGGTCTTGGTGTTGGCTCGCTTCTTCTTTTTGTCTCTGTCTTGCCCTCTGCTTCTCTCGTCGTCCTTGTTCCCTTGCGTGGCCCTCGCCCCAGCTTGTCGCAGCTGCCCAGGGTGGTGCCCCCTCCCCATGCCGCAGCGGTGTCCCTTTGACTTTGCGCCCCCCTTCTCAATCCCTTGCCCCGCCGATGTCCGCGCCTGGGTTCTGTCCGTTCCGCGGCACTCTACCCGCCCCCCGTGTCCTTCCCCGTGGCCGTCACCTTTTTCCTTTTCGAGTCCTTTCGTCTTCATTTTCCTCCACCTCCTTGCCTTGCTTGTCTTGGTGTTAGTTAGTGCGCCCTTCATAGTTCTTGGGCTTGCGCGTTGCGCTTTCACCTCCATGGGCATCGCCCGTCCCACCGGCGTGGCTTGTCTTTTGCCTGCGGGGGCTCTGGCCTCTGTCTGTGGCCTTCCCATGTCATGGTCTTCGCCGGGATCTTCGGCCCATACGAGACAGGGCGACCAGTGGGCGCCCAGCTTAATAAACTTGACAGCAGCGCAGGGATGCGCTGGATGTCGTCATCCCTGCGCTAGCCTGTGATAGCGCTGCTAGACGAACTCCTCTAGTACTTCTCTATTGTTGTTTGTCGTGTTCTACTTTCGTTGTAAAATAAGCCCTAGTATCTGTCATTGATGGTTGAGGTTGAGTGGGGTGACTAGCCTATTGACCTTTTCATCCTCTCCCTCTCCCTCTTTACCTTTAGATTACACCTGCCTCTGTCAAGAAGATTCCAGCCAAGGGGAAGAACCTTACTACGCACTCAGCATGAAAAAGATCACAAGTCGCCTCGTCCTGCTCCGAACATCAATGAAAAATGCTTAATATAGTTATTTTTACTGAAGATACTTCAACTTCTAGTACAACTACAATGGGCCTTAAGGTTAGTAGAGCTGCAAGCCTCTGGAAAGTCTCTCGGGTCGAAGCACTATCAGAACCCGCAAACGCATCAGCGATAGCCAGCATAATGAAAATACGAGCTGCAATCAGAAGGAACGCAGACCATGCTATCATCCACGCGACCAGTACGGCCTGCAGTCGGAACGGTATATTTTGTGCCGTTTCCGTCCATCTTCGCCGGGCTAGGCAACCGGCATTCTTGTCCTCCATTCCACCGCCTTAAATAGCCGTCATTTTGGTCTGTTCTTCTTGGAAGAAAAAGGACAAGTGCGTAGCCTCAAGAGTACCTATATATATTATAATATCATCTTCACATACTAAGTGAAAGTGGTTGTCATGAGTTTGCCCAACAAGAACGGCTACGACAGTGGGTGCATTTAAGCTTCATTTACTGTTGTCACCACACGTGTAGTTCTAGTTGTAGGGAAGTAATATCTACACTATGCATGATGAGTGCCAAAGGACAAGACCAAGAGGTTGACAAAAAAAAATATATTTATATTAGGTAGAAGTAATAATTTTGCAGGCAGCACAAATTAGATGAATCTGCATGCCTTGTTCAGTCGCTATCTGCCACGAGATATTGCCGCTTCCTACACTCTCTATCGTGGCCACTAAAAGGGTGATGTGAGTAAAGAGCTTGTCTGTCGTGGTCCCTGATTCTGCAGCATGAAGAGAAAGAACGGGTCGCAAGGTGTGGAGGCAAGACGCTCTCAGAACTCTCATCGCTCGTAGTATCGCTGGAGAGAAAAGCAAGGACGAAGAGGAACGCTAACTAGATTATAGGCTATAAGCTCCTCTTGCATACGAATCGACAAAAATCGAAGTCGAAAGTCAGGGCTTTATTTAAAGGGCGCCAAATAGAGCCCCAAGGCTTAGAGGAAACGAAAGCCAGAGTTCTGCAGAGTTTGTGGGGGAACCGCTAAGGTGGAGACAGTTAAAGCGCGCGGAAAAAAGGCCAAAGCTTTGGACCACTCCCAGGGTTTTGGCTCTCAAGGTAGACCAAACAGCGGAAAAACCCAAGGCTTCAGCCTCATGGTTTGCCTCCTCATTTTTCGCCGCAGGGTTTCAAGTCTCAAGGCTTTGGGCTTCACCTTCGCGAAATCATTTGTAGCGTGTCAAGGTAGACATCCCCAGGCGTCCGCAGGGTTTGCCCCTCTCGGGGTTTGCCTCTCTCAAGGCTTGCGCCTCTCAGGGTTTGCCCCTCTCAAGGTTTTTGCCACTCCCAGGGCTTGCCCATCAGAAGGCTCGGAACACGAACAGCCAGAGCGACCCCGCCGAGGGAGGGCGAGAAGAAACACGCCACAAGGCCGCAAGCCATGCAAGGCGGGCGGCGTGACTCCCCCGAGCAGGCTCCCCGGCCGGAGAATTTGAAACCCCCCAGAGCAGAAGCGCTGCCGGCGTCTGTTGCCCGCGGGCGGGCTGGCGTGTTTTCCCCCTTTGGGCCTTTCGAGACGTTAACGGGATAAAACGCGCACCACGTGCGCGTTTTGTCCTTTTAATGGCTTCCAAAATGCAGGAAAAACTGAACGGCGCAGCAATTCGCTGCCGCGCCCTGCTCGCGAGGAGCGTCCCGCGGCGGCCACTTTGCGGCGGCTGTAGCACCTTGTCCCCCACCGCCCGCCCTTCTCTGCTCTTCTTCGAGTCCCACACTCTAGCAGTGTCGCCCTCCTTTCTCTGTCGTCTTCGCCTTTCCTCTCAGCAACTAAACACTCGGGTCCCGACTAGTAAAAGATGCTTCAGCGCAAACAGAGGCTGTTTGCCCGTTTCCAACCTCACGGCGTCAACGTATCGATCCAGTTACTGAAAGATATTATGGCGCATTTTCTCGCTAAGAGCTGTTCCTCCTCCTCCACGCGCAGTGCCATTTCTTGCATTAAACTTAACATCACCGTTGGACGAAGGAGATGGCGCCATGGTTGATTTAGAATGTGGCGCGGAAGGCATGTGCATGTGCATGTGCATGTCTGGATACATACTTGGACACCAATTCTTCCACGCTGTCGTATTTTACTCGACAGGATCAAATTTCGACTCACGAATTGCACTGTCACAGATAATTGAGACAGAGCCCCTTTGTAAAGAGTGCTCCTGTGTTTGTTAAGTGCTCTCTACTTGAGACAAAGAAAAACGATACTGCAAGAAATGCAATGACGCTCCGAACGCATCTGGCTATGCTGTCTTGATTTGAGCTTGACGGAGGTAGCTGAGACAGCCTTTGCTGCAGAGATCAGACCATATTCATATCCTTCAATGCGCATGAGTTGATTTATATATTACGATCCACAATATAACTGAGTAGGATCGTCCCGTCGTTCGAATTAGCAAATGCAGCTTGATCTTGGAACTGAAAGTGTCATTTGACAAGTGGTGCCCGAGAACACATCAAAAAAATGGATTTCAACCCGTCATCTGAGGTCGCATGTACCCAACTGTTGAGCATTTGTGTCCAATCTCAATCAGCTTCATGATTAACTCAGTGTGATGAATAGACGTCCTCAGGCAGTCACGTCATGCCACTCATGCTCTAGCCTTTTTCTGTTCACCCGTCCTCTATTTCACGCAATGCTATACTTCTTGTTTTTTTGTTACCTGAGTATAGAACTCTCGCTTTTCCTTCCGCGCGAGACGCCTGAAGCACGAGGGCCAGGCACTAAGAACTACGCAAAAGATTAAGCACGGCGACAAACGTATCGTTGACGTCGTGGAAACCTAAAGCGTTATAATAAAGCAACCATATTTGATCTATCTGGATTACCCCGGGCGAGCAACGCTAAGCCCTGTGATTCAAACACAAGAAACACTAGAGCTTTCGCCAGCCCTCAGCTAAGTTAAGTAAGTGATCATATCGCTCTTCCTACTAGCCTATTTTCTTTGGTGCTGTGCTATGGTGCTTCCCACCTACTGGCCTATACATAGTACGCTAGAACAAGTGAGGAAGTTCGATCTCGACATGCAGCAAGTGCCTTTTCATTCATTCACTCCCGCGGGGTACTTTCTATTTTTTGTTGTTGCCTGGATCTACAATTCTCGCTATAAGTAGTTGCATCTAAATACCCGAGTTGTTCAGAGTGTGGCGACTCAATACAAGGGCATAATTTGGGGCTTCGTTGCAACGGGGGGCTTTTCAATGCAGTGCACTTTCTTAACAAACTCTTGGCTATTTCTATTAATTTGGTTTTTTTATTGCGAAGCTTTGACTTAAGAATTTTCGAGGGATTGAAAATAGAAGCATTTGAAGGCACGCCCAGTTGTTATCCTAATCCTACTACATTATCTTGCTTCTTGACTCAATAAAGGTAGTAAGCTGATGTGCTACAACTCAGTGACTTCGAGCTAGGATATGAAAGAAAAATGACCGCGGTCATTTTTGAAATATACCCGCACTGACGGAAATCCATCCTTTTTTAAGGAAAACACGACCAAGGGAGACTAGCAGCAGATACGTCTTCTGTGGTCATCCTCAACATTGTGTTCTCTTTCATAGTTGTATGCACCTGTAGAAGCCCTGTGAGCTCATATTAAGACAACTCCTGCTCCGCTTAATAGCGCCTCTTGTATTTTTTGCTCAGTCTAATGTTCCCACAAAGTCATCGTTCATTCCAGCGGCCCCACAACGGCTCATAAGGGGTAGGTCGGAAGGCTGAGAAGAGCTACCTTTCGGGCTCTTGTATACTCTCTTTCATATTCCCCGCGAGGTTTCAGTTTTTCTTTCGGCTTGTTCCCTGCGCTCGTCGTTTCCGGCGTCTGGTGCAGCGGGCCGCGATTGGTTGGCTCGGTTTGTCCGGTGGTGTTGTATCGAGTCAAAGTGCCCACCGCGTCAGTCTTGTACGTAGTAGTGGTAAGGTGCCCGCCTGGTGTCTTCGTTGTTTGGGTTTCTGCCGGGCTCCGAAGAGTCGCACTTTGCCCAGCAGCGGCGCCCCTGATTATAATCGCCGCGGGGGCAATCGCAGTAAGAGATCCCACGGCGGCAATCAAGGCCGAAATCAAATTAGAAGAAAATCTTCGACGAGGACGTCTCGAAGATAGCTCACGAATATCAGTACTTATATATAGGGGTAGCAGCCTAAAATTCTTAAGAGTCTTCTTTAAGGGGCTTCGGCTTCCTTAAGGAAATGGAATTCCTTAAGGGGTTTCTATTAAAAAGAGTTATTATAGGTTTTCCTTAAGGAACAAAAAGAAAAACGCTCCTTAAGGAGGCTAAGGGATGCCTGTAATAAACCTCCTTAGGCTAATAATAAGCCCTCCGCTAAGGCTAAGGACCAGCGCCACCTCGTGAGGGCCTTAGCTTGCTAGCGTAGCCATGGCTTGCTTGCATCGCTAGCTGCTTAGCCGTAGATAGCTCGCCTGCTTAATACCCCTGACCCGTAGCAGTAGCCACCTGGCAAGGCTAGCCGTCACTAGCCTGCTAGCTGCTTAGCCATAGCTAGCGAGAAAATTAGCTGCTTGGCCATAGCTTTATAGCTAGTGGCTTAGCCATAGCTAGCTTGCTAGCTGCTGCGCCATAGCTAGCGAACTTACTAGGTAGCTGCTCCTAGTAAGCTAGCTACTTACTTGGCCATGGTAGCTAGCTTGCTAGCTGAAGCTGCTTGGCCATAGCTAGCGTGCTACTAGCTGCTTGGCCGTGGCTAGCTTGGTGGCTGCTTCCTTTGCACGACCGAGCCCAACAGCTGCTTTCTTAGCCACAGCCAGCTAGCTAGCTTGCCCATGGCCACCCTGCTAGCTTAGCCCGGCAGCCAGAGCCAAGCCGAATCTTGGCGAGCTTGCTAGCCCCGCCGCGCCTAGCCTGCTAGCTTTGGCGGCCCCAGGGGTACATTAGCCGCAGCCAGCACGATACCCCCGCCACAAGACAGCGACAGCCAGCCCCGCCCGCTTAGCCATGAGGGGCGTCCACGGTAGTCCATTCTGAACCAGCCGCGTGCCGCTAGCTTGGTGACTTAGGGGCTTGCGTCGTAGTCTTATCTGTCTAGTCGCTAAGCAACGCATGCCCAGTGCAGCGGGCCCTTGATGGGCCCGCTTTCTGGGCATGTATATAATATTTTTCAGGGCGCGGGGCGACGGCCCCCCCCTAGCGGGGGGGGCCGAGCGCCCTGGGCCCCTTTTGGAGGCGTCTGCCGGGGGCGGAAGGCCTCAAAAGGGAGCCAAGGGGCTGCCCCCTTCTCGTTTGCATGTACCCTAGAGACTTGAGGGGCCCCCGATGGTGGTGGGAGGCTTCAAAAGGGGCCCAGGGGATCGCCTGCGCCCCCGCCCAGGTGCCTGCCTGTGCCCTCAGTGCATCCGTTAGGCGTCGCCGCCGCAACAGTGCACCGGCAACGGAAGGCCTCCAAAGACGGCAAAAGGCGAGGGGCTGGACCCTCGGGCCCTTGGTCATCGGCTTGCTTGCTATTGTCACCTCGGGCCCTTGGTGCGGCACACATACAATATATAAAATATAATTGTCGTGCCAGAAGATCTACTTCTAGATGCGTCACTACACCGAGTAGGAATAGTGAAATATTAGCATTTATTTGATTTTGCTAGATTTACGTCGTCTCTCTCATTATAAAGAGATGAAGTAGTTATAGACTCAACATCAGGAAAGCCTCCTCTTCGTTTAACAAGAGTCGCCTTAAGTATAACAACAGTTGCACGTCGTGCGACTCTGCAACGCCTTTGTTGCGTTTTAGCTGCTTCTGCTATAGCGCGCGCTTTTCCATATTCTGTTACTCTGTCCGGTGAACAATTGACGTGTTCCAAGGTGTGGGATGCCTTTATCATCTCTTCCCATGGTCGGGCTTGGGGCGGATCTGTACCCTCCACTTTCGGTGGCTCTTGGAGTAGCAACCAGGCAGCTCCTAGAGACTTGCCCAGAACTACTCTATCCTCATGAGGGTGTCCAATGCGCCGAAGCTCATTTTCTATGAATATGTCAGGCCTGGGGTGCGGCAGCCAAGCCATTACTTAGAGAGTAAGTACCCAAACGCAATCTCGGGTCCCATCCTGGAGCTGTTTTCCCCCTATGTATGGGGGCGCAGCTTTGCGATGAGCTTCTGGAGATGGATTTTTAGGGTACTTATGTAAGCCTTAAGTTTTATCATGCTGGTCGTTGCCCTGGGATTCAGCTTTCTCCAACGGCGGGCCGTAGAAAGAGTACAGGACGGACCCTTGTTCTAATTCCTCAGCTAAGAAGCTCCTAACTTGCTCGTGTCCTCGACTCAGTTCTTCACGTTCCTCTTGTAATCTCCATCCGGGGTCCTTAGTAAGTTTTTTCGTGAGACGCGTCAACAGAGGCTCGTTGAAGTTCATTGGCGAGTTGAAGATGTACGCCAGCTGAGCCATTGCGAGCGCGATAAAGAAGCCCGCTTCTTAAAAAAGGTAGTTTTTCGCTATAGTTTTTTGCTGTTGAGTGGGTTCCCTTTCTTTCCCATAAAATCCCTTTGACTGCAAAGGCGAACCCACTCAGCATTGTACACATAGGATAGCGAAGATAGAGCAGAGACTAGCTGCCTTAAGTTTCGTTGATGTCAAAGGCAATATGCGGCGTGGTATCGAAGTGGTCCGAGACGGCGTAGACGATGACATTGATTACGAAGATCGCGCTGTGAACGAATTGCCACAACCCGCATTCGAGTGGCAAAACGGCCGCGGTCGAAAGGCTGTGGCTCGGGTCATTGACAACACTTTCCACACTGGTGGCGTGCTGCATCGCCGCAAAAAGAGGCTCCGCCGCACGCGGTAGGTGGCTTTGCGAAATCAGCTCAGCCAATATCCTGAAAGCGTGCGGGTCCAGCACGAGCTTGTCGTCGGACACGACAGGTATCGACGGCGGGCTAAGGCTAACGCCTATATCATTCAGAGAGCCTTTCCCACTTTTATTGTCGTTTTTGAGCCTTTCCACGAGCCTGTACACGCTGAGAGACGCCCAACTAAAGATGTTGGAAAAAAGCAAATCCAATGTCTCTTCTGAGAGAAATTTCCCTTTGAGTTCCTCTGCTCCTCCTCCGTAGGCAACTATCCCCTCTGGTAAATACAAAGACCCATCAGGAGCATCATCTACTTCGTTAGCTGCTGGGTCTGGACGAGACGACAGCTCATGATGAGGATCATCTCCCTGCGGTTGTTGTGGTTTCTCCACCTCGGCAAGTAGACACCAAGGGTCTGGTGCGCTCCCGTCGGCAGGCAACTGCGGCCCGCCTTTTGCATGGGGCTGTCGCTTATAAACTAGTAACCACTTTGATGCAGAGCACTTCGCGAAGCTCATCCAAGTTCTCAGTCTTGACGCGAACAGGTGGCTTTCGTCTAACCACAGGCAGTACTTCTCGGAGTTGATCGCCTCCCAGGGTTTCAGAGTGCGCGGTCTGATATACATCTCCCGGTTATGCGCCTCGCGAGAGCCAGGCAAACGATCCGTTCTGTAGGTGATCGAACCACGGTGGCGGTGAGTCATAGAATCCCAAATTCGGCGCACGTTTTCGTAATGAATCGATCTCTGGCCGGCACGCAGATCTTCCTTCCTATTGCTAAACCAATCACTGAGGCCGAGGAAGTTACCAAGATCCTTGAGGCTTACTCTGAACCTGTCGTTCGTCGCGTGCTCTTGTTCGTGTCGTGTCAGCGCTGTTTGCAGCCCTTCGATGCCACTTGTGACTGCATTCCAGCGGTCGGTTGTGAACAGCTCTACCCCGGTGGCGGCTGAGCTCGTGAAAATGATACGCAAGAAGAGTGTGGCAAGCTTGTCCGTTTCGCCCGTGTAGAATTTCTTTACAGGATCGCTGACGTCTGTCGCAGCGTGTGCCTGGGACAAACAGTGCCCGGGACTACTCTTGTGAATAGCAAGGAGATCGCGAGGATGCGCTGGTACTTTGCCGGGGTCCGAACCATAGTCTATCAGAACTCGCCACACCGCCAAACTGTAATTATTCTCCTGGCGCAATGCCTGCTTTTCTTAGACCTCGAGTAATAAATCCATCTCGCCGGCCAGCCTCTTCGCTGGTGCCCGTTTTTCCTTCAAAACGGGACCAAGCTGCTCAGGCGAGTTTTCACTATCCTACGTGGACTATGCTGAACCTGAGTGGCGTCCCCCTTGCTTTAATAAAGGGGAAAATATTGTCAAGGGTGGAAGGGGCAAGAGGTCACTCAACCAGGCATAGTGAAAAACTAGCGTTAGAGGTAGGAATGATTTGGAAAGATGGACTTTCGCAAGTAGCCTTAATCTTTTTCTAGCTGTTCCTCGCTGCGTAGATTCTTTTCCGTTACCATGTTCAACCATTCGAAAACTTCCATAACTTCTTGGAGCAGGCTGCAGATTTTTGGTCCCCCTTCATGAAACGTCACGCGCGCGACGAGTTGCAGAATTTGCGCCAGGTGGCGCCACCCCATCAATGAACGTCGGATGAAGGTGGAGGCTGCCCAGGAGAAAACAGTTGACGTTACAACTTTCCACAGTCCGACATGTCTCGCGAACACCCGAGCCTCGTCGGGTGATGACCACTCTCTTCGTGCCCGCATGTCACGAATACTGTCGTCTAATCTACGTCGCGCCTCAGCAACGTGTTCCCTTTGACGTCCGAGCATCGGATTCGGATCTACATCTACATGAGCTGCTTCATGTGGTCGATCGGGACCTCCATCCATGCGTGCGTTTTCTCGGAGCATCGGAGCTGGATGTGCACGAACTGGTTCTTGTCGTCGACCAGGAACTTGCAGGAATGGGCGTGGCATGTGTGTCGCCGCAGGTGCAGCTGGAGGTCCACGACCTCCAAATTCATCTGGAGCCGGTGGCAGATCGTCGGCTATCGGGGAAGCAGGACGAGGTTCCAAACCATCCTCCGCCAGAACAGCAGCAGCAGCAGCGGCGAGATGTGCGGGCTCCACAGCTTCCTTCCCTGCCGGAGCAGCAGCAGCGTCGAGATGTGCGGGTTCCACAGCTTCCTTCCCTGCCGGAGCAGCAGCAGCGTCGAGATGTGCGGGTTCCACAGCTTCCTTCCCTGCCGGAGCAGCAGCAGCGTCGAGATGTGCGGGTTCCACAGCTTCACTCCCTGCCGGAGCTTCATTCACCAAGCCCTCCACCGCTGGACTGGCTGGAGCAGGACCATGGCCTCCCGATGGCGAAGTATCCACCGCCGCCGAAGCAGAAGCAGCGGGGCCTGCGAGTGGAGCAGCTCGATGCAGCTTTTGGGAACCATCCCCCACCTCCGGGGCAGCAGGAGCAACCGGGGGCATCGGTGTCGTGTCATCGCTCGGTTCGGCATCGCCAGTTTCAACTTCATTAGAGTATGCTAGATTGCATCCCGGCCCCCTCGTCTTGGCCCCTTTTACCTTGAAACTTCATGAGAATACAAGGGAAAAGGGTACCGAAATGCCGAGAAAGATGGATAAAAGCTGGCCTTAACTTCAGAATCAGAACTAGTATCAGAGTGGTCTCCTTCATTGTTAAGCCTTCTTTCCCACGCAATGTAAGAATTTACACCGTCCCCGTTGTTCTTCTGTGACTCTACTTTGCTTTTGCCGTGAGGAGCGACATGGGCACGAGGACGATCAGGTTGTGGTTGTGCAAGATATTGCGAATGCTCGTCGTGGTCTCCAGGCGGGATTTTTTCGACATATTCGTGTTCAGTATCATTGCCTGGAAGAGAAAAGAGATTTCCAGATCCGCTACCGCATCGAGACAATGAGAGGGCAATGATGGGCGAAAGAAATTCCAAAAAAACGATTGGCACAAAGATGAATCGAGAGCAGGACCCTCCGGATACGCTTAACATTTTCATTTTGTTGTAGGGATATGTAAGATTGTTATTTTTTCAGAGAAAGACAACAAAGACACGAATAGGTACGAAGAAGCTAATACAAGGCAACTTTGAAGGACCCGCCACGGGTATGAAATGATTTCGGCGTAGTTCTAATGATGAGTGGAAGAACGATCTATCTGAGTGGCGGGGGATAACTGTAGCTTATCTATATAAAAGATAATCCGAATTATATTCCCACTACCACTTGTTGTGCCAAACAGGGGAAAAAGATTAAACTTGTGAAAATCTCCAAGAAAGGACTTTGTGGCATCACTTGTAATATTTGCATTGCTTCCTGTGTGTAGAAATATGATCCTGGAGCCAAAAAAAAAAACTTTCACTTTGCTGGTCTACTTACGATCTCTGGAGCTCGCTGGATATTGTCTTAAAAACGGGCCTTAACAAGGGAAGCCAAAAACCAAAAAAGTCAACGGATGTCAAGAAGCCAAAATAGACCAAAACACTAGCTCAAATAAAAACCAGGGGGCTGCACAGTTTTCAGGGAAGTATCAGAGGCAATCCAATGCTAGGACTTGGGCCAAACGATAGGTCTTAAATTGATCGAGGGCAAAAATAAAGCGATATCGTCGAAGCCACGACGATGATGATGAAGACGATGACGATCGAAAAAATATCAGAAAACTAGGGAGAGTAAGACCAAGGTCTTGATAGTAGTCCTCTTGATATTCATTTTCATAGCAGTCTTGATATAAATAAAAACACTCTTTGCTCTTATATATTTCACTGGTGGAGATGGGAATCGGTTTTGATTGGCGAAGTCAGCAAAAGTATTCAACAAGGGGTAAAACCTATACTCAAGTCATTTGGAATGATCTTGATCCTCTCTCATTTTTATGCCATATCAATAGTAATACTCAAGTCGAAATAGAAAAAGATAGACCCATCTGATTTTCTACAGCAATGACAAGTCAGATAATACTTGTAGATCCACTTACACTAGTCAGATGAATGCCTGTAGATCTTCCTTGAGATTGAGTGCTTGCAGATCTTTCTGTTTACTCTATTATCTCGCAAGACACTTCCTGTAGATCTTTCTGTTTATTATCTCATGCCTGCGTGATTGTAGGTCTTCCTTGAGTCCTTGTGGAAGTGGATCTTTCTGTTTATTATCTCATCTGGATCCTTCCTGAGATCTTTGGTTTTTTGGGCATTTTTTCCTTATGGATCCTTCCACGTTTTTCCATTTAGATCCTTTGTTCCACTGTAGGTCTTTGTCCTAGGTTAAGGTTAAGGTTAAGGTTGAGGGTCCACCGCTTCACGGCCAAGCCGCACCTGCTAGGACAACGTGGGTTCGAGTAGAACCGTGTCAACCGATCTTCCTTCTACACTACGCCTTCTTCTAATACTAGATCCTCTTCCGTCTACACGAGATCATGGCCTTCTCTCTTCTAATGCTAGGTCTGGAGCAAGCATCTTCTTGTTTTTAGATGTCACGGCTATTGCCTCCGAGGGCTTGACCTATCAAATGAGAATGAGTTTGGCCAATTAATACCTCAAGAGCGGACGAACAAACAGCAGCACTCTTTGTGTTTTTCCTACAACAGCCACAGCGAAACGGGAAGAATTTCCAAAAAAAGATAAAGCACTCCTACTCGCCGTCTTTAATACTCAAAAGAAATGATCTTCTTCAAAGCTGCATCTTGAATGCCTTCTGCTTTCAACAAGAAGATGGTCTTTCAACAAGCCGACACTTTCTGTGACTTCATCTAGTTGAGATGGAAGCGCGATCCTCATCCTAGACGCGCCTTCTCCTCGACAAAAAAAAACTGTCTTGTTGGCGCAACAAGGCTCTCACCACCACGAAAGATGCACGGGCGTGGTGAACATGTCGTTGTGTGTTTCTTTGTCTAAAAATCTGGCGAATCCTTCTCCGAAGAAATAACTCGATGGCAAAAGCTGTAACTGAATCACAACTAATATGGCGAGACAGAGCTCATGAATTTACTAAAAAGCGTTTTACTCCCGAACGTATGATGACGAGATGAAGTATTCAATAGCAATGGTAAGCGTTTTCTCTTCGCAAATAGCAGATAATTCGTGCAATGCCAATGCGTCGGAGTATAATCAGGCGATTTTGTTCCAACGTCAAAACTTCAAAGACATGTATTATCTACCACTGGAAGATCCGTCCTCGTGTGGATTTTATAGATATGTCAGCATGCAGCTTCTTGGTGTAAGCAACTAGATTCACAGAGCTCCTGTGGGTAGATTTGTATTGGTGAAATTGAATAGACGCTTGTTTTTACGGGTGGACGTGAGCGTTCCTCGTAGTCGTAGAGAAAGTGATGGTCATCGCGCAAACGAACCTCATGATTATTCTATTAGGAACTTTATCTTTTTTTCACCTCCTCGTGGATGTGTTTACGTATTAGTTCTGCATTCATGAAGACAGTATCTTCTTCGCTGTCAAGTTCATCATGGTGTCAGGCATCCAGTGCCCGCATTCTCCTGCCTGCGCGAACGATGTCTAAGGAGCTCCTTGCAAAAAGAAACCAGCCCATATCTGCTGCATTCGTAACATTGTGCTGATGTAAGATTTTCTCGTATTAGACTGGTAGCGCAATTTTTTGGGTTGTAGGTAATCAAGTTTCAATGATGGAGAATTCAAGAATTTGAAATTGGATAAACGAATCTTCAACAACATACTCATAGGATAATACGTGGAACACAGAGAGGAGAGACAAGGACAGCTCTGGTCTTTCAACCATTTTTTTACTCTTCGAAATGGCAACGAAGAAGCAAGAATACATGACCCAGAAGTACTCCTACTGCTACTGCTAGTTGCGGCAATGTCTACTCACTTACTCACATAAGATAATTAGAAGATGGGCTTGAACCAACAAGCAGGATACCCTTTTATCACAAAGTACTCCAAATCAAAAATTAGGTTTAGGCAAGCGAGAAGATCAAAATTATAAGCAAGAGCCTTAATCTAGTGAGCAACGAAGCGGGAGATCCAAACCCCAGGATGGCTGCCCTACGTCCACGGCCCCAGTCTGGGAAGGTACCTGCTTCATATTTGCGAATCAGACATATAAGGCTTCCCTGCTGAATACAAACTACACCAGAACTAAAGATGTGTAGTGAAAAATCTACGAGAGAGTACAACAATACGTAGAAAATCTTGAATCATGATTCATTCATGGAGTCAATTTCTAATTACCTCAAACATTACCATCTATCCTAGACTAACCTTAAAGCACAAGCAACAACATCAGTGTTTTGTTTTTCAGGAAGCACCACCACCAGGAACCACAGCATCTATGTAAGTATATTTACACTAGGAGTTAGTCTTAGTACGGCGCTCGGAGCAGGCATTGTGGCTACCCAGTCGAGCGATCCTGACCGCGAAAAGTCCGTCTCTCGATCATCCACGTGAAAATGATTGCCGCTCTCTGTAGAAAATTAGATGTGCGCTGCAGCACAATGGAGGTGATTTCTCCTCAGCTAATGGGCGCAAAAAATATCAACCTTCGTTGTACAAATACAACTAAGCATAGCTAGTAAACATCATGTCTCATCATCTATCGGAGGAGGTACTAAAACTGTTGTTAGTTCTTGTACTTACATCTACATCGAGTCACATACTAGATAATGTAAATACACGCAAGAAGTATTGAAGAACTACTTGTACTTACATCTACATCGAGTCATAGTCATATACTAAATAATGTAAATTATTAAATACACGCAAGAAATATTGAAGAACTACTGCTTCTAGTAATGAAAAATCGCGGACCACATGGACATGATTTTCATCGAAGAACAAACACGAAAATAAACCTACAGTACGACGACTACTGACGAAGAAGTCTAAAGCATAAAAGAAATGCTGCTGACTGAAGTCCTGGTCGGGCCACGTATCCTCCAACACAGCGCGCAAGTGGCGCAAGGTTAGCTGATTGTCCGACTCTGGCAGCTGGCTGAAGATGTACGGGTTATACGGCATTGGTCGGTTTTGAGATTCCGTGTGTTCCTGTGGCGCACTCGCTTCTTCCGATGTTGTATGCAAATCAGCGTCATCCGATGGATAATTTACAACTGGCGGAAACGAACCTGGAGCCGCTAGTGTTAGAGCTCCCGCGTCGCATCCCTGAGCCCAACCCTGTGCGCTTTTCTCCGTTGAAAAAGAGGCCAGGGATCGATGGTGCTGAGGATGCTGTAGTAGCGGTTGCCCTAACATTGATGGCATCGTTGTACCGCAGTTCTTGTTGGGTGTTGTTGAGACACGATGATCTGCAGATCCAGATGCACCATCGACTGGTTCCGCAAGGTCATACTGATCGCGATGCGCGGAGATTCGCATTGGCTCTGGCCTCTGGTTTTCCAATTTGGGTAAAAATCCATGAAAGTGTTCCATTCCGAACGGCGGAGCATGGAGGTCCCCGACATCGCTCTTCACGACGACGTCGCACCAGACGTGCACATGCATCATGACGGCGAACAGGACGTCACCATAGCGGTCTCCGTAGACCCGCAGCATGTCGTCTTGCGCAATCAGGTCGCGAGTGCTTTCACGATAGCCACTCAACGTTAGAGCTGTCTTCACGGCGACATCATCTCTTTCTCTGATAGATACATCCTTGCAGGGAGGTTGCTTTTCTTCAAGTAAAAAAACAGCCAGGAATGCACGGCTGAGAATGCACGGCTGAGGCCTATCTCCTGGTGATGTTCTTGTTGACACAGCATTGGAAGATGGCCTCACAAGTACTAGACAGTAGTGTAGTAAGAACATATTAAGAGGGACTATGACATGACAACATTTACTAAAAATTCGTAGTTGCCAGCCTTAAGAATGGCCTGTTTCCAGCACTACTCTGGCTGCACGATTGCTCCGCCAAGTGAGCGAGATCTTTTTGCAGTCCTCGGAAACGGAGGAGAAAATGGGACAATTGCCTACGATATCGCAATATATCTTTCGTGTAGACGACATTGCTGCCGACTTTACGCGGATATCGAAACTCTCCGTCGGAGGGCTGATAATCCAGTGTTAGAAGAGTCTTCTAGAACCGCGGTACTTTCACGAATGAATGTTCTTAGACTTAGCTTTTTCAGAATTCAGATGAAAGCTGATGTATTAGGTAAAGTTCGCCAGTAAAAAAACCATCCTTCATCATAACCACAACGGATCGGTGTCACTTCCTGGTGACCTCAACTCAACCAGTAAGGAATCTTGCTTCTGCAATGCCACCTCAAGAATCTGCTTTAGAACGTAGCCAATCGCCGACACTTTCGGCAGCGACATTTTTCCATTGGCACTTCGAACAAAACTGTATATGACAGAGACACGAGGTCGTCAAAACATGAAGTAGAACTATATTTATAATAAAAACGCAGTCGCGTATTTCGCTGTTATGTATCGATAGTAGATGTGAAACTGAATCTGAAATGCAAGCAGATAAAGATCATCATCACGTTGTTGGCGTCTCAAGTAAGTCTCCTGAACTAATATCGGCTAACACTTATGAACGCACCACTGACACGGTGGACGAGGTCCAGAAGCAGTACCTCCTGTATCTAGATACTAGCAGAGTGTTGAGTACCTGTTGCAGTCGTAGAGCATGAATCCCAGCGGAAAATGCTTTCTCCCCGCGCCGCCGTTGCCGAAGAAAAGTTCGTATAGCATCTTCAAATAATGACTGCTTCGTGGGTACCTGGAATTGGCATAGGACAAAGCTGTTGCATTTTGCAAAATTGCCATAAAAGCGGTGAGTACAATAATTGTGAAAGGACTAGATTTCTGACTGATTGAGGGCAAGGCGGAGCCTTGCTAGTAGTATCAGAGCTAATACCACGAGGCCAAGAGCTAACACAATAAACCGTGCAGACTGCCAAAAAGATGAGAAGTGGAGCAAGATGCATTGTAAATGTAGAACTTGGTTACGTGATGCATTGTAAATGTAGAACTTGGTTTTTATGTAACAGAAGCGTAAACACAGGTTGGGCAAAACGTTGCCGTAGAACTTATTAACAAGTAGTTGACATACCGATTTATTTGAAAATTGGCGATACTCTCAGCCTATGTATGAGACGCCAGCAGCTACCTCTGCGCAATGCCTTGAAGTGTAGAGCTGAGAATTAGCCAGGCATATGGATTTTGAAAATTTGCGATACTCTCACCTTCTGCATAAGACGTCAACTTTCTCTGTACAATGCCAGAAAGTGCAGAGCTGAGAATTAGCCAGGCATACCGATTTTGAAAATTTGCCATACTCTCAGCCTCTGTATGAGACGACAACTTTCTCTGTGAAATGCCTCAAAGGGCATTGCACAGAGAGAGCTGAGAATTAGCCAGGCATACCGATTTTGAAAATTTGCGATACTCTCAGCCTCTGTATGAGACGTCAACTTTCTCTGTACAATGCCAGAAAGTGCAGAGCTGAGAATTAGCCAGGCATACCGATTTTGAAAATTTGCCATACTCTCAGCCTCTGTATGAGACGACAACTTTCTCTGTGAAATGCCTCAAAGGGCATTGCACAGAGAGAGCTGAGAATTAGCCAGGCATACAGATTTTGAAAATTTGCGACACGCTCAGCCTATCTATGAGACGTCGGCTTTCTCTGTGCAATGCCTGAAAATGTAAAGCTGAGAACTAGCCAGGCAAAGCGATTTTGAAAATTTGTGATACTCTCAACCTGTGTATGAGCCTCCAACTTTCTCTGTGCAATGCGTTAACGTGTAGAGGTGAGAATTAGCCAGGCATGCCGATTTTGAAAATTTGAGATACTCTCAGCTTACGTATGAGACTTCGACTTTCTCTGCGCAATGCCTTCAAGTGTAGAGCTGAGAATTACAATTAGCCAGGCATACCGATCTTGAAAATTTGCGGTTCTATCGTCTGATTAATGCCCTCAAATGTAGAGCTGAGAATTGCCCAGGACCTTCGAGAAATAAACCACGACTATAGAAGTACTATTGCTCAATTCAGTACCATGCTGGTTCGTGTGCCAAGCCTAGACAGGACTCGCCGCGTTGGAGCATCCAAGACGTGTCTCCTGTCTATAATTAGAGCACGAGCGCACAATACTGCATCGTCCGCTAGTATAGGTACTTTCTGAAGCATCCTAGAATGAAACGAAGTCAAGAATGAAACGAAGAGAGGTTTTACATTGTACTACGAGGGTGAAGCAAGCTAGTACTACCTACTAGAAAGCTAGTACTACAAAAGTAGCCTGTGGAGACGAATTCTCAAGTGCCTTAATCTACGGGGTGTCCTGCGGTCGAGTGGCCTTTTAGGAGGCGTGCAAACTGGAACATAGCTTCCACCTGCTCTTCGCCGCTCATAGCCAGGAAGAGGGCACGTCGGTTATCCCGCTTTTCTTGGAAACGACGGCAAAGCAAGTCGGGAGGCGAAAAATGAAAGAGAAATAAGAAAATGATCAGTACACGAGCGAGCTGGGGTTACAACTACCTATGGCTATGGATAGTCTTTTGATATTGAAAAAGAATTTCATTTGTAACGTTATTAATCTACTAGAGGTCGCTCAGGCTCGCGCTTCATAAATAGCCAACGGGTAAAGCTTCGCGTCGAAGGCCATGAGTAGCATTCCACGTACTTGTTCTCGAAAAAAGTCGACAAGTCGACCTAGCGTCCATGCTTCTGGTGTCAGGCGAGTAGGAACGGGCAGAGGCTCCCGGGGTTTCGAGATTTTCTGGATGCGGTCCTTTTCCCAGGAGAAGAGACTCGCAAGTACTGTCCCTTGGCCGTTCTTCTTCTTCTCATCGCCGCCAATGGACCATTCCTCTGCGACATGTAAAAATATTGGCCTGGTGGTGGTAGTAGTTGTAGTAAATATTCCCAGATGTTTTAGTAGAATAAGAAGGATCATGAAGAAATTGTTCAGATGAATATCGTAGGCGCTTTCATCAGATAGTTACTAATTCCTTCCTTGAGTAGAAGTTCAACGATTTCCTTTCGTTTTTGTAGAGTAAAATATATAGACTAAAAGTTGTAAACCCATAAAAGTTTTTGTAGAATAAAAATATATGAATATGAATGATCTAATTGATAGTTAGGACGACGACAAGAAAAAAGCGAAAGAGATGGACTTTAAGGATGTTAAAGTGTAGATGTAATTGTATGTAAGTAGTTAGAGCTGAAAAAGATAGGTTTGCAGTTGGTGTACTTCAAAAAGGCCACGAGCTCCATCAACGTTTGGTGTTGCGCTTGCACTGGAGGCGAGCGACGGGACCACAGAAAAGCTTAGCGAGAATCATAATCCAACATGATCCATCAAATGTAGCGTAGGTCTCAAGCATTTCATTTCTATTACAACTGATGCATTCTCATTCTAATTCTATGTATTGGGAGTACTTCTACTTACTTATCTCGTACGCGCTACTTAAAAAGGTGGATAGAACATGCATAAGCAATTCTACAGGCCGTAATATAGGATAGTGAGGATGAATTCTATGAGAGTTACAGGTGGTTCAAAGCCTTAAAAACGACTGCCGGTGTCACCTTCAATTTGATCGAATACCCACTGCAAGGTCGCCCTCTGCGCGGCATTGGGTGCTGCAAGTGCTCGCTTACGGAGTCGTAACTTTTCACAGCCTTTTGTCAGCTCCTGCAGACACAGCAAAGGTGGCAAACACGACTCTTCACTTTCCGACTTCGTGTAATCCTGTCCCTTCTCTACGATTGCTTTCATTTGCCCAGCTCCAGTTCCAGAGGTCTTCACAAATTAGAGACTATTGCCCATATTTACGGGTGTTTTTTATAGAGATTAGCATTAGAGACTATCTCGCCGACGTGAAGATGGCTACATCACAGTGTTCGCACGCGAGGAGGGTTGAATACTTGTTACCCAAGGACTACTTATTTGAAGGTCCTTTAGCTTGTGATTAGTTCGACGAAAGGTAATGGTAAGACCAATAATGATGATGAGTGGACTAGATTGTAGGTTGTGGCACTTGACAAGTTTAGATTTAGAACAATAAGTTGTAGACCTAATCGTAATCGCCATTGATCTTGATCTAAGAATCGCCATTGATGTTGTTGTAAACCTAATCGTAATCCTTATCCTTATCGCCATTGATGTTGATCTAAGAAGCTACATGTTGTCTTAAAAGTTGGACTGTTCGTCCACAAGGCATCGGGAAGAGGTCTCGGAGCCAGTGCCGTTTCGCTGGTTATTGATGTTGCTCACTTTTAGCGGTAGGCTTTTGGTGTTCGTTCACCCCGTTCGTTATGCCTTTTCCCTTCAGGAGAAAGGCAAAACGAACGGTGACAGAAACACCTTTGACCTACCCTTAAAACTTGATGTAGTTGCTTCCTCGCATACTGTTCGACTTCATTCATTGTCGCAGTCATGCCATCTGAGAACAATGCCGAAGCGAACGGGCTCAAGTGTCGACGAAAAAAGAGCTGCCATTGACGAGTTTTGGCATGGACAGCCTCAATTTCCGCTTCGTCTTCATCGCTGTAAAAACTGTTTATTATGGCATTATACAAAATAAATTAATCAAACAAGAATTAACCAACTTAAACACCTAACTAACACTACATAAAGAGAAGCTATAAGGTAGCGAACCTGGCATTATATTATTGATATAATGCTTGCTGCCGCCCTGTCCACGTGATTGTCGTGAAGGGCATCACCATGTATTCATGGCGCGAAGACAAGCAGTAATGCTGCTGTCACCTGCGCCCCGCAGGGCAATGAATGCAGGCGCCACAAGTGTGGCCACGTCTCCGCAAGATGCAGAACACGACAAGCAAAGATCACTTTTGTCAACGAGCCCGTTAACGGTGATCGTGGCGAAATGCAGCAAGGCGAGGCTACTTCCTCGACTGAATGAACAATGTTCATGTGAGTGGAGTGGAATGGCAAAATAAATATGGAAAGTTGCAAAATGGATCGATTTAAAGATTTATGTGTGGAATTGCAAATTGTTTTCGTCGTGTGGAGCTATGAGATCGTCCAATTGAATGTCATCGGAAATTCCGAAGCTAGTGGGATTGCGCAATTTCAACGCATCGAACATGACTAGTAACGCAGCCTCGTCGAGCTCCAAAATCTCGTCAAAGAAGCAGGGATACTTCGCAATGATGTAGTCGAAAAACACCGGCCTAGTTGGCACGTCAGCAATATTAACACCCGTAGGCACGCGGTCGGCCCAAGGCGTAATGTCGAGCTGGGCAGCCAGCGACCAGAAGAAAAGAGCGGCGCGAGACATGTCCCCCGACGGGGAAGACATGTTGAGAAGCGCCCATTTAGCCGATTCATTATCGACAGAAATACGAATAAACCTGCCCTGCAGGTCATGGCGGAAGAAGAAGATGGCCACAATTGTGGCAATTGTTTCTAGGAAGTTGATCGGCGCCTTGCGAGAAGACGCAATGATGTTCTTGTGTCTGACGCGAATGCGGAATACTTTTATGCGGCCGTCAAGCACTAACACGCCGGAAAGCCAACCCACCTTGTGGGAGTAGGATGCATCAGTGTACAACATGATGTTGGCCGAAGAAGGAGGCTCCCATTTGGTTCTTTTCCTGAGATCCTTATCGAGGATCCGAATGATGTTCTCGAAGCAGCACCTGAGCTTGTCGGAAAAAGGAGAACCAGGATTATTGACAAATTGCGTAAGCGGCCGCAAAAGCGGATTAAACTGCCTGTCGATGACAGCAGAAAGGCAGAACATGAGCTTGCCCAACACAACCTCCGCATCATCGTGGGATATTGCGGATTTCTCCAAGGCAGACCGCAAGATAGCTTGAATAGACTGCCGTCGTGCCAGCGACACGAAAAATTCTGGCACCTCAGCAGCGAGATCGAAGATGAGTCCTAACACCTCTAGACACTCGCCGAGGCGAGCCTTGTCACCATGCACCGGAAAACCTAACCGCATGATAATATGCAGAGCGACACGTCGCACAGCCTCACCAACGGCCTTTGGCACAGGGGCCGGAAAATCGTCAACGTAGACGGAGACGCAAATTCCCAGAAAAAAACGCAGGATGCTCTTGATGGCCGCAGATACTCTGCACCAGGATTTGACAGAATGTACATTTCCAAATATTAAAACGAGTGATTGAAAAAACATGTACACGGACCCATTAAATGCACAAAACCTGTTATAGCGACGGTGATCAACCCGCACCCCTATCGTGTTGTAGGCTTTATGGATGTCGATGCACAGCATGACAATCATGATGATCAAGCTGTAGTCCACCCGGAACCGCTTGCTATTGTCATCGTTCGCGTGGGAAGCTCTACTAGAGTCGTGGTATTGGGAAGGAGTCTTCAAAAGGTGGTCCGGGATGGGGGTGCCATCATCCAAAAAGCGCTGAAATGCCGCTTCGTACTGGAGTTCCAGGTTGCGACCACGTTTAAGAGCTCGACGAGACAAGGAAACAACGTTGTGATCTCGTAATATCGGATGTTTTAGCGCCGTGGCAGTGGCCAGAATGTCACTAGCGGACGCCATTGGCACACTGCGCTCCAAGTCGCTGCGTTCATTACACGCACAAGCAGGATCGATCATCCTGGTTTTGCTGCGCTGGACAACAGCGTAGCGCCTAAACACGTAGGACCATCTCTGCAAAATGGCTTCATCGTAGGAGATGGGAGGCAAACATCTCGCGTGACCCAGAAGCGGCTCAGTAACCGTCTCGGCCATGGATTGACGCCAAATTTCGTCAATGGATTCTGGCGACCAGTCGGCAGGGGGACGAGCAGGAGGGGCGTATTTATGGATGTTATTGGGAAGAGGAAGTGATGACATCTTGGGTCTCCGCTTCACATGCTTCGGCCAACAAGTCGGGGTGCCACACGCACCAATGCACGACCCACCAATGGTGAGTTCTTGAAACGCGTCCAAATCATCGTGGCCGGCAAGATCAGACGCTTGCTTAAAAAACCCAATGTTGTATCGATGATGTATTTTTAGTAGTTCAGGGTCCATGCTGTTTTTGAGGAGCTCGTCCTCCTGCAGTGCAGCGGAAGCCACTTGGTCGACTTCGGCTGTAACAGCAGCCTCACTAAACGCCTTGAAGGCATTAAGCCTTCCCACGTCCTCGTCAGGGGGAGAGAATGGGGATTTTTTGCGAACGTCGAACGCAATGCGTTGACGCATCGCTTCGAACTTGGAGTCGTATTCATTGGATTTAGCAGAAGATATATTCATTTTCGTAAACAACACAGAACTAGAAGCTAATCAGTGAAGAGACGGGAGAGCAAACAATAGCAAAATAGTCAATGGCATAACATGGGAGATATAATTTGTCTATTGACATTCGTTCACAGTTCTTTCCATTTTCACACCACTCCAGTGCGGGCAGCGGGAACTCGCGCAGACTCCTATTAAGAGTGCTGAACGGCCTTTGCCTGTAGCTGCTTGGACGGATGCAATTTTTTCAAACTTGCAACATTCTGATGACGGCCGTGTCGTATGAGGCGCACTCGCGGGTGCGAAAAAAATCGAATCTTGTGGGCAAACTTCGATCAGTTGAGAAAAGGATCGACGTGTTGCCATGAGTTTGATTCTAGGTATGGAAATTGTAGCAAAATATGAGGAGATAGCAAGTAACATGGGTGATAAACGCAAAATATGAGGTTAAGCAAAAGTGAGTAGGTGAATTAAGAAGATACTAAAAAAACATAATGGATGAAACGCAAGATAGTGATGGCTACACAGAGATATTAAACCGCACCAGAGGGAAACGTAATTATACTGAAAATAACAACAGAAATACTTATGAAAAAGTGAGGAAAGGAAATGATTGATTAACTGCACTACTAGCGAAACTGTGGCACCAGAAATAACATAGAAAGAATGAGTAAGAAGAGTGTATTCGTGGAGAAGAAACAAAATAAATAAATGGATTGAGAGAGCCAAATGAAGAAATTGAGAGAGTAAAGAGAATTTACTGAACAACTGGAGTAGTGATTATATTCAATGATGAAGGGTAAAGAAAGAAAGACGAACCTGTAGTTCGGCTCTATTGTGAGCAAACTAAAGCCACTCCTCTAGCGGCGAGGAGAACGAGACTTGGAGGAGCTACTGCTCTCCTTATCGTCATCGTCCTCCTTTTTGTCCTTCTTGGACTTTTTCTTCTTGTCCTTGCTCTTGCACCAGGACTCGAATTCCACATCGGCGAGCGCCTTCTTCGCCACGGAGAAACGGCGGATCTTGTCGTAATCTCCCTTACTTAGTTCTCCCTGGCGAGGGTGTAGTCCTCGCTGACAGTAGACACGACCACTTTTATTAAAAGTGTCGTTCCTGCACGGCGTCCCCTTGCAGTAGTGCCAGCACACCTTGGGGGCGCGACTATTGTTGTCATCATCATCTTTGTTGTCCTTCTTGTTCTTCTTCCCTCCACCGTTATTACTAGGTACTGGGATGCACGAAGAGATAATTTCAATGTTGTTCATGATGGTGTTATGGGTATGCTCGATAGTAGTCATGTTACGGATGAAGTCGGTCTCGAAGGTGCCGATGATGAAACCGGCAAGCCTATTCTGATAGGTCGTCTGACCGCCACCATTGGGCAAAGCACGATCCGGCGCATGCATCTCCGCATTTCGGAAGGAGTCCCACCAAGCCTTCCGCACAGTCTTCTCCCATTCATCGCGATTCTCCTCATATTTCTCTGGAACATCGCGAATCTTCTCGGATAGAAGATTCATGGCCCTCGTGACCTGATGTTCCGTGAGACAGCGGGCCTCGCGCCCTGCCACCGAAAGGTAGTAGAGCATGGATTCGATGGACAGTTCCACCTTGTCACCTTTGTAGTTCTTGACCTTAGAACCACGGAGAGTTTCCACGTTGCGGTGGCGAATAGCGTCATTGATGCGACGAAAATCCTTTACCTCAGGGAGACGATGGATACGCGGCACGTTGGCGATTGCGTTGCGATGATTGGCAATTTCGACCTGTTGGATGGCGTCAGCCAAAGGCTGCTGCAAGTTGGCTGCGTCGGCCATTGTGTTGCGGATTGTCTTGGTAAGACAAGTGGAAGGAGTCAGAAACAATTGGTGAAGAGCTTAAGGAACTAAAATGGAATTAAAAGAAGCAGTAGATAAAGGATTAATGAGGCAAGCGGAGTGCAAATAATAAGAGTAAACAAAAAAGAGTAGGTAATGATGTATCGGCGTTTAGATTTACCATGGCACCATCAGTCCTTACTTCAAGCAAGGACAAATAGATTCACAATTTTGTGGTTTGTGAAGCTGTTTTCAGAGGCTATTTTTGCACTCAGATAACTGCTCACTCACACTCAGTGCTCGGCGGGATTGTGTTCTTGGCAACCAACATCGCGAATCCGCAGGCCCACCCGGCAAGAGACTTGTACTGCAAGTCGTGGCTCTCGTAAGGGAGAACGTGTAATCATGGTTATGAGCAAAATTATTTTTTCAACAAATGATGAAGAAGTAAGTTCATTAAAGCGGGATGAAACACAAACCCTTGAAGCGACAATCATTGTACATGTTGCCACGATTGTAATAGGTAACCATGTTGTCCTTCATCCAGCGAAGATGGGACGCAATCCTCGTGTCGGGTAGGTTGCATCCCATCAGATGTTGCAAACAACCCACCCTAGTCATGTGGGTTTTCCTCAGCTGGAAATGCAACTCCAAATTATCCAGATAATCTGCCTTCCATGAACCATCCCTGGCTAACAGCGGAATGGTTTTGTGCGGGCATAATTTCCTCAAAGTGCGATCTTTCTCTAGGCAGAGGCACCGTACAAAAATTCGTTTTTGGAAGTTGGATTTGAGGATGTAGGGGGATAAGTCAAGCATGAAGTTTTTACTACGTGAGTTGTATTTGAAATCACCAGAAAAATCAGTATAGATGTTCTTGTTAGAAGGGACAAATTCAGATGTGGGAGGTGCGAGTTCTGGAGGGTCCGCTGCGTCGCAAATAGCGTCGTTATCATCGGATAGACCATCGCAATCGGGATGAAAATCGTCGGCCGGACCACCAAATTTGGTAAGAACCAAAAGCGTAGTACGCCTGACCCCAAAGAAAAAAGCAACACTGAGTGCTGCAGCAAAGACGTAGTCGTATTGAACCATGTCAACCGCCTCCTCCAGAAGCAGACCTGGCGCGGGTTCGTGCGCAAACTTTCCCTGACGGCGCAATCTGGTGACACAGCTGCGAATTTCGGCGGAATCAGCATCCGAGATAGATGATCCGCCCTCAATACATCTGAGCCTGCCTAAGACGCTGAAGAGATAGTCGTCGGCAGAGGAATAAATGGACTTCTCCTGATCCCCTACGAGAGCCGTAAGGAATTTTAGCGCCTTGGTACGCGTGATCGGGATGGCATCCTTGCAGCTGTCGTCATGCACAGCAAGGGTAGCCATAATCTGGAAATAACGCTTGATGCGGATGTCCTCAACCTGATGGCCTCCACGTTTAGTCACAGCTTCGAAGGCTTTTTTGAAACGTGGAGGATTGGCCACCAGATTCAGTGACGCATTGATGTTTTTGTTCTCCCTCGTGAACTCGTAAGCTTCTAGCCGAAGCTCATCGAGTGATTTACTGCTGTCGTAATGCCGTTTTGCGATGTATTGGTCTGCAGCCGGGTTGTTGCAAGTTGTCGCACTGGATGAAGAAGAAGAAGAATCCGACGATTTTTTGGCAGACGCTTTTTTGTCCAGCTTAGCTTTCTTCCTCTTCAGGATTACCAGTTGGCGAAGGTCGATGTGACCTTCTTCGTATAGCTTCGTCGGGGACAAGTCCGACGGTGGATTTTGAGTATTGTTACTCATTGCATGATGGTATTGAGATAAACTAGTGTGCAGTTCACGGAAATGATGATTGACTAGTGAATGAAAGTGTAGGAATTATGAAACAAAGGAATTAGAATAAGCAGAAAGAAGGGACGGGAGCGCTCATATTTTGAGCGGCGGATTCGCTTGAAGGGTGGGGAAAAGATATTGTCTTTCCACGCACACCTATTCTTGGTGTGCACCGTTCCTCTTGCCCTATCTCTCACGCTCATTCACTCACACTCGCACGAGATAGAAGCCAATTTTTTCACAAACAGAAGCGTAAGAGGAACGACTACAAATTTCGATTTTGCTCCATTGATAATAAATCTTGCTGACGCTCCGCTTCGCTTGTGATTTATTATGGCATTATACAAAATAAATTAATCAAACAAGAATTAACCAACTTAAACACCTAACTAACACTACATAAAGAGAAGCTATAAGGTAGCGAACCTGGCATTATATTATTGATATAATGCTTGCTGCCGCCCTGTCCACGTGATTGTCGTGAAGGGCATCACCATGTATTCATGGCGCGAAGACAAGCAGTAATGCTGCTGTCACCTGCGCCCCGCAGGGCAATGAATGCAGGCGCCACAAGTGTGGCCACGTCTCTTTCCGCAACAGGGAGAGCCTAGTGGAGGCCGACTCGCTGAAAGGAATTTTGGAGACAACGGATTCAAAATAGAAGCGCAAGACGACGTGGCCACCAGGGAGGCCGCAACGCGGGCGCGGAGTGATAGCTCAGAAAAGGGAGGTGTCGCTACGCACCTGAAACAGAAAAGATATTGTCTTTCCACGCACACCTATTCTTGGTGTGCACCGTTCCTCTTGCCCTATCTCTCACGCTCATTCACTCACACTCGCACGAGATAGAAGCCAATTTTTTCACAAACAGAAGCGTAAGAGGAACGACTACAAATTTCGATTTTGCTCCATTGATAATAAATCTTGCTGACGCTCCGCTTCGCTTGTGATTTTTCTTCTTCTTGTCAGCAGAAAATGAAAGGAGTTGTGGAGATCGAGATTAATATAAATTTTGCGGACATTCCAAGGGTTAGAAGCCGATTGACACATTTTGCGACCTTTGCTAACATTCAAATGTCGTCAAAGATCCGAGAACATCAAGATGAGCAAATTCTTGCGGACACGTTATCACGTGGGTCAAGAACTCGACTTGTATCAGCACATGGTCCACTGTATAATCAAAGTGCTGATAGTGAAGATTCATCTCAAAAAACTACAACTATATTAACCAAGAAGTAGAGGTACAAGTACAACTACAAGATAATTTCAACTTCTAAAAAGTCTCACAGCACATCGGTATTTTAGAATCTGTGACATAACTCTTTAATCCAGTCTCTAGTCTGTCCAGCGAGTGCCGCAGCGCTCGTCGGCATGTGCTCCGTCTTCGCTCCGCCCATCTTGTAGATGCGGTTGCGGTGGTCTCTAGCTAAGCGAATAGACCACGGGCTGGAACTGTCCTGGTTGTTGTAGAAAAAGTTCTCTACGTAGTATGGTTCGTCTTCGTCTCGAACTACGTAGTATCGTTCTACTTGTTGTAGGTCTTTATGCAGCTTTGACCACGACGTTGAATTCGCGATCGCGTGTGGTATTAGACCTTACAGATATTCATTTTGGAAGTCATCTTTTACGTTTTTCCGCCTTAAAAGAAAAGGGACTAAAGATGCTTCTCAAGATGAATTACGGTAAGCCTTAATGGTCCTTCTATGGGGTCGGAATACGGATGTACAAGTAGAGGGCAGGAATTTGGGTGTTTTTGTTCTGGTCGTCGAGGGCCTATTCCTGCCAGAGCAAGACGGGCGTTGGATAGCTCCTTTTCGTCGTGCTGCTTCCTCGATCTTTCCTTTTCGTCGTCTTTTTTCCTCAATCTTAGTCGAAGTAAGAGCTCATCATAAAAACTACTCATACTCTTAGCCGCGTCCAGACATAGTCCTCTCAGTCTCGGAATCGAAGGACTCAGAATCGAAGTAGGAACTCCGCAAGTTCATCAGAGCCTTAACAATTTGTCGCCAATCGTTCTTGATCGCCAATGCTGGTCTAGGTCGTGGCAAATTTTTTTCCACTTGCTGGAGCAACTCAGAAGCGCTATATTTTTTGTGAAATAAAGCTCTCGTAGCTTCGTGGCCCGTGAAACAACGTTGTCTGACGACACGTCTTCGAGCACTCAGGACGTCAACAGAAAATGGTCTTGATTCTTGTAGTTGTCGTCAACAGGATTATATCTTCAAGCAAATAAAAGTTATCGTCTAGAGGGTCATGTAATCCACTACACCTTTTTAAGGGTAACAGATCCAACGGATTGTGCGATGTGCTTATTCGAGAGTTTGAGTTCCTGGATGAAGCATATTACCAAGCATCAAATAGAACATAGAACAACCAATACATCAAGAATAATGTTTTCAAAAGTAGATGTAGTAATGCGGCTGCGAGGACTATCTTCTTTAGACGATGAAGACGAATTACATTTACATCCACTTCTGTGATGATGTAATAATAATAAAGCATCAATGAATCATTGATGATAAGCTTAAGCTAGTTATAGATACAACATAGATGCAGGGCATTCTAACGCAATGTTGCTGGTGCTGCTGCGCGTTCGCTAAAAATGGTTGTAAGTACTTCCATTATTTCCAGCAGACGGAATTGATCATCTTGAGACAGCTTTGTGATCCGTGCTAACAACACTGCGCTGCATGTGGGCATTTCGCTGCATGCAACAAGAGATGAAATAAGACCCACGAGGACAGTGAATCAGGCACCAAGTAGGCAGTGCCCGACAATGCTGTGATCCTCAATGAAGACCGTGACACTAGTAATGGAGTATGAATTAGATTGTAGGTTAGACCGTGACACTAGTAGTTCATGCCTCAAAACGATCTCAATATATCTACATGACTAAAAGGACGAGCCTTGCCCCTGGTGCGAACACCACATCGCCTGCTGCGTGAAGATATGAACACTAACAGAATAATCATCTGGAGGTGGAGGAACTGTACAGACGATTCTGCACCTTATGCTCGCATGCCGCTTCTGTTTCTTTACCTCGTCTATGTGACACAGACTCCAACACAACGAGGTGGAGGTGTAAGCAACTTCTGAAGATATCGATAACTGTCAGATATCTGAACTAGTTAAGTATGAGCCAATGGAGCTGGCAGGTCGCTTTTGTGCGAAAGCGTCCGGATTATCTGTGCACACAATTCGATGTTGTCTGTGCAAGAAGTGCAAAGAAATAGGTACCACTCGACGTCTTGCAAGAACAAAAAGAAACTGAAAAACTTCTGTGCGCATGTATTAGATGCAGAACTTCGCGAAAGCAACGCCGACGCACTGAGAGATGGAACTACGAAACTTGTTCCGCAGCAACATGAGTGTGACTACTTCATGCATCCAGATAGATCGTAGATAGATAGAAGATGGACTACTTTCCTTGTAGTTCATGAGGTCGAGTTGTAGTTCAAGAGGAGCGGCAACAATCATTTTACTTGGAAACACGGTCTGTTGTTACTCGGAAAATTGAAATCTTCAAGGCATGTGAAAGCGCAAGCCAAAGCGTAGGCGGAAAATATAACAACAACAAATCATGAATTTGTCTCGGATCATGCCTTGTAGTTCTCTCAAAGTCGTGCCGTCTTATGTGGCAACGCAGGCCCTGCTGATTTTAGCCTGATCAACAGCTCCTGGCACAAAGAAGCAACGAGCGCCCGCGTCCGATAGCAGTACACGTTTCCACGCACAATCGCGCGACTGTTGTTCATGCAGTAGCAAGTGCAATCGAAAACAAGCCACTCATCCGCACGCCATGGCAAGGCTGCTCCGTCTGTGTGTTATTTATGATTCGGAAAAGTACTAGGATAGTGGAAGTAGACCGTCAAGTTGTGAGAACAGTAACTCCATGAGATTGAATAACAGATATCTGATTCATTGCATAAGCATGCAGTTAGTATTCATAGATAAGAATAACACCTTCTTCCGCATGTACGTGGAACCAGAGTGCGTGATCCAGCGAACACATCATCGTACAGTGTGGTAAGGCTACGCGATGAAAGCCGCCGATGGGTGCGAAGGCCACCACTGCCAGATTCGTGTCGCTCATGTGCGCCAGAACAGACTGATGATACAAATGATTAGAGCCGAGTAGTTTTGTGCAGTCGTGCTGGAAGTTGTGAGGCCCCCTTCCTACAGACATACGAAAAATTCTAATGTTGAAGAGAGTTCGAGGTCGGCGCCGGCGTTTAGTTATTGAAGCCTACTATTGCTTCATTTTGTCCAGCCATACTGACATTGTCACTCGGGATTCGATCACGGGTCTTCACGAGCCACAGCATTCGCCCTGGAGCGTCTGGCGTGCCCGCTGGCCAATCAGAAGAGAGGACAAGTGGTCGCAAATCCAAAGGGGTGGGCCCTCCTCGAAAATCACGATGGTGGCGCACATTCAAGGTCTTCTCATCCCCCTGATGCTTCGATGATGCTCGTAGCATTGACGCAAAAATTGCTTCGTCATAGGGCCGCAGTTGGGATTCAACTATCACCGAGTTCGAGTCCTCTTGAACAAATTGCCGCATTTCGTTTTGATGTCCTTGACCGTTAGTTTCTTTCCCAGATGAGGACGAGGATAATTTACATGCACTCGAAGGACTGCCTCCAGCGACAATTTGATCGACTTCTTGCGGAAAATTTTCTTGATAGCGCATCCACGGTTCGGGTACAGGCTCACGCTTCTGAAAAGACGCTATGCAGCTAAATATAACTCGACCTTCCTGTATTGCGTCCACGTTGCGAGTAGAAAATGATCTGCCATCGCTAATGAGTCTCACGCGGTAGGAGACGTCCGACCGAATGGATCCCATTCCGAGGAAATATCCATGAAAAGAGTGGATATGCTTGCGAGGAGGACGTGAGGGCATAGAAGACGTTGCTACGGGACGTGAGGACATCACGGACTCAGGAAGTGTTACAGTGCTCGTCTGAGCCTTGGCATTGCTGCTCGTGCCACCTTCATCAAAAGCGTCCGACGTGGCTGCGCCGTCAACAGTCAAACTTGCCGCCCGCAGCGCCTGGAGCAAATGAAGCAACCATCAAACATGCCTGCCAGGGACCACATCAAAGGAAAAAAAGAAATGATTAATCTACTAGTTGTAACTTCTGGTGGTGATGCAACAAGTTTGATGAGAAAACCTCCTCGGATGTGTTCTGTCATCTGCACCTAGGACCAATATACACAGGAGTAGTTCTTTCTTGAATCTTTTAATGCTTGGCAAATTATGTCTTGTTCATAACTGAGAATCTGTCCACCGAAGAGATGCTGCCCACTTGGAGGCGAGTGCAAATTCTCTTTCTTGGCAAGGAGATATTAGAGTTTGTACCCCTAATCCATTCCTGTGCAATAGGTGGAGATTTCCTTGTACATGCTTCAGAGATTTGCATAGAAATGGATGCCGAAATCTACTTCTTGGCCTCAAAAATAGAAAGTCGAGCGTGAAGCTCTTGGTTCCAAGTGAATGGATTCGGCTAAGAGTTTCTGCGTATTTTCAAACGGGTCACTGTGAAAGCTGCCAATCGTATACTGAAACCCACCTGGAGGACGTTTCTCCTTCTCGGGTGGCTTGTTCCCGGATGACGAGGGCATTTTTTCTGTCCGATTGAAAATATGGAATCGCTAAATGTACTTGTTGTACTTATAGGAATAGGAATTAAGTTGTAGTAAATACTTATCTAGAATCTCGATGTTGTACCAAGGTAGTGTAAGGACGATATTATTGCTCGAGGGCGTCACAAACGCAATGTCTATAAGGACAACGGTATTTTTCGGGGGGCTGATCTATCCTCGGTATTGCCGTGTCCTATGCAGTCTCTTTTTCTTTATTACCGTCCGTATCCTTTGCAGTTATTGTCCTCGTAGGTCAACCAACGTTCATTCTTCTTTGCCACCTCGGAAAAGGGTACAGCACAAGGTCAGGTCAACCCGCGCCCTCCGCTTTCTAGTTGTTGCAATACGCACTGTCTCTTACAACAACAATTTTGACTTTTTTCCTTGCTACAAATATTGAATGTTTCATTCTTGTGAGGTCGTAGTAGTCGCTGTTTTTGACGTGGTTCCCTCCGACAGGAAAGAAAGAAAGATTACAATTCTCCACCTCCGATTCAGGATTGATTACGTTTAAGACTGAGACAAGACTAACACTTATATATAAATAATGCATCATACAACCATGAAATGTCACATCTGGGTCTCGCTCTACCACTGAAAATAATCGAAAAAGAAAATGAAATTCTATTTGCCACTGCTACCCAGGAGGAAAGAACTCATCATGAAAACCGCAAGATGTTGTTCTTCTTGTTAAGTACTCAGATTGATAGTTGTTGCTTCGTTCTTCATAGCTGCTCGCGAAGAAATCAGAAAAAGGAAGAAGAAATGGTGATCATTCATGATTTCTTTTGGTGCTGTAAGATTATGATTATTTTTTATTATGTTCGCGCGCGGCCCTACCGCCTCACACGTGCTGCGCTCGCAAGCGCCCCTACCATCTGTCACTAAGGACGGTGATGTAAGGGCTCTATGGACCTTCCTGACGGTCCAGTGGTTGATGATTGTTCTAGGAAATGAATTATCGAGATACAACTGTAGTATGCTAGGTTCTTGAGCCTAACTAGTATGAGCCTCGAAAAAATGTTCTCAGGAGACAACATCCGAAAGGGGCACGCCGATATTACACGACGATTAAGTACAAAAATCATAGTACAACTTGAACACTCGTCAGTCTATAGGTTGGTAACCTCTATAACGATATTAAGGATAAGACCTAAGATAGTGAGTCTGGTCCACCTCCAACAAGCAACTATAAATGATTCAAAGCCATGATAATATTTTCCAGATAAACGATAATATGAAAAAAACATCCATGAGTCGCATCATTCTCGCAGTTTTTACTGCTATTCATGTACTACTCAAAGGACGTATTGGAACGATATGGAAAGAAAAAATTAATTGGGATAGTGAGTTTGAATGAGTAGTTTGTTTCTTACGTCGACACAATGATGTTGTCACTTTGGTCTTCGTGATGGTATGATTAATAGCTGGTACGTCAACGTCACTTCGTATCCAATATACAGGGGGAGGACTAAGACCTCCGTCCTGCAAAAAACTTTTGATGCGGAGGAATAGTCTCATGATTTCTCCGTATAACACATATAGTAGAAGGATATTGAATTTGAAGATATTATACTTACACAACTCTTTAAGATGTTCATATTGTATGATTTATGACCAGGAGCCGCTATTCATTGTACATCAATTTCAAATAGGAATAAGTAGGTCAGTCTCTTCTCGTTATGACGCACGACCCGTCATCTTCGCTAGTTGTGGTTTAGGGTTGATCTTTCTCAGCTGTCGCTTTCGTCCGTGGTAACAAGTTGATATTCTATCGCACTCACGTCATTATTTGTATTCGCTTTGATCTTGCGTTCCAGCAAGGTCACTGGTCGGTCGCGGCAAGTGAGGTGCATAAACCCCGCTACCATTTGCACGCAGGCCCGTCGCAGTAAGACCGTGTCTCCAGTCTTCACCCGCGCCTTGGTCTCCACGAGCTTGATTACCCCGGTTTGGTCGCCCACAACCTAATAATCGGTGAAGTAGATGGGTCGTTGATGTGAACATGAAAAACTCCTTCATCGAGGTCGACTGATGACAGTTCTACGTAAATGGAAAATCATATCAATATATCCATCTTGTGTATCATTGCATGCTTTGCCTGTTCGCTTATAATTTTGAATTTATCTCGTGTAGTACCATTGCATGCTTTGCCTGTTCGCTCAAGATCGTTGTCGCATCCTTCCCTGGTGCACCCTCAACTCTTTTGCTGGCTAACGTGGCACCGTAGGCTGTCTGATCTGCGAACTGCGGTAACAGTTTCCCATCCGCACCAAACAGGGCTTAGAACAGGATACTAGCATACAGGTCTACTAGCATTCTTTGGAGTGGAGGATACTGGCGTGAGTATTGTATTTGCAAAGATGTTGATCCGGATGAATTTGTTGTTCAGTTGTAATGATCAACATTTCGAGGAACTACCCGCATCCATCAGCATGCAGTAAAATTAGCAGACGGTATATACTTACATTCATTTGACAGGTGAACAGGACGAAAGAAATAATGAAGTCTACTACTACAACATGGAAGGACGAGCAGGAGCACTAGGTAGTGAAAAAAAGGTCCACATGCACAAACTAGCACTAGACTTCCAACATAAATGTGCTCGTTCCCTTTTACAACAAAAAGCTCCATGTCCGCACTTTGGCAGTCAGGGTCTAAGTCTCCGACCAACCTCTTCTTTTTTTTGAAATCGGCTGGTATTTTTGTAGTGCTGGATGGCATCCAAATATGTTCTTGGAAACTGGCGAAAAGTCCCGCAAAGTATGGATGGTGTTTTTTTTCCCCTCTAGAAGCAGACCATCGAGGCCTTTCTTCAGCTTCTATCCAGTTTTAATCGGAAAATATGGCGACCTACGAACATGCAGATGGTCTATAGTTAAATGGGAGAAAAAACATCATCCATACAAAGGTAGGCGGATACTCAACCAAAGAAATGTCACCGGCCTCGCCTTGCTCTGTGGCGATTGTAATCGTGATGTTGGTGCAGTTGCAATTACAGGAGGTGTATTAAAATGAAGCGATCATGTAAGATTCAATGTGTAAGTTTGTTTTTTTTCCGAATACTATTAGCAATACAGGTCTTATCTTAGTTCAAAATTGAAGTCCAACACTGACCAATGAAATCATCAATTCTAATCGTTGTTCTCCTATGTAGTTGAAACAAAGAGGATATGGTAAAAATATACTTGAGGGGGACAATTCGGCATCATCTTGCGGACGCTCCGGTTCTTCAGTTGTACTAGGCTTGTGTAGATGTTCCATGTAGGCATTGAAGCTCCTGATCTTCGTTTGAGGTTGGACGAACACGGGTCGTGGCTTTTTCGGGAATTAGAAAGAATATTAGTGGACAAGGACATTATTTCTTCACCACTTCTTCCTGGCCTTTCTTGTGCTATGCTCTCTTTGTCGAAAGTTCTCGCGCTACAACTACAAGTGCCCTACTGCCAAAAAAGAGAAAGTGAAAAAAAATGCTAATTCAGATTAATGTTAGAACTCATCATGGTCTGCTTAATTTTTCAAGACAGTCTCGCGCATTGCAACCCACTCAGCGTCCAAAGTTGTGAGCTCTGCCCAAAGGCTAGTTGCGCTCTTCACGTCCGCCATCGCCTTGTAGCAGTTCAATTTCACATATGAAAGAAGAGTTGATGCGAGTTCACCAGATGTAACACTGGGAAGATGCTAGTGCAACTTTCTTCGTCTACTAATATTTAAGCCTCACTATCTAGGTTCAAGGTTTAGGGTCCGCGGCTCTGCGGCCAGGCCGCGCCGTCCGGCACTACTATCATTCAGAATGGAACAACATGAATAAACATTCATACTTTGTGATGTTGATCATGTAAATGCGACATTTCGTTCATCTAACACGTGACTCTAGTACAACAGGGGATAATTTCCTGCCGTAAAATGAGAAGATCGCCGATGGCCGCCTTTCCCGCTTTCCGAATGACGTTTAAGGATGCCGCGCCGTCAGCTCCTACGAGCGATAAAGTCAGCTGAAATGGTTGAATCCACAAAATAAAGACGAATACGAATGAGTAGGTAGTAACAAACAATACAACACTAAAGACACTACTAGTCTTATCCTCAACAAAACTATACGACCATATTTGTAAGGACACACGACCGACGAGGTTACAACTGGCCAAAAGGCTATTTATTAAACCTAAAGCAGGACCAGGAGCTAGGATGCACGAATCTAGTGAATTTTGAGAAGTAAGTACGTCATCTGTTCCTTTCCCTTCGAGTTTCACCACACCGGATTTGAGAAGAACTTGAAGGATGGCGAACCGCGCTTGTGATTGGAGCTACCGAATAATTGGCATGCTTGGCCGCATCCTGGTGGGCTTCTCTATCTCTTTCAAGTAGAAGAAGCGCCAATAATTAACAAGGATGACGTTGAGTTTGCTTCAGCTGAGGTAGCCTTAATGTGAGTGCGCCTGTCCCCACTTCTTGGTGTCGGGGTTGTAGAATTCCGTCCCTACCAGACCTGCGTGAGCCATCGACAGCCAGCCAATTTTGGTCACCTCGCCTTGTTCCTCGTCGCTCTTGAAACTAAAAATCTCCATGGCAAGGGGCTCCAATCCCAGGTACAAGATGAAAAATTAAGCTGCTAAGAGGACGTCTTCTTAAGTAAGTTGTACTCAATCCTTTTGTAGTTCAAGTTCTTCTGAAGAAGAGGCAACTCCTTCAACTGGGCTACTCAAAATCGACCTGTAGAGCCGCCCATCGCAGTGGTCAGCCACAGCAGACACCACTAAATTCGAAAAAAGGTCATCGCCCCACCCTTAAATCGGGCTACTCAAAATCGATCTGTAGAGCCGCCCACCGCAGTGGTCAGCCACAGCAGACCCCACCAAATTCGAAAAAAGGGGATAGCCTCACCCTGCGATCGGGCTACTCAAAATCGATCTGTAGAGGCGCCCACCGCAGTGGTCAGCCACAGCAGACCCCACTAAATTCGAAAAAAGGGGATAGCGCGACCTTTCAATTGGGCTACTCAAAATCGACCTGTAGAGCCGCCCACCGCAGTGGTCAGCCACAGCAGACCCCACTAAATTCGAAAAAAGGTCACGGCCCCACCCTTAAATCGGGCTACTCAAAATCGATCTGTAGAGCCGCCCACCGCAGTGGTCAGCCACAGCAGACCCCACCAAATTCGAAAAAAGGCCATAGCCTCACGCTGCGATCGGGCTACTCAAAATCGATCTGTAGAGGCGCCCACCGCAGTGGTCAGCCACAGCAGACCCCACCAAATTCGAAAAACAATTGGGCTACTCAAAATCGATCTGTAGAGGCGCTCACCGCAGTGGTCAGCCACAGCAGACCCCACCAAATTCGAAAAAAGGGGATACCGCGACCTTGCAAATGGGCTACTCAAAATCGATCTGTAGAGCCGCCCACCGCAGTGGTCAGCTATCATGGTCATCTTGAACTGGTGCTTCTAGAAGCAAGTATCCATGAATGGTGCCACGTCTAGATGAAGATCCAAGTATATGGTACAACATCTACCTAAGTAGGCAGCAGCAGCACAACTGAAAAACAACATGGCAGAACTGTATGACCCCAGTCATTGAGAACACAGAAGATCTGGGAATGATCATGTCGTTCCTGCGTAAGAAGAAGAACAAGGTAAAGGGGGCGGCATATCCCTGTGATCGGCATTCTCAATGACTGGAAACATTCAAGAACGCGAATCGGGCGTGGACATTTTGGAGAAGTGTGGCGTGTGTTAGAGCAAAGCGGGACTACAGGTATAGGCGAGTACCACGAGGTGGTTTTAACACGTTTACTCGCGGAAAAATCCTTGCTCTCGGATGATATTCGGCGCTCGGGTGAAAGAGAAATCTTCTTTGGAGCAAAGCTCAGGCACGCACCGCATGTCGCGAGGTGCCTAGATTTCTTTACGACGAGGAAGCCTCCTTCGAGGACGAACACCCACAACGATGCAGTGGATGAGGATGATATAAGTGCAGAACTAAAAAGAAAATCGAAATATAGAAGCCGCGCTGGATCTTCTAGATGCTGCAGAGGAGAAGTTTGAACCAGCAGAAGACAATATCAACCACGAAGAAGCATAGCAATTTCTTTCAGGGAGAAAATTGGAAATCTACACGTTAATGCTAGCTTGGATGGAGATGAGCATGAAGTTGGTTCCTCTTACAAGCTAGTACAAGTCTTATATTTATACAGTCCACAATCCACAATGACCTTGATCATGGTGGCAGTATCATAAAAAGTGCTACGCTTTCTGCTCTGCACTCCTCCCATGATGATGACATCGGGCCAAAAACGCCCGAATAGTTCTGTCCTTCTTCATACGCTGAAATAATTAGAGCTCACCTTCTCCAACATCACCAGAGCTTATCATCAATGCACCCCAAATGGTCTTCATTAACCATCGGGATCTGACAAGATTCCGAAGAATGGCGTGAGGAAGCGCAAGCCGAAACAGGGGATACATTTAATATTTTCGCGCAGTCCATTAATTCAAAAAGAAAAAGACTCCTCTACCTTTTTTTTTACCAATACGTTGATGCTGTGAGAAGTTCTCACTTCACTTTGGATCTGCACTTTAAACTCAAAAGGGAGACACCTCACACTTATCGCTGTATCTCTCTTGCACATTACTGACTGTAAGACCGCCTGGCGAGAACTTCTTGCCAAGCATAATTCAAAAAGACTCCTTTAAGCATAATTTAATAAGACTCCTTTACCTTTTTTTTACCAATACCAAAAGCACGCCCTCAGCAGTCCGAGGACCAAAAGTACTAGTAGAAGCCTTAATGTCACGATTTGTCCGGTAATCGGATTTGTGATGTACTTTTCTCGAATGTCTTTGGTGCTCAGCTGCTTGCCCGAACCATGTCCCAAAAGTTCGTGCAATCCTACTTGTAGTTCGAATGCCTGTAGTGAAATAAGGTCGTATAATTGGTATTCTGTTGTAAGACTAAGGTGTGACTGTGAGTACATGATCAACAACGTTACACGATTACGTTAAACAGTCTCGTGAATCAAGACCCTCGAACATCATGGATGACGCGACAGCGACCGGAGGTGTTACAATTGAGGTGGATAACCAAAACTAGTACCTACTACCTACCAAGAATTGGATTGATTGTAGTCGTATCACCATCAAAAGAAGAGTGCGTGAGAGTAGGGATCAAAAATACCGGCAATCGCAATTTCTGAAAAAGCGCTTGGTCCTGTTCCCGGATGAAAGTTATGGGGTCTGCTCTTTCTGCTTGTTCATTTTCTCCGCTAGCCCATCTGGAACTGAGGACATTGTGCAGATGCACGTTTTTGAATCCGAACTGTTCTTTCACCTGGTAGTAATTCGGAATGTTGATGCCGATCGGGATGCCGCTGCTCGCGAAGGGGAATTAGAGTCCTCGTGGGTCATTTACATTTCTAGTCGCCTTAAGTACTTCATCTTCTGTGAATACATGATAGGTACAGCGTATCCACCAATGTTGAGGACCACCAGCGGCCTTAAGTCAGAACGTCGAGAGCTGTGAAGTCAGGCTTTTTGAAGACCTCTTGTTCGAAGTCTTTGGGCCACGGCAATGCAGGGATCAGCTTTTCAGCTGCTGCGACTAGGTTACTAAATTTCACGCTCTGAGGTCGATTTACCATTGCGACTAAGCCCTCAAATTCTGCACGCTCTCCAGAGTATGAATGGGAGAGAAAGGAAGAAGAGGGAGGACAGGAGAAGGATGACAACCACACCTCTTTGCATACTGTTGCTGATGATGATCGATAAGTGTTGAAAATAATTACTTACTACGACTCGCTTGGACTCTATTTCAATAAATCATTGTGGTGAGGACCGATTACGATTAGAATACAAGCTTTACAACAAACACCTTCTGACCGTTGAGAGATCTCACATCATGTCTACAGTAACTTCCTCGTCCGTTCAACTTCAAAGTACGATTACTTGATGCTTCTTATCGTTATCTGAGGCCATACATATGGATCACGGTAGTTCTCGATGAATCCGATATTGGTCTCCACTGCAGGACCCTTGTCCTGGACCCATAGCTCTTGGCTTTTTACGTGTTTCTGGAATTCCCCTAGTTCGAAGTGATCGCAATAGCATTCTAGCATTTTGGCCTGCGTATCATTCGCACAATGACGCTGAGCTTGTCGTAAGTTCCAAGCAACCTGGTTGTGGTTTTTCGGTGGAGTTGTCACGTTGTACTACACTGACTGCAGAAACAAAGTTGTTTCTTGTAGTATTTCTAAATTGACGACTGAATAAAGAAATTCTAGTTCAAATTTTCAATTGAAAGGTGGCGGGGAAAAGTAGCATGAAAAGTACTAGTATCACGTCTGGATGAATCAACAATTTAAGTTTAAATAATTATGTATCTACAACTAGTACATCAAATAGGATGCCTCCGTAGTCGCCATAGCTTATCTTGATCGTCTTGCCCTTGTACCCCGGTACCACTTCGATGTGCTTTCGCCTGTAGTAACTTGCAAATATAATTTCCAGGACGTCCTCTGCTATGACCTTGGTTTCGCTGCCATGAAGACAAGACATAAGGTCAATTACTATGAATGTGGATTAAGAAGTTCAACTACTAAAAAAAACACCTTTGATTTGTCCACCTTCGAGTAGTACAGGAATAAATTGTCTTACAAGCCGTGAGTACTCTGTTCCAGGTTAGGTTAGGTTATGGATCCTGCACAACGAGCCCCACCGGCACCTGCTCGCCTCTGTTACACGAGTACGAAGTAAATACGCAGTCTTGTAAAATGCGACACTACAACAAGCAGGAGCTTTGGAATTGAAAATAATTGAAATGGAAATTATTTGCGCAGTCTCGTCAGTAGTACTGCTATTACTGACTGCACTTTTAGCTTCATTTTTGTTAAGTCCAGAACTGTAACTGGTGACTGTGACATAATCACTGGAGTCTTTGAGTCCTGCCGACTTCCTTAGCCGGGAGTTCCACGCCTCGTAGCCGCGCTCGGACATAAAGGCCCGAACGACTTCCAGATCCTCATCTTAGCGCTAATTCTTCACTATGCGTTGCTCAGTGAGTTCCCCTCTTTCCACCTCCGAATCAAGGGATTTCCCACGCAGCATAGTGTCCACATGGGAATGGGATAGTGAAAAACAAGCCTTAATCATCTGTGATTTTGTGAATGTCTCCGAGATAGTAGGTATTGTCTTTGTTTAGCTGCTTCTCGTCATCCTCAAGGGAGTATATCTTCGCTTTCGTCTTGCTCCATAGGGTTGATATGAAGAATAAGTCTAAAAGTAGACCTGAGAAGGACGAGGAGGAGGAGGGGGTTGGACGAGACTCTCGGAGAAGGGAAAAAAATACTGCTCAGCGAAGATGGTCATGGTGTAGAGGAAGATGTTGATGTTTAATGAATGTGAATCATGTACCTACTGTATGTGCTGAACCTGCGTCATCTCGTCTTCGTACTAGTATTAGTGGTGGAGCACCTAACTAGAAAAAACAAAAACCAAAAAGAGAAAAATCAGTCAAGTAACTACTAAGTATCTGTATCTTGAATGATATTCATCCATAATATAGACTCGAGACTTCTCGTAGGAAGGCAGATAGCTGGCGTGCTCGTAGAGGCAGTCGCGAAATGCGGTCTTTCCTATGCGTGGCAAGAACTTTTTATCACCAAAGCTCGTATAGTTGCCCATGTTGCCGTAGAATTGTGCACAGTATTTCTGATTAGAAGAACGACTCTGACTCGAAGAATATCTAATAGTTTTGGTGGTGTTGTTAGTTGCAGGCGAAGTCGTGGAGGAAATCTCTTGGTGATTGTGTTTTTCACAGATGTGGCAGTCAACATTCATAAGATAGAAGTGCCACATGTCGCTACCTTTCGGCGGGTAGGTCGTCGTGGTCCCCGCCTTCCTCCCCGAGTTACTTACGCGAACCTGAATGCGCCAAGGAAAATGCACGTTGTACTAAATTGTGTCGGCTTTCCCTCCGAATTTAATGCAAGCCAAGTAATAATAAAGCAGCCTGAAGAGACAAGAATACACAATTCCGATCATCAATACAGCAAGTCATTTCTTACCTTATCGCATGTTCTTTTCGAAAAAGCTAAGTGCAGCATTTCGAAAATTTGTGGCGACTCCTTTGACGCCTGACTGAGGCAGATAAGACTCCCCTGCCATGATGCTCGAGACATAAAATGCGCATACCGCTTTTCGGTCGTGATATGAAAGAGGGCGTCGGTCGGTATATCTATAAGGACGGCTATGGAAGGAGGAGGAGGAGGAGATCTTCAAGTAAGATGGAGATGCATCCAGGCATATTACTCTGCGAGGCGGAGATCTGTGAGCAAGAATATTATTACTACTAGGATGAAGAAAGTAATGAAAAACTCACAAAAAAGATTGTCAGGCGATTCAGATTGCCAAAACTTTTCTTGCAAACGCAAAGTCAAAGAAAGGACTTGTCTATATCATAGCAGTTCCTGTAGTTGCTCGCTACCGAGCATTGTGGGATTTCAAATTGAGGTTTTGGCTTTGCCTTTGGGTTTCACCTCCAAAAGTCCATAAATCGTGAGATTTTCGAAAGCTTCCTTACAGAGTAGCTTCTTGATCGGTATCTCCTCGTTCGAAACTAGGAAGATATCTTCCATATCTTCTGGCGGCCATGGCATCTTCTGTGTTTCCTTGCTGGCTGTAGATTGACCTCCAGGAGAGGACGCCTGCTTTTCCCAAGTCCCTTTTTTGCCTTCACCCTTCTTGCCCTTCTTTCCCTTGCCCTTTCCTTTCTTCTTAGAGCAGATAAAATTTTTTAAGGGAGGGGAGCCTCCAAGCAACCCTGGACCATAATAAATAAAGAGTCTTTCATTTTTGATGATATTGATAAGTAGTAACTTCTTGCACCATCAACTTTCTCAGAATTTGAGCCATGTTCTGGTTTCGATCATTCCATCTTCCATCTCTGCGCTTCTGATGTGACCGTTCGCGATCACAATAATGATGAGAGGTCTAGATTGTAGGTCGTTTAGGCAAGATGGCACACGACGGACTACGTACCTTGTCATGTCATGTACCCTCGTGTTCCACGTAGTCAAGTGGATTTGAGGTAGTTCAGTCAGATTGTACCTCCTGACGCACACTTACAAAAAAGAAACTAGCCCTAATTTTTCCTTTGCCTTTCCCTTTTCCATGCTCATCGTCACCCTTCTTTCCTTTCTCGCCTCGTATTAGATAAGTAGGGAAGGATAATCATGATTCCCAGACACCAGGAGAGAATCAGTACATTCTTGAAAGTACTACTCCTTTGGGCTACTTAATCATCACGACCTTCCAGTAGTTCTACTAGTCATCGGTTTCGATGTTGTTGTGCTGCTTGTTCAAATTTATTGTCATCATGCTGTTATCATTCTTGGTACACGTCACTATCTTCGCTAAACACGTTATTCTTCTTGGTACAAGATAGTATTCAAAAATCACACATAGCTTTCCTTTTTTTCCTTTTCCCTTTTCGCCGTTTCCTCGGGCAGGTGGATCGTACCAATCACTACCGTAGGAGTAGGTCGACGTCACACTGCCTTTCCTTGAACCGGGCTTACCCTTCTTGCCTTTTCCCTTGCACTTGTTAGAAGAGCATCAAGATCAACATGAGCAAATAGAAGGTTGATCCAGTTGTATCTTGTAATCATGCCTACAATTCTGGAAACTCGTGTTCACGTTCCGAACAAGAACATCAAAGTCGAGTAGGAATTGACTGGAATCTGTGACATTCGTAACTTTTGCTATACCGGTTTCAGCAAATGGCATACTTTCCGCACTAGACGCTCGTGGCTTGCCTTTTTTCCCTTTATTAGAGTCTCCACGGTAGTTGTCTAGCCGTTTTACCACCAGTAAAATAAAAAATTGAGGAGTGACGATTTCTACTTATTGACTTTTCCTTGCATTCGAGGATGATGAGGTGATGATAGATACGGATCGAAGATAGAGAAAAAATACTTGAAAACGAAAGGAACGAATAGCCTCTTTTTTTTTCGCTACTTGAAAACGAAAGGAACAAATAGCCTCTTTTTCTGCGATCATTAATCAAGGACAAGGAATAGCATTGCTAGTAAAGTAGATGAAAATGGCCTTAACTTTCCCCTTGCCTTTGGCAGATCCTTTCTTGCCTTTCCCCTTGCTTGCGCCGGCACCAGCGCCAGTGTCAGCAGCATCGACGTCGAGCGTCATGATCTGTTCTATGAAAAAAACCCTTTTTACACCTACTTCTTATTTCGAATCAACTGTAAGCCTATAATTCAGGTGTTGTTGTTCTAGAAATCTCTTTACATGTATGCAGCTTGCTTCCTGTTTGTTCATCGACGATGATCAAGAAACGAGTAGGGGGGTTGAAGTACGCAGTACAAAATTATCATTTTACACTCGTCCATGACTTAGTCAGCAGACGTCGGAGATAATCAGGCAAGGCATACGCATGAACGTTACCAGGCCTGATAGAATAAGAATTATGAGACATCAAAAGAGGTAAATATTCAAAAACAAAATTCTAACAAGATGCATAGAAACGTGATTCAAAGAAAATGAAAAGTATAATATTAAAATCGACCTTGTGAGCGGCGCAAGTTGTAACTAAGAGATGATATCCTGTCAAGAATAATCTCTGTTAAGCACAGGTGATGAGAATCAATATGGTACTGCTCATCCTCATCAACGCTTTGTCTAAATTAATGCGAACTTTTGTGTTAAGCTCGGATCTCGGAAGGTCGCCTGATTTTGTCAACAATCAGCCGCAGATATTTTTTTTGCACTTATGATCTTAGTCAGTACAGCTACAGCTGCTCAAACTCATCTGGTCAATTCATTGGGACGACGTTGATATTACACCTTTGGTCCTCCTCCTGGTGGTACCGATGCTCGTTAGCAACAACGTGTCTCTGACAAAGACAACTCAAGAATCCTCATCGCCACTTCTTCGTTGTCCTCGCGCGTGTTCAAAGAGCACTCTTATCAAGTAGCAACATCATCGCACAGAACAAATGAATCGTGACAAATCAAGCGCGGCGTCACGACACTGGCAAAAGCAAGCGAATGACTCTTCACATCTGGTAAGCTCTAGCTTTGCATTGACTTTTCGCTTGTACTTAAGTACTTCCTGCTCTTGTACGGTTGTAGCTACTTTGAGTACTTATTCTGTATGTCATGCGGGTTTGCAACGGTTGGGACGTGGTAGCCACCACCACAGTAATCAATGAGTTAAATTTGAAGCAGTGTCCTGCCAAAGATGACGATGTTTCTTGAGGCAACAATCATGCGTAGACTACCCTATGCACCCGTAGTACTCTTTCATCTTTCTTCATGGGGATGCGCCTGCTACACCTGTCATGTCCTTCTCCTAAAAAGAAGAGACCGATGGATCGGATCCCGCCTCTTTTTACTGTTCCCGCAAGCATAGAAAGGTCTCCCTCAAAACGCGGATGATGCATAAAGTAGTGCTGTATCTCTACTACTTCTTCACAGCCGCGCCACAAAGATAGATTACTTGAATGGTGTAAGAGAGTTCGGCTTCATGCTTTTTTTGCCGGCGGATCTGTTGAAGACAAGAAAAGAGTTGTTAATTTTATGTATCATGTAGGGCAAGTACTAGATTTAAACGCTCACTTCACAAAGGCAAAGGGAATGGCGCTTTCTTTGTCCACCCATGGCGCTTTCTACTAGAAGAAGCTATTTGGGTACTTAGTAAACTTAATATGTTGTATGGGAGTAACTAGCAAATTACAGATTCTTACCTTGGATCACCGCTTGCAAGCTGTGAACCGGGACTCCCACTGCGGCGCAAAGCTCCTGCCTTTGTCGGACGCACCACCACTGGGCCACCAGATCCGTACACTTCTCCTTCGTCTGTGTTGCCAGAATAGTATACCACGTTCTTGCCAGGCGATTGGCTCGCTGCTTGCGCGGCGTCATGCCAGTATGAAGAAGGGAAAATGATAATGAGTGATGTAGGTTCTTTTTCTTAAGAACAAGTAGTACTTCTGATGTCATTCTAAGAGTAGAACATCGATAGTATAAGCATGCACCGGTAGATAGAATGTCATAACTGAAGAAAGATGCATCCTTTTCATGCGTGAGAAGATATTTCCAGAATATTTGATATCATAACCGTTTCCTCGTCTCGCGAAAGAGAGCGTCCATCGCCTGGACATTTTTACCCGTTTTGCTCAGATGAATGACTGAGGACGAACCGACGCCACCACCAGAGGTACTTGAGAAAGGATTAGAAGAGCAGGGTAAATTCACCTATCATTTTGTAGAGTCAAGATAGGCAGCAGTGCCGCACGCATCACGATCAAGTAGTATGATTACTGCTAGCTAGACATAAAGAAATCTTCAAATTCCAATGACCTTAATGACTCTGGGTACCGAATTCGGGGATCCTCCGTTTACCCTAGTACTTGCGCCGTAGCCGGGACTGCGAGGCGGCGAAGTAGGCTTTGGAGGACTCCTTGGCTGACTGCCCGGCCGCTGACTCCCTACCCTTAGAGGAGCTCACCAACTTTGAAAATCAATAAATTCATCTTGAAAGGAGACCACCGATGAGATTCGACCGCTTTTTCCTTCAAAGAGTAAATTCTTCGATATATCATTTTACCTTGAGCAGCTGAGACACTTTCAGAAATTGAGAACTTCTATTTTTTGAATTTCTTTGAGCCTTAATATCCCGGAATTTCTGGCCATTGCAGCTACCGATGGTCCGCCATCCGCCATCCTTCGACTCGATGCTGGCCCTCTCTGCTTAAACTGACGTTGTGACGGACTCGGCGTTCCGCCAGCGCGATCTCCCGCGGTCCCCCGACCCACCCTACTCTCTGCAGGCGGCCTATTGTAGTTACTTTATTAGAGAACAGGACGATAGAAGTAGCACCAGAGATACATCATGATCATGTGACGAGGTTTATGAAATAAATTATAGAAATCTACCATGTTGTATCGTGGACCCGGAAGTGGAGGAAGTGGAGGTGGACCCTACCTTGTTGAGGGCTCTAAATGATCTTCCTTCTTAATCATTCGACCTCAGATTCCCTGCGAGCGACGACGGCGACCCACCTGCCAGTTCGGTAAAAGATCGCCGCATCTGATCGCCGGGAGTCGTGGTAGTCATTTTGTTCACTCCGACGCTTGAGTCCAGGGTCGTGAAAAGAGCCCGCATACCGGTGGCTACGTCCACTTTCTCTTTCTCGACGATCTGATTCGCAGTCTCAACTCGATTCATTCGTAGTCGAATACTTTTCATCTCCTCATCCAGCTTGCCAATTTTATCCAAGAATGAACGGGGCTACGTCTATCATGTATCAGGAGCAGCTTCTGAAATAAGTAAATTCAAATGATCTTATTTGTTGATGTAGTTCTGCTGATGCTAAATAAATATAACAGATCAGTTTCTACATGAACATCGGGACGATGTTGAGTATATTATACCGAAGTAAAAATCAGATTCAGAAGTCCAGGATAGTGATACTATATAAGCACTCAAGTGGTAACATTGCCATACACGATAGACGCTTTTTTTGGCCTCGAGCCTTGCCGCGAGACTCTGGATTTCTTTCTCGAGGTCGTCTTCTTTCTGCTGGATTTGCGCTAGTTCGGCTTCTTTTTAGAGGTAGGTCCTTGGTGTTTTAGTTTTTGTTCCACGTTATTTTTGCCTGTCTCCCTTTAGGGAGGCAAAAATGAGGCCAGCAAAAACACCTAAAACCTACCCATAATCTTTATTCTCCACCTCTCGACGCACAACGGCCACATCATCTGATGTGACACCTAAATATTGACTCGCACCAACAGCATCACCCGCGGCCGCTCGTTTCGTAATGCCTTAGATGGGCATCATGAGGAGGTGGAGGAGCTTTTGCTTTATTACATCAACTCCATTGGGATCCAAATCTTGTGGACGATATCGCTGTCGGGATATCGAAATCTTGATCACCTTTAGCTTTAAGGCAGTCAATTTCCTTGACGAGTCAGGATTTTATTGTCAAAAATTTTGTGTCTCGTCTCCCAGTGAGGGTCATAACTGCCTGTCGCTGTCGCGTCTCCACCCTCGCCACTGGATTGTTCGCCTCTCGACTGCGGCCTCCTGTTCCTCGAAGAAGCGTTGTTTTCCCGTTGCCTTTGTTAGAAGTGTTGTGATCGTGTAGAGTTCCAGTTCCAAGTTTCGTTCAAAGAGAAGCTTGCCATGATAGTTCCAATCATGCATGTAGATTGAATCAATTGTCACGCGATTATTAAGGAGAGCCCTTCTCTTTCATCTTCACCCATCATCTTCATCCATCATGAGGCGGTCATGGAAGATGCTATTAGTATTACATACAGCATGCGAAAAAAACATCGATGATTTACAACGAATAGCCTTAAATTGCTGTCGAAGGTCGGCCTCAGGCGAACTTGTCCAAGTTTGAAATCCTATGCTCGTTTCGGCGATAAAGCTGCTCGTAGAAGAAGTTATATCACTGACCCGTACGCCTACGTTCTCGCTCTAAAAGTACAGTGGTTTCGTGCGTCTTGTATATTCGTGGTTCTTGTTCACAGGTTGAGGCATGGTGATGTTGTCGTTGTGATGGTTATCTTGTTGAGGTAGTTCTTTGAATGGAGTAAAAGACTTCTAGCGTCAAAATGGGATAAAATTTGACTCATGGTCCATTTCTTTACTAGACAAAGTGATGCGAATCTATTCTTAGCTTTAGTTCCGTACGCAGTTCCGTTATATCTAAGGCGATCGGGGTTGTGAAGCGGGGGCGTGGGACATGAACGGCAGGGCAAATGAATGCTGGAGGTGTAGACGCTGAAGGTGTAGACTCTGAAGGTGTACTAGACTCTGAAGGTGTACTAAACCTAGACTAAGTATGGAGCCAAAATCTCTTATCATTCTCAAGTTTCGCAAGTAGAAAAGAGTGATAACGATAATAGATTTTGGCTTCATACGAAGGCGGCTACAGTAGACGAGGGGACGTAGACCGATAGTGATGGAACATTCGTTACAACCGCTTCGAACCTTCCTGCCGCACACTTTTGAGAGTTGTATCAGCCGATTTATACTGCTCATACCGACTTCTATATGAATACCGACTATTCCGATTCTTCCGACATCAATCCCGATGCATGTCACGGTGACAAACTCTGACAGCTTTTTGCAAACTAAGCAATAGAAGATATGGCCTGATCTAAAGCCCATTGGGAGGATACCGAACAAGTGTCGCAAGCATCGTACTCTCTGGCTTGTCTCTACTCCTAAGGTGTCTCAAACACAAATATGTGAACATGTCACTCACGCCCAAATTACGGTAATTCTCGCAGACGGCAATGACCATTGTTCATTAGACTTTTGAAAAAAGGAGGACGACCTTCTTCTCATGAAAGAGATGAACTTCATCAATTTTACACTATGTTAATGTTTCCTTACTCGTCGTTGTCTCGTTCGCCTTCTGCATCTACTATTGTCCCCATTTGTTTCTTCTCTCTCGTGGTCCTCGTGCGCTGTGTTCCTGTTCGTCATGAATATAGTTTCACATCTCATCATCAAGGGAGTCAAGCTCTGCATCTTCCGTCGGACGCCCTTCTTCCGCTGCTTTGGGGTGGAAAAGCTTATACGTCATTTGCGCCACGCTTGCGTTGGAGGTGCTTATGATTATTAAATTATACCATCTCTACGAAAAGTGCCTCCATCAAACTGTTTTTACTGGAACAGCTGGTAGTGTTGCTTTTGCCTCACAGGCTTCTATCTTGATCTTCTTCAGAATTGAAATTATATATTTTATAAGGAAAGAAGCAACCCCGATGAACAGAGTACTAGAAGTGCCACACTTTAGTAGGCTCATTAGAATCGTTGATGTCAAGAGAGCCCTGCTTAATTGGAGCGTCGCCGGTGCACTGTTTCATGGCGACGCATGTCTGCATCGCCACCATCGACACCGGATAGTTTTTCTTACTCAATGCCGTTCGTCCTCTTGGCATCAGCTTTTTCCTTCGCTTCGCTGCCTGCTTCCTGCTCTTGGAAGACGAGGAAGAGTCGTGGTCATGATCTATTGCGAGTCCTGAAGAAGAAGTGCGAGATGCTGACGCCGCACTAGAGTCGGAATCTGCGAGGTTGTCGAGGTATTGTCTCCACCAGTCTGTCAAGATGTCTTTTAGGTCATCGTCGTTTCCTTTGACACCTTCAAAATGAAGAATGTAGAAGTTCTTTCCATCTCCCTTGTACCAGGTACAACTAGACGACCCTCTACTTCACGTTACGGATATGCTTCTACACTTCTTACTTTGCGCCTGCTTAAGGGAAAAAAAAGAACCAATAAAGAGCCGAGGGGACAGTCTGTCGCAAGAAGGACGGAAAAGACTTCATTCATACTCAAGGCAGACTTCTTTCATCGCGTGTGCCTGCCAGAACTTGTGGCCTTGACCAGCTGGGAGTTTATAACCCTCTGCGTCGTACTTCTGCTTTGCCAGATCATCAGCTTCAGCAATGGCAGGATCGTTCCATTTCGTTCTGGGAATGGTACGGTAAGAACAGTATTCACTACTTGAGGTAACATCCTTAAGAAGAAGAACTGTACTTTATTTGGTATGAGCTTCCACGTCCTTGTTCTTGCTGTATTCATCAAGTTTAGAATGAGAAAAGCAAATGAAACCATGTTGAGCAAGCAGTAGAAATATTATGAACAAAGTTAGAAAGTTATTCATTTGCATGAGACGCGAGAAAGAGTAGAGAGGATCTCTTTCATAGGCAAATGATAGATACATAGTTTCTTCTTGCCATGTCGATACCTCTGCACCAATTCGAATTTCGGTGTCCCTTTCTTTGGGCTCTTGGTGTCTTGTACGAGATAACGTCCCCAGAGCTCCTCGTTGCGGCAGATCACGTCTAGGTAGTCGTAAATTCGATCCTCACTCACTGCCTCGTCGTCGATCTCCGAAAGCGAGGGACGCTTAAAAAATTAGCGGTCGTGCTTATGCATCTGAGATGAAAAAAGGTGCAGTCCAAGTCGCCCTATTTTTCAATTCTATACTGCAGGGAACCAGTACTACTAATAGTATTACATCCTGGTGAAGTAGGGTTCAGGATTGCAGTACTTCTACATCCTGGTAGCTAGAAACAAAGGTGTGACTAGGACAACAAACTAATCAAACGCCTTGATCCATAAGGAGTGTCTTTTGGTTTCACAGCAACGTCTTCAAGCGTCGAGACACCTTCCGGGTAGTCCGCAACATAGTGCTCTTTCACCTGGGTCGAGATGAAATCGTGCACCACCACCTGACACACTGGACAGGGAAGATACGGCTTCGCCCGCTGCCACTTCTCCTTCTTTTCTTAGAAGCATGTAAAATTTCGTATCTCTATTTCATCAGCAGAAACAGGAACAGCATAGGCTACATGAGGCGATAATCAACTACTGCTAGTTATCGGATCTATTCCTGTGGTGCATCTTATTTGCGCTTCTTGTAGCAGCTTCCCATACATTCATAGTAGGAGGTACCTAGTGCCACTGTAGTAATGAAGCAAAAGTGATACTTATATAGCCATAATTTTCGAAGTCGACGCCCGCCTCAAAGCTTTCCGGCATATCCAGTATTCCTGTGACGAAAATTGTAGTGTCCCTCATTATGAGCAAAGTAGGGAACCACACTGAGTGACGCCCAATAGCCCCAGTCATCTTCTTAATCTATTTTGTTTAATGAACTTCAAATTCAATTTGATGACAAGAGGGGTTAAGTTAGATTTTAATTTGGATTAAATTGCAGTAGGGTAGGCGACCCCCCTTTTATTATCTTGGCTGTGTTGTGGTGAAACTACAACTAGGAGGCGAAGCGCCTCCTCTGCGGCAAAGTTCCGCTGTAGAACGTAACAAGGACTACCATGAGCAACATGACCAAAAAAAGAGCCAAGGAATGAAAGTGAGGGGTTGTCATACGCACTGCAGTGGACGGAGAGTTTTCCTGAAGATCTAAAGTTCTAAAGAGTGTCTCTTTTTTTTTTTTCTTGAGAGTGGCTGAGAAACGACGCCAGTCAAGTAAAAAAATTGATGCTCGAAAAAGAAACATCACGAAAAATATCCTCGAAGTCGAATAAAAACACATAGGGGACCACTGCAGCAGTGTTTTGTGTAAGTTTCCAGCGAGGATGTCCTCCGTGAATCGCATCAGACTTCGATGCTGGCCTCAAATAGAGGCAAGACTAGTAGCAGACGGAAAATCTGCCTGGAGCAATTTTGAGGATTTCTTCTCAGAAGAGCAAGCTCGTGACTTCTCTCTGCGTGAAGTGTGGGATGTAGTAGAAAAGTGCAAAGCATCAGATGAGAAACTGATCGCAGCGCGCAGCATCGCCCAAGCGCTCGATGCTAACACTTCAGCCAAAGAAAACGATCTGCGAGCTGTGGTGACTGTGTGCAAACAACTCGGATCACAAGACATAGTTGACCTTCATCTGTGCTACAACAATGACAGAGCGCATCTGCGTAACACCTTCAATAAGAAGAAAAGTCTGAACATCGAAGCATTGATCAGTACGATGAACCGCATCGGAATGAGCGCGGAGAAGTATGCGCAAAGCGCAAGTGATCAACAGAAAGCGGCAGTAGTTTCCGCCGGGCCGTCATCTAGTTCAGGACAAGACGTGGAGCCATCGAAAATCGCCGAAGCAACCAGTAGAATGAAGAAACTGCTGCCAGAATTAGAACAAGACTGCACTCCTTCTGCAGATTTACTGCGTCACACGCTGAAGGAAATGAAAGGCGGCAAAAAGTTCGTCTATCACAATCTCAAGGATAAGCTGGTCTATCCTGCAAACTCCATGTGGGCTGCTAATGTCGGCCTTCAAGAGACCGAGATGTCCACCGCTTTACGTGCTGCGGCAAATAGTTCCGGCATAGACACCACGGCAGCAGAGAAGAAGCTCCTGCTAGACACTGCCACCAAGCATGAGAAGACATCTCTGCCCGCTACTCAGTACATCACACTGGCACAGAAGTCGTTCGTTGCAAATGCAGCCTGCTTACCGGAAAACGAAGACAAACCGGTGGAAGAACTACTCCGGAAGTATCAGCTTCATCTCCTATCCCTTTTTAATCGTCACGGTTCAGCGGGTGCTGCTCTTTTTGAAGAAGAATGGCGAAGGAAGAACGCCAGCGATAGCGTCTGCTCCGGCTGGTCGCTATTTTCAGTAAGAAGATTTATGCATTTCAAGCTTTGAAGACTTTCCAACGCAATCAAGAAATTCAACTTGAGAAGTTTCGCCCATACAGGTAAACAATTTGCTTGCTTCTTCAGGTAGTCAAGTTTGACCGCGAATTCAAGGAGGACTTTTTCGCAAAGAAGCGATCGCGAGACGCTGTTGCAAACAGCCCCATCAAGAAAGTGAAGCTTGACGTATCAAACAAAGGACACGAGTCAAAAAACTCAAAAGGCGACAAAGGAGACCATGGGAAAGGTATTACTTTAATGATTACACGCTGCTACTGCAGACGTTCCGTTTTTAAAAAAGACGAGAGTCTAGTGCCTATCTATGTATGAAGAGTCTAAATGGGAGAAGTCTACTGATTGGTAGCAGAATCTTTTGGAAAAAGAGAGAACTCTCCTCACGAAGGCCAACCTCTTGTCGTTCACAGGAAGCTGGGGCAAGAAGAATGGTGGCGGAAAAGGCACAAAACAACCATGGTGGACCACATGGCAAAGCGCCAACTCACACCATCAAGGAGGAGACATGTACTCAGATCATGGCTTCTGGGCGAGCCACGGTTTTCCGCATGGTCCAGTGCAGACCACTGGCGCGCAGTCAAGCACTGGCCAAGGACAGAACGCACACAAAGGATCAGCAGCAGGCACTACAGATGGCATTTCTTCAATAAAGGCATGCAACTTTTCATCAAAATGCCCCAAGATAAATAGCATTCCACTTATAGAATCGGAATCGCAGGAACAGGCGCAAAGGCAGAGCGCTAGTAGTTTTGTTTTAGATATTACTAAGCAAAAGGCTGCTCCATCAAGTTGCAGCAACAAGGGCATCCTGTCCGCTCAAAGAGCAACCGAAAGCGAAGTGCTTTCATTCTTGAAGGCAGAAAACAGGGGGCGTTCTTCAAAGGGGGCCTCTACAAATCCAAAAGTAGAAGTTTGGGAAAGTGCTCCAGTTTCGGGGCCGTCAAATAGGCCAGGGCTTCTCATCACAAGAGACGCGCTGAGCCCGCAAGACCTCGAGGAGTGGTCTGACCCGGACATGGAGTCGCCAGCGCGTCAAAGTTGCGACTGTAGTTTGAAGTTGGGTGGCCGTTTTGAATTCAAGCGCGCCGCCCCTAGTGTGGTCACGTTGATGCAGCGGGGCTTGTTTATGACCATTCAAGTTAGAGCCCCCCCAGCGGTTGCGTTTCGCGTTTTAACTCCTACCCTAACTCGGATTAAACTCCTGGCACATGCTCGGGCTCGTTTCTGCT